AAATCTTCAACAAAAGATAGGGTTCTGTACAATGTCACAAGCTTTAAATTGCTCCTAGTCTAAAAGATGGGTTTGAATTAAATTAACGCCCGTATCACAGCTGTTACAACAAAAGGCTTTTCAAAAAATGTTCACCAAAAAAGAAATTGGTTTAACACCTCGTTAAAATTGGATTTTTCTTTATATCAACTCTCAGTTTGTAACTACAATACTATTGATAATTCGCCAAACGCTCGTTTATTATTGTAATATTGTTAACAAATAGTTATAATAAATAACTCGCCATAATATCAAGTGATATCAAACCTACTACTATTGGGTTGATATATATGTAAATACTAGTAACGAGATATTGTCATAGAATCAATAACTAATAATTTTCTCATTATTCAGGTGAATCAGTGACGTTCATTTTTACCATACTGGTAGCTTTAGCCACAGGAGTGATTGTTCTTTCTTTTTTGAAGCACATCTATGAAAAAATGTCACGTATAAAAGTAAGGTATATTAATGTGTAAAGGATCAATGCAACTTACTAAACATATGAAATATATTTTTGAATATGCGACCAGGAAGAAAATAAACTCATCATAGATACCAGGATTAAATTTTGCATTTACGCCAGACGCGCGTTTCGTCTACAAAACACTCATCAGTTACGCTCGAATAAAAAAAAAGTTAAAAGGCCAAATAAAGTTCGAAGTCGAAATGTTACAAGTGTATGAAGATGTGGCTGAAGCTTAAATGGTTTCAGAGTCATGATAAATCCTCAGATATTATGAGCTTTGACCACAATCATCAGGCATTCCCAAATACCAATTTATAAAAAAAGTGAACTTGAGCCGAGGTCCCGGACAAGAAAACAGTGACAGGGCATCTACCAAAAAATGAACATCTATAGTGTACTTTCTCATCTCTACTTAACGGATTCTACACTTTCCAGATGTGACAACATTTAAAAAAAAAATACTTTAATCAAGGAAGATCGCGAGTCAAATGGAGTATTATTTTTGTCTCTATTGCCCTTGATAAAGTTAAACTATGCAAGTGCTTAGAATACAATTATATAGTTTTGTTAAAATCTTTCACTACTGATCTATTCCCATGATGGTGCTGTGAGTCCCAAAATGTCTCATTCCTCCACTAGTCACTTTTTTGGTTGTGTTAATCTTTTTTTAGATATATTGCTCATCCTTCCGCCATGTTTTTATAGTTTTGTCTTTTGTCTTTCTTCAACTTATGGTTTTGCCTACCTTTGCTATCGTCTTGCGTTTTGGACAAAGATTTGAAGGTTTTTAACACTAAGGTTACAGCATCCCTGGGTTTTTTAAAGTAATTGTTCTCCTTTATATACTCCGATAATTGTATTGCTACAATGTTTTAAGACTTCTCCTTAAGCAGTACATTTAACATCCTTGGCTTTCAATTTTCGGCTTTGAGCGTTCCTGATGAAGGTAAATCCAGAAAAGTGCTTCGGACGCATTTAAATTTATAACGCGTTGTTTTCATTTTTTAAGCAAGTTTAACTTACTTATATTTCAATCTAGGCAGATCTCTGTTCCATCTTCAATGAACAAGTAGGAAGTACAATATCAATATTCGGAATCTAACAAACGGTGCAATTTAAGGAACAAATAAACTGTTTTCCGATAAAATAGTTAGTCCCCCACCTCCATAAAAGCACCTTTTTTAAGCTCAATTTTACGTCTATTACTTGCTCTCACTTAACCAAGTACTAGAACGTCCTACCAGAGTATGCAACCTGTCGAAACATTATATACGCTGGAGTCAAAAGTCGGTAATATGAAAATAGTCTATTATTTATGAAAAGACGTCACAATAGTTTTAAAAAAAGACGCAATGAATAAGCAATGGTGCGTAAAAATGTACCATTTGGCTTCCGGACTTATATGCTATCTTTTTTTGATGAACAAACGTTTATCCCTTGTATCTCCTTTATATTATTTGAAGAGTTATGTGAAAAAGTTTACGATAAGAGATGTCTGCAATTTACTAGAGATTTTTTTTTTTAATTTGTGTTCGAGCTTAAATTCACATATAATGACTGTTATTTGTTTATCTTTAAGGGAGACCCAAAAGATGATTGTATAGAAGCCATAGAAGACCAGTGTTCAAGACATACCAGACTTTGACAGCAAACTGAATGAAACAGCAATGATTGAATATATGACAAACATACCACCAATATCTTTCACTGGTATCATTTTACCTTTGAACTCAAGTTCAACTGGGAAAACTGAAGAATTCCTCGAAAAAAAAAACCAAACTGATAATAAAAGAATTGTCTAAATTATGTATAGTATTCCAGTTATTATTCTAGTGTACATGTGTCATGTACTACGGCTCGATTCTAGTTACTTGCGTCGGGGTTCGTTTGAAGACTGCAAACAATTCGGGTTGTCATAAAGACTACGGATAATTTCGTTGTTCGTACCAATAATTAAATATAACGTCACACTAATGATTCAATTTCTATTTTAAAGGATATTGTTAACTAATAACATCTAATTTGATATACACTTTTGATTACCCAAAATGCTGGCCCTTACTTTTTCATGTCCACGTTGTGATTTTTTTGTCATGATTTGATACACCATATCCATTCTTTTTCTCTATGATTTCAAATATTTGTATTAAAAAGTTTCTTTTTGTTTCTTTGATAGAAAAAAAACCATTTAGACCAATATCATTTCATTTATACTCACTAGTAACATCAAAGTTGACAGGCTAGTAATCACTGTGGATGAACTACTTAAGACCCTTTTGCCACCGAGGCCACTGAAATTAAGCTGGTTATAGGTAAGACATGTACACTTGCTTTGGACTAACGTTATAAGCGTTTTATTCTGTTAACTTTTTTTGTTATGTTCCTTGCAGTAAAACATGCTATCAAATATGACTTTATCATGACATGACAGGTGATCTATGCAAAACTCATCCAGCCCTACTTGGTCCTTCACTGTTAGACCTGATGCTTTTTACACCTGGACTTATATAAATGGTATACTAATGTTATGATCATTTTGAAATAGCTTTTATTGCACTGATATTGTAATTCATTAAATTTTTGTGCTTTTAAAAAACTTCCTACTTGGCAAATACTAATTTTTTACGATTTTATCATTTGTTCCTATTGAAACAATTGATTATATATATTGCTTAATAACTTGTTTTTGTGCTTGTCTCTAACTGAGATTGATTTTTGTGTTGAACATCTAGTGACAAGTATTTCTTGCATATTCAGAACGATAATAGAACAAATTAACAATAAATCTATTTTCTCTAAAAGGCTCAACCAGGACAAAGGTCAAAAACTTCGCCTGCCACCTTAAGAGATACCAGGGATAACGGAAACAGATTTAAATATTTTTTCTTGTTTCTGAATCCCTTTATTTTTGTTGTATATATGTCATTTGTGCACTTTTAAATAATAATAATAAAAATATTGTTTGAATTGAAAGATACTAAAGGGATGGATATTCAAAGATAAAGAGACAAAAACAGTCTTAAAACACAACATATAGAACTAAATATTGCCTTGCAACATGTCAGCTGTGAAATTATTAAAAAAATCAGTACAGGCTGCATCAGATCTAATAATGAATTCACAATATGCTCTGCAATTTCACATATTTTTATTTGTCTGCTTGATGTGCCGGTCTTGTAGATGATCAATTTGCCAATTGCTTTTACATAAATTTTAAACTTTCCCACTTTAAATACTTTGAAGAACATCATTTTATTGACTTGATATATTCTGATATTATGAATTTCCATTGATTGGTTTAGATCTGTCAACGTATATGTGTTCCACCTAACAGAAGTTCCCCTGGAAACTTTGTTATAAACTATGCCATAATATCTGTGCCTATTGGAACAGATATTCTATATTCTTTATTCAGTAAGAAATAAATGCTGTAATATCTGTTCCAGTAGAAATAATATTACAGAATATTTGGTCCACTTTCACATTATATTGTGAATGAACTTCTATTTCATGACAGATCAACTATTATTGAAATTGAAAAAAATGAGAACATTCATTTTGTTGAAAATAATAATAAGCTTTATTGAGAGTCCGCAAAGTAAACAAACAAGGACAGAACATAAGCTCCATTGACTTTTTAACTGACATACAAGGCATAACAATACAATACAAACTTAGACTTGCCTATATCAAAAATATTAAGTTGAATTCAGTTTATTTCTATATCTAACAAAAATCATAAATATCTGTTTCTTGACATGCCTGAAACAAAACTCACTTGCCATTTTTCTAAGTAATACTGGTTTGCATCTTATCTACTTAAACATTGACATCATGTGGTGTCTTTTTGATATTTATCAGAGGGTTTACACGCATTAGAGCTTGAAAAACATTTAAATCCAGTCTCTAACTGAACACAGATGCCTAAGAAATGTATTTTCCTGTTTATAAATATTCATAAATATGCAAAGAGTTGGACGCCTCAAAAGACTTTTTTTTGTTGTCTCCAAAAACTATCTTAACACAAAACACACCGACAAAGTTAGCATCTGTTTGATAAGATAACATCACCCTTCATGTAAAAAAGACGAAATATTCTCAAACCATCAGAGATTAATATTGTCATCTTCAATAAAGTGTTCTATCAACACTATCTGCTGTCTTTATTTGCTATTGATTATTCATTTGTCGGCAAATGCAAAAAGTACAAATTATGTAATTTCCAGAAATACTGCATACATTTTATGTGATCAAAATTTAAACTGACAGTTCTAATTCATACTACTATATTTTTTGAATTGATAAAAACGTTACAAATATTTCTGAATTTACAGTATGTAAGAATCAATAAAGGAATCAATAATAAACTTCCCTTTCACCTACAAAAAGATATTTAAAGGCAGTGTACCAGTCCTGCTGATGTTTATAAACTTTACTGAAGAAAGATTAATATCTCAATTGTATTATATACAATGGTATAGATGAGAGGAAATATTAAGAAATGAAATTTATTGACAATAAGTAGAAACAAAATAAAAATTGTTATTTATACATAATATATCTGGACGGAATGCATTACATGTTCAATGTCTATATTGATCACAATCTGTCATTTTAATTCTGAAATAAAGAAAATATTAAAACATCAATTGGTTTTATAAGTACTATGAATCAAAAATTAAAATATGAACTTATAATAGAGAATCTTTATATACTAATCACAAAGGAAGATTAAAGTCATATGAATCAACTTTCTGGTGACTATAATGTGTAAGGAAATTATTGAACCAATGCATACATATATTCTAAACTAAGTCCTCTGTGCAAATTTTCTTTATATTTATTATGAATTCATAACATTAAATCTACAAAAAACAATATTAAAATCATTTTCTTTTTTCTAATGTTGATTTCTAATGTTGATTTCTAGTGTTGATCAATGATTCAACATTTGTGATATGTTCCCCTATCTCATTTGCTACATTTAATCATTTAATCACTATCAAAGATTTTTTGTGTAATACAATCCATTATATGAAGTTAACATTTGAAAAATGAAAAATTTTCCTTCTAAATTCATACAAATAGACAGCAACATTTATATGCCTGATCTTACCTTCTATCACTAGGCATAAGCTTTCCCATAGGATCTTTGTGTTTCCCTTGCTTTTCTCTCACATAATCGTCGATATCTCTCCAATTCCTGAAGCAAAATACAACTTTCAAATGAAACTATCCCTGTCCCTTTTTATTGTGAATTCACACCAAATAGAAGCAAAACTTTAGAACTAATGTTTACTGGATAATGGGATATACCATTTCATATATATAATCAAATTAATATACAGCATTCAAAACAAATACAGTGGTTTATTCCGAAAAACGCAATATTTTCTGATTTAAATAAGTGCAACTTTACTTTGATGATTCTTTCTGTGGTACAAGAATAAACAATAGTTAGGGTATATGGCTAATTGATATGAATCTAAAATTTTGGCAGAGTCTCATTTAATTGCAAAGGCATAATTGATTTGGAAGTCAAAATGTAAGAAATAATTGTGTGAAATTGAAGTAAATTATTCAAAAATTAATCAACCTACATCATAAGCCACTTATGAAACAATTCAAACCAGTAATTTAGGTTAACAAGGGATCAATGAGCAGTTCTATTAAAATTAAAATTGAAAGGATGCCGATTTCAATTAAATATAAGAAATTGGTCATCTTATTTAGGCTTTAAGGGACAACATTTGATATAAACCAACTATTGAAAATGCTTTTACTTGAAAAAAATACCCCTGCCCAAATATTTTGGGTAACAGGATGTTGTTGAGTGATGAATCTGAAAACGCATCACACAGTATAGCTGACTTATATAAACCCTGAAACCAAATTTCATTTATCCTTATGATGTAGTTCCTGAGAAAGATGTGATGAAAAATATTCATGGGACGGACGGATGGACGGACAGACAGAGGTAAAACAGTATACCCCCACTTTTTTAAAGCGGGGGTATAATTAGGTGAATTTCGTGCCATTTATTGTGGATTCATTTATTTTCGTGGATATTTGATTTGTGGTTTTACAAAAGTCTGCATACCCTGCCATGTCTGGTCTGTGTTTTTGTGTGATGTTTTTCTGCTTTGTATCGATCTGATGAGTTAAGCCTTTTTCAACTGATTTTTATAGTTTGTTCTTATGTTGTGCTTTTACATCACTGTCCCAGGTTAGGAGGAGGGTTGAGCACTCAATAACATGTTTCACCCCACCACATTCTTTATATGCCTGTCCTAAGTCAGGAGCCTGTAGTTCAGTGGTTGTCGTTGGTTCGTGTCTGTCATTATTGAAGGCCGTATGGTTGCCTATAATTGCTTACATCCACTTCATTTGAACATTGGTAGATATTTGTTACATTGGCAATCATACCACATCTCCTTATTCTTATATACAGGCATACAGACAATGTGTACTTAGTTGAATATATAACAAGAATGTGTCCATAGTTCACTGATGCCCCACTCGCACTATAATTTTCAATGTTCAGTGCACCGTGAAATTGGGGTCAAAACTCTAATTTGGCATTGAAATTAGAAGGATCATATCATAAGGAACATGTGTACTAAGTTTTAAGTTGATTGGACTTCAACTTGATCAGAAACTAGCTTGACCAAAAACTTTAACCTGAAGCGGGACAGACGGACGGACAAACGGAAGGACAAACAGACGCACAGACCGAAAAGCATAATGCCCCTAGGTGGGGCATAAAAATCCTGGTTCACCTTTACCTATGAAATCTACAAAGATTGGTACTCCACAAATAACAATGAATCCACAGTATTGTATAGGTTATGTTCACCAGAAAATTTGAGTTAAAGGACAGCATTGGTTTAAGTATGTATAGTTGTTTTTGAAATGAATTACTTTAAATTAACCAATTCTCTAACTCACTACAGTTGTAGCTCTTACAACAACTTTGAAATTAGATGGCTTAAATAGAAATATGACTAAACTATTCTAACATATTTTATGTGTAATCTTCATAGATATTGTACCTGTCATATTCAAAAATTCGTAAGGGTTCAGCAGAACCCAGTGTCTCGCCTACTTTTGCTGTTAATCGCAGGCTCAACAAAAATGAGGGAAAAAAAATAATAAAAATATTCCTCTCTATACTATCTTTTGATTGTAAGTAGCTTCTGTCCAAGTTTGGTAAAAATCCAGGATAGTTTATGAATCTGATAAATGTTTTAAAAACTTAAACTGCAGACTGTATTTAATGTTAACTGGAAGAAAAACTAAGTCCATTTATAAGTAAAATACGGAAAAAATGAAACAAAATTTAAACAAAATTTCCTTCTAGATACTAGCTTTTAATCATAAACAAGCTTCTGTCCAAGTTTGGTACAAATCTAGGATAGTTTAAGAAAGTTGTTAAAATTTTGTAAAAACTTTAACCACAGAGTGAATGTAATGTTAACTGGCAGAAAAACTAAGTCCATTAATAAGTAAAATACGAAAAAAATGGAATTTTTTTTTACAAAATTTACTTCTGGATACTATCTTATGATCATAAACAAGTTTCTTTCCAAGTTTGGTAGAAATCTAGGATAGTTTAAGAAAGTTATTAAAATTTCAAAAACTTTAACCACAGAGTGAATTTAATGTTTCCTGGCAGAAAAACTAAGTCCATTTATAAGTAAAATACGGAAAAAATGGATTTTTTTTTTACAAAATTTACTTTTGAATATTATCTTATGGTCATAAACAAGCTTCTGTCCAAGTTTGGTAGAAATCCAGGATAGTTTAAGAAAGTTATTAAATTTCAAAAACTTTAACCACAGAGTGAATATTTGTGGACGCCGCCGCCACCGCCGCCGACGACGGAATGTAGGATCGCTATGTCTCGCTTTTTGACAAAAGTCGAAGGCTCGACAAAAATGAAAAAAAAAATTGACAATGCAGATTACTTGCCTCATCTTTCTGAGATCTAAGGGAATCTATATTGGGTTCTGAATATTGTGGATCTTTTGACGGATCGTCTACTATAGCTGGATTTGATGTGCTCTGTAATTCAGTCAATAAAGCAAATTAAATCTATATAAACTAAACACATTTTTGTTTAGAAGGTAAAGATGCATGTATGTATCAGAAAAAATATTATATGTTTACTGATCACACTCAAACTCGTACAAGTGTTAACAAATTTCCTTTAATTTTGTCAGCTAAGTTTGAATTTTGCAAACAGCTTTTTAAACACTTTTACAGTATTGAAATAAATATTATTCAGGTGACTTTACTGTAATTAACTTGAGCTCTGGTTGAGAAGTTTTAAGTGAAACTTCAGGTATTTTTTAAATAGCTCTGCGTATATTTAAGATAGAAAATACAATATCAATTGCATGAAAATTCATTAATACATGTATGGCTTTAGTCGTAATATAATCCCATCTTTGCTATTATAAATAGCAATTTCAATAATTTATCTCATCTATTTTTGGTATGTTTTATTTTCAATTGTTACCATAACTTCAGGGGAACTATTACCTATTACATACTTTTGTTTAATTGAATTAGTTTAGTTTAAATAGAGTTTTAAATTGAACATAGCAACCCCAATTTAACCTTTCTTGTACATTATTTTAATGCTGATTCTGTCAAATTGCACTGTACTTAGAAAATAAAATGTTTTACCAAAATTTGTAAGTTCATTCAACGCATTGAAAAAATTATATAGTATTGGCAAAAAGGGAGAAGATATCTGACAGATCTGAAAAATACACACCATTTACAACTCATCACTTCCAAGCTGCTCACTATGAAGTCATTCTGTTAAGTAATATTTGACTTTGAGTAATAAGTGACAAAATGTTTTGTTAATTCAACATATCTAAAACATTCAAAGTATCAGCAAACAGCAAGTAGTAAGTTGGTACCTGACAGATCCAAAAAGTGCTCATACATCACACCTCACCATTGACAAGCTACTTTCCAAATATTAAGTAGTTTTCCTCAGTAGTTTCTGATTGATTGATTGATTAATTGATTGCTGTATAATGCCACTTTTTAACACTATTGTGCTATTTCGTGGCAGTAAGTTTTTATTGGTGGAGGAAGCCTTTAATAGTGCCTGGAGAGAACCACCACCCTTCGATAGGAAAACTGACAATCCTAGTCAATTAAGAATGGAGTCGAGTGCACCTGCCCCGTGCAGGATTCCAACTCACAACCTCAGTGTTGACAGGCTAGTGATACAGTAGTTCGACTACTTAGACCACATGGCCACCGAGGCCCCAGAAGTAGTTTCTGAGAAGTTTGACAAATATATTTGATTGATAAACCGACAGACTATCAGACTAATGGACAGACAAGGTAATTGCAATATAGCACTCACTGTATATAAAATTATATAAATCTTAGCACTCACTATATATAAAATTATAGTGAGTGGGTGTATAATATCACTGCATACTTTTTAAAAGTGATTCACTGATAACATGTTCTTAAATAGAATAAAGTTAAATTACATAGCTGTTAAAGTTATGTCAATAAGTTATAAAGTAATATAAAAAAAAGAGACAATTACCTCTGGTGGGAAGAATCCAGCAAAAGCATGCTTCCATAACTCTATTGGATTCCTGTGAATAACAATAACAAATTAAGAATTAAATGTTCAAGTTTTTTCATTATACAGCTGAACTGAATTCATTAGACGCATGCTTAGTAATTATATATGAGAACCCTGTTGACAGCTAGTCCAATTTGTATTTTGTTTTTTTTTTCTTCAAATTATGCTCAAAAATATGCTCAGTATTAAGTTTATTCAAATTTATTCTTATACACAAATATAATGCAGAATTATTTTTTTTATTTTTTTTAGTTTGGATGCTTTATAAATAATCATCAGTCATTCTTAGTACAGGTTTGAAAAACATTACAAAAATTTTTGTCACATTCAGTAAACAACAGCAAGTGAATTCCAATAGAATACTGTAAACCAACTAATTTTGTGTGCAATTTATTTTCGCGAATATAAATCGCCGTGTATACGTAAAACTTGTATCTTTCCTATTTAACTACATCAAGCATATTTGAAAATCACAAAATTAAATCACCACGAAGTAGGCGAGAAATGGCTAGACGCGCAATAAAGTATCCGGGAAAATAAATTGGTTTACAGTAGTCTTACATGTACAATTGCTTCTATCATAAACTTGTAAAATTTATTCTTATTCCATACATTATTTCTGCTCTATTATTAAATTAAAAATGTTACAAGTTAAAGATCTGAAGAGGTAATAAAATAAAAGGGCTTTATATCTTACTTTGCACTAATTCTGCCGATATCTTTCTCTGACAATGGTGGAGACCCTGCAAGAAAGTTATAAACATGTAAGATGATTTTCAGATTTTAATCAATCTCATGTGTACAAGGAAAAATATCATATAGCTATTTTTCTTTTCATGAATTTTCATTGAAAGGCTTAAAAATCAAAGGCATGTACACATACCGAGAAACATAATAATGAATACATCAATAAACAAAATGAAGTGCACAGTTAGGTCCAACTGAACTACAAACCTTCTGACATTAAACTTGATCTCAAACAAATTTATTTTTCAAAAAAAGTAATGGCTTTATTCAATTCTTTTCACATCTAATTATTGTATCTTAAGTTTTATTACTAAAATTGGAATTGTAATCACTATAGCAGACACAGCCATACTAAGAGTTAATAGGGAAATTTGCTTGAGATGTTGTGATTGTGTGATACAAAGGGTACAAAAAGTATAACTAAAGGAAATCAAACTAGTCTGAATGATGAGCTATCAAAACCTTCGTGAGAATTTTGAACACTCGAGAAATAAATAATACAGCAGAACAGAAATATGAGTACTTGAAAATTTACTGAGCGCTGCAGATATTATCTGGACTTTTTATTAATTTTTGGATGCCAATTTATAGTGGGAACCAATATTTAATGTTCAGTTATGGCTAAAAGTTCAATCAGTAATGATATATTTTGTATAAAAAGTTTAACATAGCAGGTACAACATCTAATATGGAACCTTGATACTTGTTGCAATAAGCCTAGTCCTGCAGACAGGTGCTTATTTCTAAAACCTGACTTACCTATTTGTTGTAATGAATCTAGCCCAGCAGGTACCATTATTGGTTTATTGTGGTCTGTCTGTAAAGTTTTGCTGTAAAATAATAACATGAACAATTCTAATCAGCTTTCATTCCTCCAAAGATTTAAATAAATATAGATAAATTACATTATTTGTAAGGGATCATAAGTTCAGCAGAAATGTAGAGGTCACTCTAACAAATACCAGCCTTTCTGCTAAAAAAGCATGTGTCAACAACATTTTAGATGGCTGGTATGCTCTATCATATCACATACAGATATTATTCATATCTGTAATATTATTCTGTAAACCAACTTATTTTTGTGGATTTATTTGACATTTAGCCCTTACTAGCCCATTTCGCGGCAATTTAATTTCTTGATTTTCAAATTTGCTTGATGTAGTTAAATAAGGAAAGACCCAAGTTTTACATATTCCCGAAGATTTATATTCGCATTATTTTTCTACTCGTGAAAGTCGCAAAAATAAATCGCTTGCGAAAATTAGTTGGTTTACAGTATTTATTTTACTTAACTAAATTTTTTATCAGAAGTATATGTATATAATGTAACAATATTTCTTTAATATGTCCACAAGGTATATTTAAGAATGTTATACTGTTTATTTTAAATAAAATAGATAACCTTTCAAGCAAATTCTGTGGATTCAGTTATTTTCATGGATACAAATTTTCGTGGATTGAGAAAAATTTTATTTTCATGGATATTTGATTTTGCTGTTTTGTTAAAATTTGCATACAAGCCTATAAATTTTTTTTTCCTTTGTTGAATATTAATTTGTAGTTCACCTTCACCCATGAAATCCACAAAAATGATATCCAACAAATAATAATAAATCCACAGTACTTATATAGTGTCAATACAAATAACAAATGTAGACCATCTTTTTCTCAAAATGGATAAACATCAACTTACTTTGCTGTTGTTCCAAACAGATTATGACTTAGGAGTCCTTTCATTTTCGTAACTAATGTTTCCTGTTTTATACTGAAAAACTGAAATAATGATTTATAATTTGTATTTTGTACTTATGATAAAGAAAGAATTATCAAATATATATATATATCTATGCATAGAAACTGTTTTATACAAAATGATATCTTATACCGATCAATGCAAAAGAATATCACTAGCAAATGAATGTACATGTAAACATATTTTTAAGTCATAGAAGAAGAAAAAAACTGCACTTGAAAAAAAAAAGTCTCTAAATTAATACATATTGACATTTTGAGTAACATGATAAACCTTAATAAACTTGTGATAAATACATTATTGATACACTTTTTAAGTTTCATTGTAACAAATTTTCCAAAATAAGTATGGACAAATCCACTGGATTTTATTTCCTTTTTACTGTTTGAATTTATAGAGGATTAAGTTCCTGCGAGTGACATTAAATCATTATGGTCAAACTGTGTTTTGCACTTCACTTTATAGTAAAAATTACTTTTAAATTTTTATAGTGTACCAAATATTTTTTACTATTTTCATAGACTACCAAAAGAGACAAAAAAAATAATATTAATAAAATGCTTCGCTGGGGCGCAGCTTGATACGACCGCAGAGGTCGAAACCCTGAACAGTTGGGGCAAGTATGGACACAACATTCAAGCTTGATACAGCTCTGAATTTGGGTTGTTATTAAATATTTGACACAGCATAGGTTTCTGACACAGAAAGAATGTGGTCTAAGAACTTGAATTTTTTTAATTTACCTATTATGGTCCAATGTCCAAAATCAAAATACATGGTTAGATTCAGCATATCAAAGAACCCCATATATTCAATTTTTGATGAAATCAAACAAAGTTTAATTTTGGACCCTTTTGACCTCAATATGAACCAATTTGATAGCGGGGCCCACAAATAAAAAATCTAAATTCATGGTTAGATTCAGCATATCAAAGAACCCCATATATTCAATTTTTGTTGAAATCAAAAAAAGTTTAATTTTGGACCCCAACTTGGACCAACTTGAAAACTGGGCCCATAATCAAAAATCTAAACACATGTTTAGATTTAGCATATCAAAGAACCCTAAGAATTCAATTTTTGTTAAAATCAAACTAAGTTTAATTTTGGACCCTTTGGACCTCAATGAAGACCAATTTTAAAAAATGGGACCCAAATTAAAAATCTAAAAACACGGTAAGATTTGGCATATCAAAGAACCCCAATAATTCAATTTTTGATGAAATCAAACAAAGTTTAATTTTAGACCCTTTTGACCTCAATATGAGCCAATTTGATAGCGGGGCCCACAAATAAAAAATCTAAATACATGGTTAGATTCAGCATATCAAAGAACCTCATATATTAAATTTTTGTTGAAATCAAACAAAGTTTAATTTTGGACCCCAATTTGGACCAACTTGAAAACTGGTCCCATAATCAAAAATCTAAATACATGTTTAGATTCAGCATATCAAAGAACCCCATATATTCAATTTTTGTTGAAATCAAACAAAGTTTAAATACTGGACCCTATCTTGGACCAACTTGAAAACTGGGCCCATAATCAAAAATCTAAACACATGTTTAGATTTAGCATATCAAAGAACCCCAAGAATTCAATTTTTGTTAAAATCAAACTAAGTTTAATTTTGGACCCTTTGGACCTCAATGAAGACCAATTTTAAAAAATGGGACCCAAATTAAAAATCTAAAAACACGGTTAGATTTGGCATATCAAAGAACCCCAATAATTCAATTTTTGATGAAATCAAACAAAGTTAAATTTTAGACCCTTTTGACCTCAATATGAACCAATTTGATAGCGGGGCCTACAAATAAAAAATCTAAATACATGGTTAGATTCAGCATATCAAAGAACCTAATATATTCAATTTTTGTTGAAATCAAACAAAGTTTAATTTTGGACCCCAATTTGGACCAACTTGAAAACTGGGCCCATAATCAAAAATCTAAATACATGTTTAGATTCAGCATATCAAAGAACCCCATTTATTCAATTTTTGTTGAAATCAAACAAAGTTTAAATACTGGACCCTATCTTGGACCAACTTGAAAACTGGGCCCATAATCAAAAATCTAAACACATGTTTAGATTCAGCATATCAAAGAACCCCAAGAATTCAATTTTTGTTAAAATCAAACTAAGTTTAATTTTGGACCCTTTGGACCTTAATGTAGACCAATTTAAAAAACAGGACCAAAAATTAAAAATCTAAATACACGGTTAGATTTGGAATATCATAGAACCCCAATAATTCAATTTTAGATGAAATCAAACAAAGTTTAATTTTGGACCCTTTTGACCTCAATATGAACCAATTTGATAACGGGGTCCACAAATAAAAAATCTAAATACATGGTTAGATTCAGCATATCAAAGAACCCCATATATTCAATTTTTGTTGAAATCAAACAAAGTTTAATTTTGGACCCCAATTTGAACCAACTTGAAAACTGGGCCAAAAATCAAAAATCTAAATACATGTTTAGATTCAGCATATCAAAGAACCTCATATATTCAATTTTTGCTAAAATCAAACAAAGTTTAATTTTGGACCCTTTGGACCTTAATGTAGACCAATTTGAAAACTGGACCCAAAATTAAAAATCTAAATACACTGTTAGATTCGGCATAACAAATAAATAAATGTGATCAAAGATTTTACAAATCTAATGTGCCATACTGTGCAATTAAAGATTACTTCTTGAAATTTTTCAATATTTGAAATTTGAAAAAAAAATAATATTTGAAGAATAATTCTTTTTAATTTCTGAAATCTGAAATGAGAAAAAATTGACCCCCCACAATTTCTTTTTATCCCCCCCCCCTTTTTTTCCCCAAAAAAATTCTTTCCCTCAAGATATGGTCATAATCTCAATTCAAATTTCCAATGGAGTTGGCAACAATAATTACCCATTTAAATTTACCATAGTGCTAACTTAATCTATTTTATAATAGAATTAAAAATATAGTGTCAAATCTTTCATATGGATTTTTTTGTAAAAAAAAAAGATGCAACATTTGCAGATATTTTTACTGGTGTTCCTTTATAAATATGTATTTCTTTAAACATAATTTAAAAGCAGTGTAAGGGAAGTAACCAAAACGTTGTATTTGGATTACCTCCCTTACACTGTTTTAAATTATCTTTATTGTTCATTAACCATTACTTTATACATAATTTAAAAGCAGTGTAAGGGAGATAATTTCAATGATGTATTTGATTTATCTCCCTTACACTGCTTTAAATTATGTTTTGTACTAAAGTATTTGTCCATTAACCAGGACAACCTTGTTTTTCCCCCTTTTTTGCCCCTAATTCCTAAACGGTTTGAGCCATAACCCCCCAAAGCAAATCCTAACCATCCCTTTGTGGTATGGAAACTTGTAGTATAATTTCAGAGAGATCCATACACCGTTCCACAGTTATTGTCTGGAAACTAGAAAATGCTTATTTTTGGCCCCTTTTTGGCCCCTAATTCCTTAACTGTTGATACCATAACCCCCAAAATCAATCCCAACCTTCCTTTTGTGGTATTGAACCTTATGGTCAAATTTCAAAAAGATCCATTCACTTAAACTAAAGTTAGAGTGCGAAAACCAATGTGTCTTCGGACGACGACGCCGGATGACGACGACGACGACGACGCCAACGTCATACCAATATACGACCACAAAATTTTTTTGCTTTCGTATAAAAATTATTTTACCTTTATGTAAACAAAAAGTAATACACATTATTCAAGTTAAAAGGGTAACTTTTATAATTTTTCAGATGGACATGTGGGATCAAACTATGCATTGTATCCATGTGCAGATAATCATCCCACACAAAAAATGAAAAAATAAAAACACACATAAACCCTATTTTTTTAGAATCTTACATCCATATGAAAAACAAGTGTATACTTACTTGCAATGTTGCTCCATGAGTGTGAGCTAAAAACCTCAGTGTTTTACATATTACTTTTCTCTCTTCTGAACCAAACTCCTACAAAATATAATATCAAAACTTTTATTCAATTACAATGTACAAAATTCAAGGAAAAGACACTTCTTATTCAAATTTCAAATTTTATGTTTCTAAATAAACAGTTGTGAAAAAACCTTTTTCCTAAAGAAAGATACTTTTCATGAATCCTGACATTACATTTTTATATCACATAAAAGAAAGAAAATAGATATTGCAACACACCATTTTTCGCAAAGTTTCATAACTTTGGACTGCAAAAGTGAAAATCACCAGAATTGAACAGGAGTTTATTGTCATAACTCTAGACTGTGTGTACAAATTTCTAGCAATTCAGTCAAATTTAATTCAAACTGAATGTGAAAATCTAAAAAAAAAAATGAGCTTGATTTTATGAATACTATTGAAACATAATATAAAATTAGGGATTCAGTGAAAGCAAACTCATACAAGTAAACAAACAAATGTGGAAGATATTTTTCTTGGGTATCAAAGTTCCTTCACTTTGGTACAACAGAAGTAATCAAAGTGCTTGTAAGCACTGAAGGGTAAAGATTGCTTTAATTTATCAGTGGGAAGTAAAATCAAATATTGCATTGCATAAAGCATTGGTTTTAGTTGATTCAACTACAATTCTGGACAAAGGAAGATAACTCCAATTTTTTAAGATGACTTTAACAATGACATCATTGATATTTTTAGAACAGATATTAGATTCCTGCACCTTGCAAAAGTTATGTAATTTTCTTGACAAGTATAACATTATTTTGTGACTTGAATATCTGAGCATATACTTCATTGATAAATTTCTGGAAATGTTCATGAATAGAATGTATAAAATGTTATGATCAATGCACTATATTTTGTGTATCTCAAAGGTAGTGATAAACCTTGGAAGATTTTGAAATCAAGTCAGTCCCATAGGGTTTTGGTTGCATTTCATGCAATCTTTACCCAAAAACTGACACATGTTGGCAGATAGCAACAGAATATCATAATATGTTTTTTTAAAATAGAAAAAGGACTAAATAATAGAAAGCTTTTACATTTTTTTACTATAAAGAGTTGACAAAGAAGCTGTCAACATCTGATATTGTAGCTTGCCAAAGGTAGCAGCCCACTGCTCATTGTTGGACGCTGTACAAGGATCTTTATTTGCTCATCCTCCTCTTTAGGGATCTTTGAAGGGTGGCTGTCTCATTTACTTTTCCATCACATTCCTGAGATATCTTGTGTTGCAACTGTACTTCTTCTTTTCCATTTGAATCTTGACATTTGGATTTTTTTATTTGTAAATATTACAAAATAGTCATAGTTTTATCTATCTTTAAATACTTTGAAAACATACTACAAATGCATTGTCCCATTTTTTTCTAAAAAAATGTCCTTGTTAACAGCCAACCCTTATTTTAGTCCAAATTTACACAATTCCTCCTTTAATTGACTTTAAATGATCTATGATGTGTTATAACATTAAATCATTTAAATAATCAAGTTGTAAACTTTGTAAACTAACAAAGTCCTACCTGAAATAAGTCATATTTTCCACCAATAATAATCAAAGGTACCAAGAAGGGATTCATTAAGTTTTTATCCTGTAATGATAAAAGTAAATTAATGTTAATATTAGTAAAAATCGAAAAACAGAAGTAGTTATGATAGTTCCATTTCACTAATTATTTTATAACACTTGTTATTGTACCGAGTGAATAAAATTTTTTACTGTAGTAAGGTCTAAAATCATTCTTATTAATGTGTAAATCAATTACAATGTTCTGGGAGGTTCAAAATGAAATTATTTTGTTTCTAGATGGTTTTCTCAAACACTATCTCAGACTTATTAATTTGCTTTTTGTACCAACTCTTTCCCTAGCTAGCTTAAACTATGTAGTCTGTTGATTACACGACCAATTTCCAAAAGTTTATATACTTACTGGATGGTCTGCCCCTACTCTTTCCCAAGCTTGTTTTGTTAATCTATCTTTGACACCAGGATCCTCAGATTTCAGTTCCTCTATTACTGTATTAAGTCTAGACTTTGCAGAGTTTAGGAGTGTTTCTAGGTTGTACCATATCTCTTTAGGTTTGGACAGATCTATTACAATAGCTACTGCTGTGTGACTGTAAAGAAAAGTAAAGAGCTTTTCGTAATTCAAAATACATCTAGTTTGTTATTTAGCAATTTTTCACTAAAATCATTACTTCATCTATTTTTTTATTTACTTTTACTCTTTCTGAGTTTTTTTTTTTATGTATGAATGGTTGGTTTGAAGGTCATATTTCTTGATTTGCTAAAACACTGTGATATAAATTTTCTTTGAAATAAATTTTGTAGTTGTTTTCAATGCATATTATGGAAAATATAAAAATGTCTGATTTCAGGCAAATGAATAAGCTTTGTTAATCATCAGGAAAATGGTCCTAACTGAAAACAATTACAAAAGCAGACTCTACCACTGCATAATAAAAAGTGCATTACATGGAACAGGAGATTTCTTTCTCATAACAATAAATTTGAAAATAGTCAAACCTTTGTTCTGTACCAGAGAAAAGTGACCTTATAAGAGAAATGACCTATCAATTGAGACTTCAGTGGGACTAGAAGAGGTTTCTACTTGATAGAAGTGACCTTTATTGCAGGTTTGACTGTATTTAGAACAGTTAAAATAGCTACATCTAAAAACCCACCAATTAGTTACAAGCTATAATAAACCCAATGATACCTTAGTGAAGATGGATTAAGTGGAACATCCATTAGTTTAGACAACCATGTTCCTCCTCCAAGCTCCCATATATGTCCAACATCTTTTGCCTTAAAAAAATAATCGAAAAAAGCATGAAAATTTTATGTAATGTTCTATCTGATGTTGATTCTACTGTCAATAACATAGGAATTGTGAGTGGTTAAAATTGACATTTCAATGTTGGAATGTTGGAAACACTTGTAACTTCACAATGCAGATGGAGTTTTCTCCAACTCAAAAATCAATAAAAATTAGAAAGTAGTTTATAGCTTAACTTCATAAAGACTAAACGAAACATTACTTCATAGACATTTTCAACACTAGCAGCAAATAAAAGAGAAGGCATTCTATTTAAAAAAAGAAATATGGAAGGGACATTGTTACACTTACAATATTATGTCCTTTTGCTCGACGTCCAAATGTGTATTCTAGAGCTACAGTTGGTTTTGGTGCCTCATCTCTTTAACATAAAAATAAGCATTAAAATACATAAAGGCAAACCTGTATTATAAGACCACTCATTAAAGTAGGCAAAAGTGGTGTCTTAACATAGGTGAATACTTCAGATATGTCCGAACAGAATATTTAACAATTTGTAATAATGAAAGATATTTTATGGTTACAACAAACAGAAACATCTTGATCAGTTTTGATCATGATATACATCAATGTAAAGATGAATTGTACAAGAAGTCTATGAAAGCATGTTTTAAATTACAACCATGTATGTCATCTTCAAATCCTAGTGTTTCAACCTTACTTCATTTATATGACCATACTGTAAAGCCAATTTTAACCTATGGATGTGAAGTTTGGGGTATGTTTTAAGTTAACACAGCTGCATGTAAGAAAAATAATCAATATATCTTAGAAAATGTGTTTTCAAAAGATACATCTGAAAATCATATATCAAATTTATGAAATATATATAAGAAGATGTGGTATGAGTGCCAATGAGACAACTCTCCATCCAAGTCAAAATTTATAAAAGTAAACCATTATAGGTCACAGTACGGTCTTCAACACGGAGCCTTGGCTCACACCGAACAGTAAGCTATAAAGGACCCCAAAAAATTACTAGTGTAAAACCATTCAAACGGGAAAATCAACGGTCTAATCTATATAAAAAACGAGAAACGAGAAACACTTATGAACCACATCAACAAACGACAACTACTGAACATCAGATTCCTGACTTAGGACAGGTGCAAACAAATGCAGCGGGTTTAAACGTTTTAATGGTACCAAACCTTCACCCTTTTTCTGAAACAATAGTGTAACATCACAACATAGAAAGACACACTATGAAATATCAACTGAAATAGCTTAACTCAATCAAAGGACATATTAACACCATTGAACATACACTGAACAAATAAATTTGACCTATGACACAATGTAAATACAAAATAAATAAACTAAGGGAAGAATAATAAAAGTAACATGTTATATCGGTAAGAAATGTTAAACAATTAAAGAAAAACAATATGCTCCAACAAAAATACCATCCATTGGCAATAACTTTAAACACAGGTAAATGAAAATAAAATGAAAATGAAAATATGTATTTTTTTTTATTATTAATTGTTTTGGCTTTTAACTAGCTGTCAGTAACTGTGAGTACTCTCAAATCGTACTTTCTTTTTAATTTGACCTTTTGATACTATTTGTAATGCTTTTTTGTTATTTAATGTTAACATGGATCTTGTCTATATACCAGCTTTGATTATTTGGTATTTAATTACTACAAATTTTCACTTCTTCATGCTATGAACATCAAAATTATTTCATTTTTCCTTAGATGCTGTTCTTGGACCTGTACAGGAAGTTTTATCTAGCACTAATTGTATATTTTTATTGTTGATATTCACCCCATATGTACCAAGTGTTAGATAAGTTTTATTGATATTAAAGAAATTTCTTGGTATTCCTAAACGGAAGATTTTATACACACAGAAGAAGAAGTATACTTAACAACAAAATTATTTTCATTTACCTGTGTATAATATGAAATATGATTTGAGAGTTAAATTATCTTGGATAAAACCTTTGCTTGTGGAATGATTGCTAAGTCAGGACATTTCATGAGGTAGTCTATTTTATCTCTTCTCTTAATCCATTATATTTTTAGCATAAAAGAGGGTGGTAAAGGGTTATTTTCGTGCAACATGTTTTGCCATTTTTATTTCACGTGCAGCCGTGAAAAAGGTTTGTTATTCACCGTGTTTCGTGAAATCGGTAAAAAGATCAACGTGCAAGAAATTTTTAATTGTTCGTTCATCGTGAAATGGCAATTTTATTTCGTGTTCTTCCGTGCAGATACCCCCCTTTACGCCCCTCATAAATTGTTGAAATGTGCATTAAGGGCAACACGATAGATAATGCTAATGTTATTCAATTCTAAGGTGTATGACTAACTACCTGAATGTCTAGCAAGCAATGATTAATAATAAGATAGAGAAAAAATACATGACAAGAAACATATTTACCTGTCTAAGAAACGAAGTACTATGGATGTCTTTCCCTGTAAAAACAACAAATCAAATTCAGAATATACCCATTTTTAACTTAAACAAAAACAAAAGGTAAATTTGAATCATATATTCAAACAATCAAAAACTAAAAATGTAACAAAAATCAACCAAATGATTCAATCTCAAATATCTCTCTGTATATCAGATCATTCAAAATAACTTGTTTCACTGTGATTCAGTTGACACCAGTAACAAAATTATTTTGTGTATACTGTACTAGTCATGTCACAGGTGCAAAATTTCAAATCTATGATAGTTCATCTTTACTAAAATGTTTGTAACATCAGCAAGATTAATACATTACAAACCTACCATTCATTATTTCTCAAAAAGACCCATTAGAATGTCAACAGAAAAATACTCACTGAATTTTTTGCTCCTACAATAAACACTGACGATTCTTCTCCAGTAGCACCTTCAGCTAAAATGCACATTAAATAAATATATTACTTCTGAAAAATATCATATCCAGGTAAATGCAGTATCTTGATCATCAAAATTGTTGTTTGTCCAACAGAAAATGATGTATTGTATTTACTTATAATTCAATCAAATAAAAAAGCATGTCACTGTTACAATAACAAGTTGAACTTATACATGTTATATATAGTAGTCAATAAAAGGATATTTTTAATGTATACACGAGTATTTAAGTGCAACTTTCGACTTGAAGCATTTTGTTGTTTTACAATTTTCAACAATTTACAATGATTTAAGATAATTTTTCATTCTTATAATATTTCTGACACAACTAGTTGAACTTATATAGACAATAGAGGGATTTTATTTTTGCATACATGTGTACTTTAGTGCAATTTTGGAACAATGTTTCAGTTCACTAAATCATGTTAAGTGGGAGATTTTTATCAACTCTTTTCTTCAAGTCTTGAATTGAAGTACTTTGTGGTTTAAAACTTTCAGACATGTCAGACAATTAAAACAAAAATATTGTCATCATGTATTTCAATTTAGAATAAAAAGATAATCACTTTGTCCTATATAAATGAATCTGTTCTCAACCCACTTCTGCTATAATATTAATTAATTGACTGTTGCTTGCTTAATAGTCTAGTGGTAACTATGAAAATGACAACATATATTTTTAAATTGAGATGATTTATTTCAATTTTGGGGTCAATACTCCATAGAATAACTTTGTTCCTAACCACTTGGCAATGGCATTCTAGTTAGAATTTTGAGCATGGGGTATGTTCACACAAAATTTTGAAGGTTTTATTATTAAAAAAGGCGTAAAATATTCTTTGTGCTAGGGGTCGTCTTAAACATGCAGTAAGGTGAGAGCTTTTTTTTGCTCTGTGTTGAAGGCCTCACTGTGAATTTTAGATGAAGAACAGCAATAAAAGCGCTGTTCCTTTGCTTTGTGTTTTTTGCTGTGCATGCATTGATTTTGTGTCATGGATGGATACCCCATATCCTTTCTTTTCTTTATTGGATCCAGTAATCTAAACATCATCATATAACAATTACTAATATCATACCTTTACTTTCATTTGATTCCTGTATTGCAACATCCCATAAAGATTTTTCCAGTCTGAAAGCAAGAATGTTTTTTTTATTAAAATAACTGTAACTAGATCATATGCATTTTTGCTCTACAAACTTATTATTGGTTTTATGTATTTCTTGTCCTCTGTTTAATGTGTTCACCACTTGCCTATAGGCTTGGGACAATTTAGAGTTTGCTATACAATGTAAGCACTTTAATTAAAAATAGTCTAGATATGTCTATATAATATCTCTTTTAAAATTTACATTATCCTTTGTTTTTTATGCATCTTTCTTGGCAAACAAATTTATTACAAGAAGACTGGAAGCATTTTAATTCGAAAGCCTGTATTTCTCACCTGGCTATCATTATAGTATTACTTTACCCTATATTTGATTTTATAGCTGTTTCATTGAAATTTCAATTATTTTGTCAAAATTTCTTCTTTTGTAAGAATGGAATTTTATATTTTTCGCAGAGAAGCGGCAAATATCACATTAAATGACTTTTGTTTGACCATTTTGAATCATTTTATAATCAAACCAACAACAAAACCCATGCATGCCATAGCTCAAGCTGTTTTATAATTGAGGATACTCTGAAAACCCTGAAAGCACCCAAAAACCCATTTAAAATCCTAAAAGCCTGGTTTTTTTCTTCCAGAAAGCGCTATCTTAAATGGTCTAATACCAGTTATCTGCAATGAACAATGAAGACCCTAGTTTTGAGATGTATATTTTATTTTTACTCGGGTAACATTACCTATCTCTTACATTTTGTATTAGAATGTGAATTTGAGACCAATCTAAGAGTAAAGTTCCATACAATAGCTCAGACACTTTAGGAAGTAGAGCGAAATTTTTCTAACATTACTTAAACCATACAAGTTCCACTAACTTTTGCATCACAATTTAAAAGATTTTGACGTTATAATTATAAAGGACATTTTCTATTGTGGCGTCAAAATTTTACGGGAACCTAAATTTGTGATGTCCAAAAATGGAAGACAAATAGCGAAAAGTGTGTGTATACAAAACATACAATCATGACGATTGACAATCTAATGTTAGTAGCAGCACATTAATAGCAGAAAATAGGGTCATAGTCACATACCGGTGATATTGGTTGGAGGTGTCAAAGCAATAATTTACTTTAGTATACAACATAAACAAATAAAAGGCAAATTTTCTAGTTTAGACATATGGTGGTTGCTTTTTTATGGTCTTCAAAGGCTGGATACTGTTACAGAATTTCTCATGAAATAAAGTAAATATAAAAAGTGTCATGGAACAAGAGATTCTTACCCTTTTGACATATCTGATGGATGTAAATATTCAGTGGAATGTTACTGGTTCTGTATTGGATTTTAAACCAGTGTTTTGTTTATGGTAAATCTAATGACCTAATATTGAAAATAAATAATGAACACAACGTATCATTTAAAAAGTTTTTATTGCACAATGAAATCAGAAATATCAATATGGAAAGGAAAAAAATACTACAGAGAATATTTGGAAATCATTTTTTTTTCAAAGAGTTTAGTTTCATGTTGGTTAAAGTATTTGATATCCTGTGTAGAATCTACTCGGAAATTATTCTCACTTTATCCGGCACCGGTCTGTTACTATGACTACTGGTTCCAAATTTATTTTCGTTTAGAGCTAAGCTCAACGAAAAATTAATCAGGCACAAAACCAGCAACAGAAAAATTTAGCACATTTTCTTCTGGAACAATCACTTTCACAATGTCTAAAGCCTGGCAAGATTTCTTGACAAGTGAAGGATTTGAACGTATCGAGAGTGCAACGAAGCTGTCAGATGAGGACTCAAACGACGATCCAGACGATGATCCATACAGGTAAAAAAGATGTACTTCTGTTCATGCATCCAATTGTCAGACAGACATAAATTTATGCACATGCACTTGTTTCATTTGATGGTAAAGGTCCGATCCTTCTCTCTTTCACATAAAACAAGTGTCTGTGCATTTATAAATATTTTGTAGAAATCCACCCATTAAAGACCGATGTAAGGGTACATTTTTTTGTACATAGGGTATAGACTGTTATACATTATGTGTTCAGGTGTGTATTCCAATAGACCACTTTCGAGTTATGTCCTTCATCGGAAAAGTTCATCAATTATGCATGCCTTGTATCCCTGCACTATTAAAGTTCATCAAGAATCTTCGTGATTGTCATTGTGCAGGATAAACTAGAAATAATGTTTGTTCCGTAGTACTTAATCACAATTCCCTAAGGACAGCAGTGCTGATTATCAATTATTAGAATTCAATTTGCTGAATAATTTAATTTGTGCAATATAGCCTCATATTTTTTTAACCGCCTAACATGGGAAGTAAGTGACGATGCCCCTAAACGCATGAATGATGTTCACTAAAACCAAGTTTTTGATGGAAATGCAACGAACTCGAAAGTGGTCTATTAAGCCTCTTACTGCCCGAGGAACAGTGTTTATGCAAGCACTCTTTCATTACCGAGTCTCTTTCATATTAAACATCGAAGATTATACTGTGTAATATTTTTCATCAGTAATCAATTTAGTGGATTAAGTATCGATATCAGGACCAACACAGCCAGTTCATAACACCTGTATTTAATTATTCTAAGTTTTTAAGTAAAATTTTAAAAATAAAAACAACAATAAATATAGAATGCATGCATCCAAAGAGCATCAAAGTCTGAAAGCCAAGGATATATAAGAACTGAAACAGTTGAAGAGCTTTCCAGTATTCAAGTACAACCAAAGTATTGTGAGGTGTTAAACATATGCAGTTCTGTGAGTCGGTAACCCCATATTTATACTCCATAGAAGTTCAAAGTCACCTAACTAGCAACCTAACTTTTAGGTATGAAGTACACATTCAAAGAGATCAGTGGTAACAGACACTATACTTTCAGCTGTCAACATATTTGCTCTTAAGACAGTCAGGGATATAACTCTATAGGGTTATTACAGAAAAATAACATACATTTGTTATTGTGGACTAAAAAATCAAAGAACTGTGATAACATATGTATGTTACATGTTTCAAAGGGGCAATATACATCATTAGTTTAGTTAAAATGTATAAAAGTTCTATTGATATTACTTTTGTCTATATATATACTTAACTATTGAAAGATATAACAGTTCATAGTTTGCCAATTTTGCATAGTACACCTATATGTTATTACAGAAAAAATACGCCTGTAATAACTAAAGGGTGTTATCACAGCTTCTCTATATCACTTCAAAGCATTTGCTCAGACATACATCATGCTTAATTACAATGTATTTTAATTTATTGTAAGAAATAATGACCAGAGCATGTAATGAGGTTCTGTGCAAGTTTCTCAGTAATTCCCAAGTGTCTTATATAATAAGTTACATTCCTTTAATAACCTAGCCTTGTTATCACAGCTAAGTTTATCCCTTAATAGCCTCGTCTCATTGATTTACCATGGTTAATCAAAAATGAATTAATTTAATTAAAAAATTAGTTATCAAGGCTATGCATTTAGTTTCTGCGCAAAGTCTCTAGAGTTCCCTAGAGCCCACTATAAAATAAATAATTTTACAAATAACAAACATATGTTATTACAGATTTAGAAAATTTAAGGAATAAAGAGTAGACAACTCATGAAAGTATCTGTAATAACACACGCAAGTTATTTTCTGTAATAACCCTATAGAGTTATATCTTTGACTGTAAGATATTGCATTTCTCTGTCAAAAAGTTTTTCACTCCGTGAAATTACATCACACTTTGTTGCTTATGACTACATGTTCAAAAGTAGGCTACAATCTGATAGCAAATTCAGTAATACATTCATGATATTATGGTCATAATCGACAATGTCTTTAAATTTCTGGCTGATGAGTTAGAATATTTATATTAGAATATCCAGATATTTGTAAAACATGAAAATTATGATTTCAATAAACTTACATGAACTTAAACTAGTACTTGACAAATATTTGCATGATATTAAGCACTACATAGGTGCCAAATTTTTAAATTCCCTTCAACATGTTCAAATGAGGAGATTGGTGTTTGTCTTTCATGTCTTTGTTTAAGATTTTCTTATTTTATATCTAGGTCAAAACAATTAAATATCATTTATAATAAATTTAATTATTTTGTGTGAAAGTGCCTAAAGTTAACCTTCTTTTTATACCCCCGCTTTAATGTTTTACCTCTGTCTGTCCATCTGTCAGTCCACGTCATTCCATCTGTCCCATGAATATTTTTCGTCGCATCTTTCTCAGGAACTACATTACAAGGATTTCTGAAATTTGGTTTCATGGTTTATAGGAGTCAGCTATACCCTGTGATGCGTTTTCAGATTCATCACTCAACAACTTCCTGTTTACCTTATACTTTAAGCGGGCGGGGGTATCATTAGTGAGCAGTAGCTCACAGATTCACTTGTTTAAGAACTAAGCAACATAAATATCCCGGAACCAAACTAACTTGATTATGATATATCATATATAGATGGTTGGCTATGTTGTTCAAAATATTAAATTTGGCTCTTTTATTTTACAGGTCAAAGTACAAATCAAGAGAAATATATCTTGAACTGCAGGAAAAGTTGAAACATTTGTTTGAAGGCGATGAAGAAAACAAGGACTACCGCATTATAAATGCTGTTTTGAATTTAAAGCTAGCAATTAACTATATAGACACAGAAGAGCTTTCAACTGGAGAAGAAAAGATATTGAAATGCGTTGATGACCTAGAAAAATTCAAACTGGAAAATAATGTAGTTAATGTATACCAACATCTACTAAACAATTTGGGTATACTATGGTCAGCAAGACGTGATTATGATAAAGCATTAAAATTTTTAAAGGATGCTGAACAGCAGTATTTGCGTTTTAAAGAAGAATGTGGATCAGCACCAAAGTCACTTCAAGAATACTTAGAAAAACCTTGGGACGAAGACAAAATGGAGCACAAGAGAAATCTTGAATTTGAAAAAACATACACGCTAACTCTATATTATATGGCTCAGGTATATGCTAAATTAAATGAAAAAGAGCTTTCAGCTGAGTATTGTCAAATTACACTAGAACGGCAGTTAGAATGGAATACTTATGAACCAATGGAATGGGCACTTTGTGCAGCAACCTTATCCCAATACTTCATATCAACAGATGATTATACATTGGCACGTCATTGTTTGGCATGTGCTGAATTTATATACCAAGAAGCCATAGACAAGGACACCCCAGATTCTTCTGAAGAGGCAAAAGAAAAGCTTAAACAAGGGAAAGCTGACATAGAAAGGTGTTGGATAAAGTATGGACTAGCTTTAATAGAGTCATCTAAAAATAGTTTGATGTACGAAGATGGAGCACCATCTTTTAAAACATCTCATGAAAAATTTAGGAAGTTTAACCTTGAAGTAACCTCAAGGGAAGAACAAGTAACTGACCAAATGGTGAAAGATTTTACCGAGGCTAGAAATGTATTCTTAAAAATTCAGCAATGGATAAATTCGGCCAAAGACTTTTATGCTTTAGATGGCAGATGTACTGACTTTGTTGAAATTTCTCAAGATCATAGTACAGCTTATAAATACTTAGCATTCTTTGAAATGGACATGGAAAGACAATGTAAAATGCATAAAAGAAGAGCAGACATTATTTCTGCATTGATAAATGAGTTGAATCCTCAACATTATCTTCTTGCTGTAAGGCAGTTAATGTTTGAAGTTGCTGAGATTTTTAGTCAGATGTTGGACTTAAAAGTGGCAATACTACAAGATGAAGAAGTGCGACCGACACCTCATGCATTGAAGAAAATAAACCTTCTGGCCCAGCAAAGCATTGCAAAATATGATGCTTATTTAGACACTTTAAAACCATTAGGGAAATCCGAATTTCCTGAAGAATTTTCATCGGATGATGTGCGACCAGCATTAGTGGCTTCGTTTTCTAAAGGAAGACTACATTCGAAATTTGTGACACCTGATGTAAAGCAAAGAATAGCAAACATTCAGAAAAGTATAAATTGTTATAAATTTGTTGTTGACTATTGTGACAAACATCCATCTGTTGAAGCTCTTGTCCCTGAAGAGTTAAACATTTGCCGAGAAATGGTTGCGTTGCTTCCTCTTAAAATGGAGAAAATTAGACAAGGTGCTGAAATATAGACAAATGAATTTCTTTTATTAAGTGCATTTGTATCTTATTCATACACTAAAATAAAAAAAAATGAAAATTGTAGGTCAAGTTTGATATTCTGGTTTTCCACTTTACGGTTCAGGAGTTATGGTCCTTGTTTGATTGGAAACGGGCACTTTATGTTGTTTACATACAATAACTTGAGAACTGTTCTACCAATGCTTTTCATATTTTAATATGCTGCTGCTGATGAAAAACATTTTGTCATCTTAGAAACTTACTATTTTCTCTTTTCTATTCAGGAGTTCTGGGCTTTCAAAGCTTTAAAAATGACTTATCTAATTTAAAAAAAAAACTGGTTTGTACATTTGTAATGTATTCCCTGTCCGTCAGTTTTATTAATTTAACTAAATATTTTTCTAGTTGTTTGCAACTAGATAAATCTGCTGACTTCAATAAATACTGACCGCTGCTTTTATACTACCGAGTAACATATAAAGATGTCCACAGAAGGCACAGATCTCCATTTCAATTTCTATTGCCACTATTGAAGAGCTTCTCTGTCGTAAGAAACTCTCTACATTAATTGGATCAGGGTGCCAAAAGAGCTTCCAATATGGTTACCAGTTTATAATGTATATCATAGTGGTATGTTTTTCAATTGAATATTTGATCTCATTTGATATCTATTCTCTGACCTTCGAAGCAGCTCGGAGGTCTAGTGGTAACGTGTTCGCCTCAAGTGCAGGAGGTCATCGGTTTGAACCCAAGCCGGGTCAAACCAAAGACTACAAAATTGGTATTTGCTACTTCTTTGCTAAGCCAGGCAGCATTAAGGAGTAGAAGCAAAGACTAGTCGACTAGGAGTCAGAATAATGTGTCCTGGTAGGGCAACATGTCTTCCTGCAGACTGTTACATTGTGATCTAGCATGTTAAAAATGCAGCTCAGGGTGTCGGTATAGTACAAAACAGGGTTAATATTCATATTACATTAACATAACCTTGTCCTTGTTAATCTTTGTATCTTCAAGCAGGAAGAAAACAAGCATTCTGAGAGTATTGCATGGCAATACATAGTCCCCTTCCGTTAAAAATTCATTGTACTGGAACAAAATGCTAACTTGATCATGGTGTACAACAAATATCAAGTCAATATCTTCAAGCATGACGAAAAAAAGTACGGAAAACTGATTGAGTGAATTTTCTAAGTCCAAGGACCATAACTCTGCACAAAATCATGAGACCAGAACAAAATTCGAAATCAATTTGTAACTTATCATGATAAAACTCTATACCAATTATCAAATCAATATCTTCAAGCATGACGAAAAAAAGTGTGGAAAACTGATTATTTGAGTGAATTTTTAAGTCCAAGGACAATAACTCTGCACAAAATCATCAGACCAGAACAAAATTCAAACTTGATCTGTAACTTGTCATGATAAAACAATACACCAAATATCAAATCTTCAAGCATGAAGAAAAAAAGTGTGGAAAACTGATTTGGCGGACTGACGGATGGACAGACGGATGGAGTGCTAAAAGTCCCCTTCGACTTGTAGGTAGGGGACTAAAAAGTGTGGAAAACTGATTTGACAGACTGACGGATGGACAGACAGACAGATGGAGCGCAAACCTAAAGTCATCTTCGACTTTGTCGGTAGGGGACTAATAATAAGGTTTTTAGCTGTCCAAATGAGCAGAAGCCTTCAACCATTATAACAAATTTATAAATGTATACTCCATATTGTTGGCTAAACCTGAAAATCATTATCTTGTAAATAAATGAAACTGTACATATAGAGATGACCTTTGTTTTTCATAGTGAACTATCAATTTGCATGTATTTGAATAGCACCTGCATATGAAGTTAACTCCATTTCCTGTATGTCCTGGAATGAGTGTTGCTATAGTCTTTTGGATTGATTAAAGAAGGAGCTCCTTTGGATTATTTAATTTGTCACTTTCATAGATATTATGAAGGTGTTTATGAATATTCATGTCGCAAACATTACAGCTCAGGTGGATTATGTCATTTTGACTCATCCATGGTTGGAGTGGACTCAGAACTGGCAAAGGTTATAGATGGTCACCAGAGGCCACTTATGGAATGGACAAAAATTGATCCCTTGTTGCAGAATTTCAAAAAGAAGATTGAGAAATTATTAGATAAAATATGAAGTTAAATTCCTTTTCGGAGACATGATAAATTTGAAAATATATTGAATATAACATAAAACCTGCTATCTGTAGCAGCAAAGGTTCCAACTACAGATTTGTTAGCATTTCGTTATTTTTTTGTGTAAGTTTAAAATTTTAACTTTATAAAACTGAGACACATGAAGCCCAATAGTTTTCACGCAAAGCAGAAACTTTGTTCCCTTTCAGAGACTGACCTATGCCAAACTTCTAAGTGAAATTGGCATTACTTGATTTCTGGTGTTCTAAGCATTGTTCTAAATTATTTATATCTTTTTTAGGCATGTTTGTCTTTGTCTTGTGTTTTTTCTTTCTTTAACTGCTATAGTAGTTTTATCTACAACTACAGCCTTTTCTCCTTGTACATAAACATACAAAACAAAGACAATTCAAAGTGTTTTATAAACTTTAATATTTACAAAGGTTATAGTCCCTGATGTAATGAATAAATAAAAACGACTAGACAATTAACAACAACAGGACAATCAGAGATAACGACAAAAACATAACATAGATGTGCCAAGCACCAAATGGCACAGTAAAACTTATCATTGATGGAATACAGTAACTGGTAATTTATCTTTCTACATATGTTCTTATAAATTAAAAAAACTTTCTTTTTCATAATTTTACTGTTTTACTCTTTGTTCCATTAAACTTGAACTGTCATGTAGCAGATGTCATGTTTTATTAGCAAATCTTAAAATATATTTTTAAGGTTTCAAGAAAAATGTCATCATGATGAAAAAGTTTGGTACATTAAATAAAACATTCTTTTTGCAGAGGTGCACAATTAAATATGTGGGACATTTTATTGGCATTTAACAAGTGTTTTCAAGTATAGATCAGGTAGAAAATTTTATAGGAATTCATTATAATATCAGAAAATAAGGATAAGTAATAATCCTTACTTAAAGATTAAGAAAATATGAATAAACTGAAATGAGTTAAATCAACTATTTAAGTTATGAATATCAACCATTGATTCCTAGTTAGATTGAACCCCCTTCTCTTGTTTGTAAATTTGTAAAAACAGCTAAAAATCTAAATGAATATATTTGACAGAGAAACATGTGTATAACCTGAGAGAAAAAAAAGTTTACTTTTATTGATGATTGACAACTAGAAACACGGAGCAAAATAGAGGTAAAAATACCCCAACGCTTAAAACGTGTTAGCCTCTTTTATATATCATAGTACATGTACAATGAACATTAGTGGCTAAAAACAAAACAAAAATCAATAATATTACCTTCTCTGTAAGCATGTCCTTTGATAATTTTAATTTTTGTTTTGGCTTAGAGTTCCAATAAACTATTTCAGAAATAGGGTTTCATTGCTTAATAGTATATACAGCTGTTGTTAATAGTCATTTGTATGTTCACATGAGTAGGCAGAGCTTAGTGCAATTCTTGTCTAGATCTTAATAGCAACTCCAGAAAGTAATATTTGGAGTACAATCTAGAGAATAAAAAAGTTAACATTGTACTTTGTTTGGATTAAAAATTTTGTACGACACCATTAAAATATTTAGAATTTTTCTTCAGTTTGATGTGATTGTTCCAATAATACATATTCTGAGATTAATTTTACACTGGTTTGGTTAAACATTGAAAGTTAGTATAATGATGTAGAATAATGTGTTTTAAATTGCATTTACTATGCGTAAATAGTTGCCTAAACCAAGTACAATATGCTAATCACTGCATTATTTTGTAAATAGCATGTCAAATAGCATTTCTGTGATTCTTAATATATTTTTAATTTATTTGTGTTTGAAGCTTTTAAATGTTATAAAAAAAAATATTTGCATATAAATTTCTCTTTGATCCTTCATATATATATATTTCTTTTAATAATAAAATAATATATCTCTCTGCTCCATATATATAAAGTTAACAAAAAAAAACAATATAAACTTTTCTTTATAAATAATTTCTTTTATGAAGCCACACCAAATTATTTGTTGTTCAGATTTTTTTGCTAATTTATGGTCTTGCCAGCTTTGTGAATCATCCACATATTCTTATGTTATTTATTTTAAAATAATTGAATAGCAGCCTAAAATATGCTTAGTAAATAACATATATTCAACTTTTTACATTAATTTTTACAATTTTGTCGGGTGGAAGAAGCTTTATATCTAAAAGTTCCACACTTGATTAAAAATAAGAAATATAGAGGCTGGGATTTTATCTCCTCTTTTAATCAACATCATTTAAGGGCAAGCAAGTCAATAAAACAGCTAATTACTTTGATGTGGCTTGAAATATATATTCATATATTGATTGCTATTTTATCAAATATTAATACTGTTTTATGAATAATATTTTCCTTATATACTAAATCTGTCTGACATGTTAATATTTTTTGTTACAACTTGGATACAAAATTTATTCAAAAATTAAAAGTAAAAACATATCGACTAAACCCTTTATCAACTATGACACAAAGTCCTTTCAAAACTGGATGATTTACTTACAATCGTATATAAAATATCTTACCTGTTCACAGAAGTATAAAAAAATCAACTATCTTATCCCAAAAAATGGTAATCTAGCAATTAACATTGTTTATTGTTACAGTTTATCAGAATCCAACGGGTCATAAAATATAGGTGTGCTGAATCCTTTAAGACTCATTTTTAACTGAATAGAGAAATTATAACGCATTTTTTATCCATACATTGTAGTGATTAAAATGTGCTTTCCAGAACGCTAAATATGTTTGCATGAAAACTTTTACTGAATTGTTACACAAATTCTAAAAAAGGGCATTGGTTGAACTTGAACTTTGACACTATCATTCAGCCAAGATGCCTACTTAGTTTAAAAAATCAGTAAAAATACATGGTTTGATCAATGAACCAACTACTAAAAATTGTGATTAAGGATAAATGATAACAATATATGTACATTATGGCAATGGTTTGTAGAAGGCACAAGGTCTTGTAGTATGATATGTGTATCATGGATTTATATCACGTTACTTGAGTATTCTTATCACAACCATGGACAGAGAAAAAACAAAACCCTCTAAATAACAATAGTTATACCCTGCTAAATCAGAAAAAGCAAAGGTGGTAAATATAAAAATATCTAACAATAAAAGAACCCACCATAAAATTGTCTAGGATGTAAATAAAAAAGATAAGCTTTTTTTATGATAATTCAATCTGAAATAGATATGTAGGATTCTTATACCTGTAGTACAGATATCCCTTGTAAATGTTCTGCAAGCAGATCTACCATTAATAAAATCAAAGTAAGCTTATATCTATGCTACAGATATCCTTGCAAATGTTCTGCACGTATATCTACCATAAAAAAATCATTCATGCATTTTGTATTTTATTTTCATTAAATAAACACTAAATAAATCCTTTTGAATCTAGTATGGCGGTCAAATTGAAAGGCTTAGTAAGTTTAAAAATAAAGTATTCAAACAGACCCATGGCTTTCAGTCAGTTTAAAACTAAGTAATCAAACAGACCATTGTTTAAATTGCTTTATACAAAACATCATGAAATTGTTAATATACAAATGTTACAAATCTTAAATTATTTAACTACAAATATAAAAATAATGATTTGTCTAAAATAGTGTAATTCAATGTTATGGTTTAATATTAATGAGTTCAATGGTTAAAATTACAAAATGTATTTTAATGATAACGATAACAATCTGCACTATTTACAAAGAATGTTGCTGCCTTGTTCCTACCAAAGTACATTTGTAACTTGTTCATGCTGTCTGACAGTTGATTCAGTTGGTTCATATTGGTAAACAGAAATTCATAAACTTTTTTTTTTGTTAAATAAAGTGATAAATCCTTATGATTTGCCACCAAAGGCAAGTGAATAAATTTATCTGCTTCATTCTTCAGGTTCATATCACAGATTTTAAATACCACTTATACAGATCTTAAGTGTGGTCTTTGAATCATGGAAGTTGCTAATTGGTTTGAATTTTCAAATGTGTTATATGATGTCTGTATTGTTTATGAAGTCACAGGTACAAAAAGCAAGATCTTATTTTGCATGAAAAGCTAAAGAGCTAAAAGGGGAGGGTACTATCACTGCATACAATTTTCATTTGGATTTATGTTCCTTGTCCATCATTGCAGATAGAATAGATAGATTCATATGCCATGCACTACTAAAAAATTCTTCAAAATCTGAAAATTGACCATTGTTGTGAATTTACATAGTTTAAGGTGTATATTTATTATGGAAGACAAGATCTATTTTAAATATTTTAAGTGTATAACTAATAAAGATATCAGACCTGGATTTAGGGGACAGGAGGCCTTTGCACCCTCCCTTATGGAGCTTCATATATAATAAATGCATAGACTATCAACAAGTACCACTCCAAGCATTGGATTGCCAGCTTTATCTACCCCCTTCCCCCTCCCTTTTTTAAATCCTGGATCCGCAACTGGATATTTCCAGGTCCATAAATTCATTCAATTACAGTCATACAAGTTTTCATAGTTCAACAAAACTTTAATGTTTTACAGGCACTTCAAAATAGTCTTTGACCTTCAAATTGATTTTAAATTGAAATATTGTCAAGTTGACTTTTGTTTGTCAATGTTTATTCTACAAAGTTACTTAGAACTTTATCCCCTTTTGTAAAAATTTAAAGTCATATTGCTGAAACAGCTCCATTTTATATGAAAATTATCATTTTTAAATCTTTATAAACCTTTAATTCAATGTACCACTGAAAAAAATGTTATTTGTGAATTTCAGTTTAAATGGATTGTTTTAAATTCTCAGTAAGAGGGTTCTTTAATATGTTGTTTTAAACATCGCACATAATATAAATCAATATAAGTTATGTTATTGTTTTGGAAATAAATTTCATGGATTAAATATACAATGGTTAAAAAAAAATTGGCGATTCTTCCTCAAAAATAAACACTAAAACTTCATCAGATCAAAACATGATATGATCTATCTTTAAGACAAAATATCCAAACTGTCTTTTATAACTAACTTCCCAAGAATTCAAGTCTCAAATAAACCAGCAGATCTAACTTGACTGATCAATTGTATATTGACAACATATCATTCACACGATCTTTGATGTCCAGCAGCATTCCAACACAAACAGAATATTCAAATTGTCCCATTCTAGTGATAGTCTTCATATGGTTTGGATTTGAGTTAATATTTTTCTATATTGGAGGTAATAAAATTTATCAAGTTCTATCAATGGTTTTGAAAAACCATTCTGTAAACTTTCTGAGTTGCGCTGCAGCTTGTTGAGATTCCTCTTGTAACCTGGCATTTTCAGCCCTTAGCTCTTGAACCTCTTCTTCCAAGGTTGCATTTTCCCTCGTCTCCTAAAATAGAAAAGATTAACTTAAGTTCATTAGGTCTTTATTGATACAAACATACTGTTTATAATATAATCAACTACCAAAACATATATATAAACAAATCAGAAATAAATTGAACTATGGGCTATTGCTCAGTAATGATACTCATGCTATAAGTATTCGTTAAACAGGAATTCGATGAGCACTGGATGAAATAAACAGCTGCGCCATGAGCGCATGATACGCCCGTCGTCTTGTGTGTGAATTTTTATGCAATAAGCATAAATAGCTTCTGACATACGGCGTGACATGCGAAAATCCCCTTTTTTTTTTACAAAAAACTCAATATCTCTAAAATAAAATTTTGAATCAAAACCAAAAAGTATTCAGATCTTTAGATTAATATAACTAAGAAGTGTGTAAAATTTTAAGCAATAATCATAAATCGTTTTTGAGATACGCCGCGACATGTGAAAAACCCCTCCCCCTTTTTTACAAAATACTCAATATCTCTAAAATAAATTTTGAATCATCACCAAAAAGTATACAGATCTTAAGATTAATATAACTAAGAAGTGTGTGAAGTTTTAAGCAATAATCATAAATTATTTTTGAGATACGGCGCGACATGTGAAAAAAAACACACACCTGTTTTAGTTACTAAGTCCCATAACTCAAAAAGTTTTAATCTTATTTTCACCAAAAAGTATACAGATCGTTTGACCATCATAAGAAACAACTATATTAAGTTTCATGAAATTTGGATAAGTCTTTTCTCAAGTTATGGTGCGACATGTTTACGCCGGACAGACAGACGGACAGACGGACGGACACCGGACATTTGTATACCATACGGGCGTATAAAAACATATCACAATGTGTAGCATGCTAAAATGAAAGTTGATTTTAATTTCAGTAGTTCCTGAGAAAAATGGGAAGATAACTTCATGCAATAGCCATTATGTGAAAGAATACAAGTATTCAGTAAGCAGGAAGTTTCAGAGAGAATCTGAAAATGCATCACACAGTATAGTTTTCTCATATGAAGCTTGATAATTTCAGGATGCTCTGATATGTAGTTCTTGAGAAAATTGTGACCAACATAAAAAGGGGTACAATAAGGCAAACCTAAAACCTGATAGATCATTTGCATGTATAAGAAGTATCAGAATCTTATTAAAGTGTAGACTTAAATGCTCCCACTTGTAACAATTGATTGATAGATGTTTAACGCCACTTTCAACACTATTGTGCTATTTCATGGCAGTCAGTTTTTATTGGTGGAGGAAGTCGGAGAGAACCACCAACCTTCAACCAGGCATAGAAACTTGTTTGACATGTATCAATCAAGATTCAAGTTTAAGCATATATGTTTCATTTGGCTATGTTAACTATAACTCATTCTCAACTCAACCCTTAGCCCTTTACCTTTGCCAGATCTAGTTCCAGCTGGTTGACTTTACCCTCTAACTCTGTGATCCTTTTTTGTGGGTTGGCTACTACAGATCTCCATATAGGAACATTGTCATGTTTGATTGGTTTTGTTTCCGTTGGCTTAGATTTACTATTACTACCTACAAAACATGAAACAGAAAATCAACAACATATAAAATAATTTTACTATCATCTGTAATAAGTGTTATCATATTTCTGAAGCTAAAATTATATCAGATTCTTGTTTTATGTCAATCAACCTTTTTCAATGAGTCTACTTATAACAGAATAATTACTCAAAGTCCTAATTTTGGAACTTGTAACATTTCTTATGTATGCTCAAAATAAAGTGAAAAGAAGATAACATCCATTTTATGCATGTAAATATGTATTTTGTTTCTGTCAAGCGCTTCTGGTCAATAACTTAATATCTCTTATAATGACATGGATTACTTTGCTGAATTTCATGATTTTGATAAAAGTTTGATTCTAATATGACGTGCTTCTTTCGCTTTGTAAACAACACCGTGATAAAATGATTTTGATAAAAGTTTGAACAAGCACAGTAATGGTCCGAGTACACAGTTATTTCGTAGTGCATTTCTTTTAGACAATAAATGGAAATTAAAAAAATCCCACCTGCGCTTTCTCAATAATATTTTTACAGTGTGTTGTACTACTTTTGGGACAAATTATATCAAAATTATAGAAAACTTCATCGGCTCTAACTCAAAATATGGACAATTTCATGCTAAGGGGGTCTTCAAATCTTTTGACAGCTTCCGATGTGCTAATTTTTAACATTTTTCAGCTGGACCAAATCACTATTTTACTTTAAAATTCATGACCCAAATTTTTTTACAGTGTCATTTCACCCCCCTACTTACTATTTGAGTCATAAAACATGGAGAAATAAATTCGGAAGGGGTATAAAAAAAATCGACAAGTAACACACTGTCCACACTAGGGACTATATTCGTGGACAACGAAAATCAAAGGACGATAACTGTGTACCCGGACCTAATAGGGTAGAAAAAGTTGACCAATCTTAATGAAACTTGGTATGACAAAAGCTTATTAAATTATAAGACTGCTTACAAAGTTTCATGGCAATAGGATATATATTATAGACAATATGACTAATTCTATATTGAACTTTGAGTGTTAAATTTAGACGTTAAAATTGAAAATTTTCAACTATCAACAATTGAGGCTTAAAAAATTAAAATATTGCAAAAAAATACTTTTGAAATGCCTTAATATATAATATATTATGTATTAAAAGCAATAGAGTACTCATTTGATTCATCAGACTTATCATAATTATTAAAAAGTCAAATTTATATGAGCCTGTGGCTAAAAATGGAGGTTTTCCAATGAAGGGGGCCCTTACATGAAGATGTAATATTTTCCAGCAATTTTAAATTTGTAAAGCTTTTTGGTTATAAATAATCCTTACATATGTATTTAATGTACTTTAAATGGAAAGAAAACTTACAAATAACATATCACATTAGCTTAAAAGGGTCTTAGGCCAAGTAAGACTGAAAATAATTTAGGGTCAATTTAGGCCGTATCACATATTTACATTTAAAAATGCATATTGAAGCTATATGAAATAAAATTTTGTGTCTTTTCTATCATTTCTATACTCAGGTGACATGATACAATTAATCTGAGCACAAAAAGACTCTTGCATTCAACTTTTTTTGCAGACAGTATGGTCTGATACAAAGATTTTTCACTTTTTAGTGAAAAACATGCATGCAATTTTAGTCTCAACAGGCTTATATTTGAACCACTTGCTATCCTACAGAAGAAAAGAAAGGTATTATGTGACATAAAACAGGTACAAAAGACATTGTTAAGTGCTTTTTATACAAATTTAGTGAGGTCTTTATAATGGACTTCAACTTTTATGTTCCAAGCTCCTCACATTTAACTTGATCCAAACAGGGCGTTAGACGAGGATCATATATACAACACATTTTGCGCATATTGTCTGAGATAATCTTCTTTTCTGTAGATTCAGAGTTCACAAATGAGTAATACAACTGGATTGAAACATAGAAACACAAATATTGACACATAAAAACCTGTCAGATAGAAAGTCAGAATGCCACTTATGCATCAAAATTGAAAAAGCTATGAAATGCTTATTTTGACCATAAAATGCCAAAATTGGTAATTTTTGCAGAAATTCTAACAAATAAAAGTTTAAATCCTTTAGTTTTATGCTATTTGATAAATTGACACCATCAAATCATTCAGGGAAGTTGCCAAAGTACAGATTCTATATTTCCTGATTTCACCTCTTAGGTCCGAGTACACAGTTATTTCGTAGTGCATTTCTTTTAGACAATAAATGGAAATTAAAAAAATCCCACCTGCGCTTTCTCAATAATATTTTTACAGTGTGTTGTACTACTTTTGGGACAAATTATATCAAAATTATAGAAAACTTCATCGGCTCTAACTCAAAATATGGACAATTTCATGCTAAGGGGGTCTTCAAATCTTTTGACAGCTTCCGATGTGCTAATTTTTAACATTTTTCAGCTGGACCAAATCACTACTTTACTTTAAAATTCATGACCCAAATTTTTTTACACTGTCATTTCACCCCCCTACTTACTATTTGAGTCATAAAACATGGAGAAATAAATTCGGAAGGGGTATAAAAAAAATCGACAAGTAACACACTGTCCACACTAGGGACTATATTCGTGGACAACGAAAATCAAAGGACGATAACTGTGTACCCGGACCTAATAGGGTAGAAAAAGTTGACCAATCTTAATGAAACTTGGTATGACAAAAGCTTATTAAATTATAAGACTGCTTACAAAGTTTCATGGCAATAGGATATATATTATAGACAATATGACTAATTCTATATTGAACTTTGAGTGTTAAATTTAGACGTTAAAATTGAAAATTTTCAACTATCAACAATTGAGGCTTAAAAAATTAAAATATTGCAAAAAAATACTTTTGAAATGCCTTAATATATAATATATTATGTATTAAAAGCAATAGAGTACTCATTTGATTCATCAGACTTATCATAATTATTAAAAAGTCAAATTTATATGAGCCTGTGGCTAAAAATGGAGGTTTTCCAATGAAGGGGGCCCTTACATGAAGATGTAATATTTTCCAGCAATTTTAAATTTGTAAAGCTTTTTGGTTATAAATAATCCTTACATATGTATTTAATGTACTTTAAATGGAAAGAAAACTTACAAATAACATATCACATTAGCTTAAAAGGGTCTTAGGCCAAGTAAGACTGAAAATAATTTAGGGTCAATTTAGGCCGTATCACATATTTACATTTAAAAATGCATATTGAAGCTATATGAAATAAAATTTTGTGTCTTTTCTATCATTTCTATACTCAGGTGACATGATACAATTAATCTGAGCACAAAAAGACTCTTGCATTCAACTTTTTTTGCAGACAGTATGGTCTGATACAAAGATTTTTCACTTTTTAGTGAAAAACATGCATGCAATTTTAGTCTCAACAGGCTTATATTTGAACCACTTGCTATCCTACAGAAGAAAAGAAAGGTATTATGTGACATAAAACAGGTACAAAAGACATTGTTAAGTGCTTTTTATACAAATTTAGTGAGGTCTTTATAATGGACTTCAACTTTTATGTTCCAAGCTCCTCACATTTAACTTGATCCAAACAGGGCGTTAGACGAGGATCATATATACAACACATTTTGCGCATATTGTCTGAGATAATCTTCTTTTCTGTAGATTCAGAGTTCACAAATGAGTAATACAACTGGATTGAAACATAGAAACACAAATATTGACACATAAAAACCTGTCAGATAGAAAGTCAGAATGCCACTTATGCATCAAAATTGAAAAAGCTATGAAATGCTTATTTTGACCATAAAATGCCAAAATTGGTAATTTTTGCAGAAATTCTAACAAATAAAAGTTTAAATCCTTTAGTTTTATGCTATTTGATAAATTGACACCATCAAATCATTCAGGGAAGTTGCCAAAGTACAGATTCTATATTTCCTGATTTCACCTCTTAGGTCCGAGTACACAGTTATTTCGTAGTGCATTTCTTTTAGACAATAAATGGAAATTAAAAAAATCCCACCTGCGCTTTCTCAATAATATTTTTACAGTGTGTTGTACTACTTTTGGGACAAATTATATCAAAATTATAGAAAACTTCATCGGCTCTAACTCAAAATATGGACAATTTCATGCTAAGGGGGTCTTCAAATCTTTTGACAGCTTCCGATGTGCTAATTTTTAACATTTTTCAGCTGGACCAAATCACTACTTTACTTTAAAATTCATGACCCAAATTTTTTTACAGTGTCATTTCACCCCCCTACTTACTATTTGAGTCATAAAACATGGAGAAATAAATTCGGAAGGGGTATAAAAAAAATCGACAAGTAACACACTGTCCACACTAGGGACTATATTCGTGGACAACGAAAATCAAAGGACGATAACTGTGTACCCGGACCTAATAATTGGTATATTTCTTGCAGACTCTGGCTAAAATGAATTGCATTTTGCAGTGTGCATAGCATTTTCAGAATTGCATTTATTCAGTGTGTATTTTTTCAATGTGCATAAAATTTTTCAGAATTGCATTTTTTCAGTGTGCTTAAAACTTTGTACTTTTTTAGCCACATTAACTCAAACCGAGCACTCTGAACTTGACATTATTAACATGTGGATTATTTACAACTAAATAATTTAGCCAGCAGAAAGAGATTCCACTTGTACCCTGATAATCCTTTTATCAGTATTCCCTATTTAACATAGCTTTTGATACTCACTGGACTCCCTACAAATATCTATGGATTACTCACCTTCAATGGCTTTGGTAGCCACACTGACTAGACTTGACCACTCCAATCCTGAAGTGGATTCTGGAAGTGGAACACTACTGCTTAATGCTTGATTGTCTTCTGTTGGCATCGCTGGTGATTGCCTTTTACTGTAAAATACAATTTTGTTATTATAGTGACTCCATATATTCTTCTTCAGAACACACTAAGTCCATAGAAGGCTGAACATATTCTATATTCAAATATTCCAGTATTCTATAAGTTAACTTTTAGTGTATATAAGAATTTGTTCTATATATCTAATCCTTAAAAACTTTTTTGATACAAGCTGTTTATGTTATAATATCAAAAATTATCTAATGAGACATAAACAATTGAAATCTGTTTTCATAAGATCAGTAAGACAATATTCTGTTGATGCAACAATTCTATAGTGGGTGAACTAATTCATTGGTGATACTATTTGTAAAAAACAATGAAATAATATCCAATGTATATCAATTTTAATATTAGCAACAATTCACTCAAAAAACACTGTTCAAGGTATCGATTCACTGCAAAACGGTAATTGCCGGTGAATTAGCATAATTTCACTCTGATATACAATTCTATATAATATCACCTATGTAGTATACAGAGAGATAATTCAGAATTATTCACAATCATCAGCATTCACTTTGAAATTTCATCACAAAGAGGGATTTTTAAATGAATCCCCTTGTGTGTTATGTTGCTGAAAAATTTGTTACCAGTGGAAATATTAGCAAATAAATGTCAGTCCTTCTTTAATGACTGTCATTCATAGTTCCATTCACTTGAAAGTGTGGCAACATATGAACATAAAAACATTTACAAAACTTCCAAGTGACACAGCAACAACTTGCAATCCTCCTGAGCTTCATACATTCGACAAATTGGGTATTTACATAAATTTATACCTCAGATCTTTATTCTGTGGAGGAGAAGCTGTTGTAAATATAACATCAGTTAAATGTGTCTCTAGTTTTATTGGTCCAGAGTTAAACTTCTGATTATGTAAGCTTTCATCAGACATGGTTCTCTTTAATCTAGTAGAATAACGTCCTTCTGCTTTCTTTCCCTAGAAAAATATAACATGATAGTTTAAATAAAAAATACTTACTTTATAAAAATGGAAAAATTATTGTTTGTTATGGAGACACAATACAAACTTTTTTGTAACCATGTACGATTTGTATATTTTTATATGATGAATTGCTTAACAAAGGTTCCACGGAAACCTGTGTCACGCCTGCATTTAAGGCTTGGGTGACAATTTCGGACCCTTAAAACTTCCTTTTTACATAAAGAGTCTACTGGTTTTATCATCACACACAAGAACTCAAGTCTCAGGTGTGTCACGTTAGAAGATGCCATATTATTCGCATTAATAAAAACCTTGCGATAATGTCTGAATTTACAGTAACTTAAATATAGAATTATAAATGACAATTTTACTTATCAATTCTAGAGGTGAATAAAACAAAATTCTTCTCACAAATGAACTAAACCAATAAGTACTTTATTTTTACATTATTTTCCAGTATACTGATGGTAAACATCATTTTATAAAATAAAACCATTTTTTCCCATTTTTCTTATCATTAAAGTTAAGTACCAGATATCCTTTCAGATCTTTATCTGCCAATTCAGGATCAATTAGACGCTGTAACTCAGCTTGAAAGTTATTGTCCGACTTTGAGACTTTCGTAGACCCTGTGACACCAGGTCGTAATCTTGTATTTAGAGATTCTTCCGAAGATGTCCCATACAAATTCCTACAAATGAAATTAAAAATACATTAATATTTTGAGGTAAAAGTCTGCTTGTGGAAAATTTATTCATTTTCAAATCAGTTCATATCAAACTGACTTAAAAAATTAAATAACAAATAACAATTTTATAATATAAATATAAACAATATGAATTCTACATCAAAATAATATGATATTTAATTACTATTTCATTTTTACATTATTTTGATGCCATATGCACATATTTAAACCAAGGGCCTTCTTTTTTACATGAAAATTTAAAAGGGCTAAAAATTAAAAAAAATTTAAAGAACCTTAATCACTAAAAATCAAATTTAAATGCCTTAAAATGCAAACACTACTATGAAAATACTTTATATTTACCCCTAAAAATCATATAATACAAACCCATTTATATTTGTCAAAATTTTATGTATTTATATCCTCTTTTCACAGATGGAAGAAATTTTGACAGGATATAACTTTAATCTTATTACAGATTTAAAATTTAATAAATTCATATGTGCCTAGGCTAAATAGTGTTTTTATATTATAAATATGGAAATTTGCATCTAACATCTTAATTTCAAATACTACTTATGATAAAATTCTACTTATAATTTTCCCTATTAGATCAAAAAAATAAATCCTTGTTTTCCAACTGAATTCTCTAAAATCAAATTTGGTTGGTTCTCATTTCATTTTAATTTTCTAACTTCAGAAGATAAATGTACTATTTCTATTTTAAAATTTACTGTATTTTGTTCATACAGATGAAATTTTAGACAATGAACAGGGAATAGAAGTTAAGCTGTGCTGAGATAAAACCTAGAAATTTATTTTGTACAATACCAACTGTGGCTATTACAGCTAAAATTTGAAATGACAGACAACCCAAGTTTTAACAAATACAAGGCTATAACTCAGGCAACTGAAAGTGAGTCACACTTATAGCTATCTTCAACTGTTACAATAAGTGTAAACTACTATTCCTTTTTTTAATTTAATTTTTCTTGATTGCTTCTTATAAACATTTTAGAGCCAGCTCTCACGACTTCATTATCTATGATTTCAGGCCTACTAAGCAATTGTTATTCAACATTACCTGTGTGAAGTTTTTGGACTACTGTTGGCACTGCTTATTGGTGATTCTGTTCTATGTACAGTTGTGTTCGTCTTTTGACGAAACAGTGAAACATCTTCTGTAAAAAAAAGTGTACATAAATATAAAATTACTTATAATGAGAAATAGCAATAAATAGTTTTAAATAAACTGTTAACACAGAGATATGTCTTGCCTTTTTGTTCTTTTGATAGTAAAATGCAAATGTTAAAATTAAAATAGCAACACTTTAACATGAGAGTTATGCAAGTATTCAATGTCAATGAACCATGACTGAAGGTACAGGGGCTAAACAATCTCCATGGACACAAGATTTGCCAATGCTAATACAACTGCATACCAAATATCATTGACCTACCATTAGCGGTTTCCCATAAACTAACCTAATCACAAACTTATACATGTGAACTAAGCATACTGCATACCAATTATCATTGACCTACCACTAACAGTTACCCTTAAACTGACCTAATCACAAACTAATACATGAAAACTAAGCAAAAGTTTCAAAGTCAATAAACCATGACTGACGGGCTGGCACCAGATAATCTCCATTGAAATGAGATGTGCTAATGCTAATACAACTGCATATCAAATATCACTGAACTACCACTAGTGGTTCCCCATAAACTGACCTTATCACAAACAAATACATTGTTGAAGACGCCGACACTGGAAACAGCATACCTATTTCTCGTTTTTAAACTCTGTCAAGGCTAGACAAAAATAGGATATTTCTCACATTACAGTTTGGACCTCAAAGAAGATATACAATTAGCTCGATAACAGCTCTGTCAATCTGAAATGAGCAACTTTACCTCAGCAAACCAATAAAAGTTATTCTAAAGCCTATTTTTATGAAAGCTTGTAAAAACTTTTATTATAAATCTATAATTCATTGCAAAGACGAAGCACTATGTTGCAGTAATAACAATAAAACATTACATTATAGAGCTATTAAGTGTTTGATAACCAATAAAATTAGTAAAAGGGCTACCGGTACTATGGATTCATTATCATTCGTGGAGTACCAATTTTTGCAAATTTCGTGGGTAAATGTGAACCACGAATTTAAATGTTCAAAGAAGTACAATTTTCTTTAGGCTTGTATTCAGACTTTGGCAAAACCACATAATCAAATATACATGAAATTACAATTTTCCCTCAATCCACGAAAATTAGTACCCACGAAAATAAATGAATCATCAGTATCTGAATAACTTGTAACAAATATAATAAAACAGAGTTATATACCTTTACCATCAATGGAGAAGTATTTGCATTTACTGTATAATTCAGAACGATTAAAAATAAAGATATTGAGTTATCTACCTCTGCCATCTGTATTGTTTTTAGGTCCACCACTAGAACCACTAGAAAATGAGGTATCACTTAAGTTATTGGATTTTGGTTGTTCTGGTCCCCTGTTTAATAAGAATTTTGTGTTTTGTGACTGTTTTAACAATTCTAATGCAATATTTCCATGTTGAACCATATTGTCCGTAGAATAGTTTGGTTTCCGATAACCTGTAGCACTATATATAGATGTCATACTGGAGGTGTGATCTGACTGGTCACCAGAAGTACTGGCCCAACCGGGTCCCTGTAAAATAAAATAATTGTGAGTATAGCAAAAAAAATATTACATTGTAAAAGTTCCAGTGTGGTCCTGCACTATAAAAGTTGTGTTCATCTTTACGGACAAATAAAGCTAGTAGAAAGTGCTACATTTCTAGATCATCTCCAACTTGGTGCCATGCTTCTATAAGGTTCCTCTCCCCACCCCTCAAAGTGAAATAAAATATGGTACATGTATCAAGAAATTAGCATGTGATAAAATGTGGCATAGGAAGAACTGTTCCATTTGCCAATTATTTAAGAAATCCTTCTAAATTCAAGATCAATTTTCCTAAATTGGTTCCAAATCAGGTTAATTTACCAAGCCACCCTCCCATCCCTTTGAATTTTCTAAACATTAAAGGGAAACTCCGCAAAAAAATGAAAAATTGATATTTTGTTCTTTAAGCATAAAAAACAACATGTTCATAAATAAAAAACTTTTATTCTCTATGTAAAGAGATCAAAATCGATTTTTGAAATTCACTATCAGTTCTCGACATATCGCCATCTTGTCGGCATGTTCGATCTAAAAAGTCACGTGATATCTATAAACCACAAAGAACAAAAAGAATCGGGGATTTACCGACCGTGCGTTAAAAACTCCCATCATCAATTGGGGATTACCGTAGACGGTTATTCAGTGTCAAAATGTCTTGTCGAGCGTAAGGTTGTTCTGTCAGACAAAGTTATGACAAAAGTCTACATAGTTTTCCCAATCCCACAAAAAAAGAAAGAATTGTATCAGACATGGTTGTACAACCTTAAACTAACAGCAAATAGTTGCATCTATAGCAAGCACAAGTTGGTGTGTGAAGACTATTTTGAACAATATTGTTTCGAGGGAGATTCGATGGTAATTATCCTTTTTTAATAACAAAATAACCTAGCAGTTCTGATAGCTATAGTTATCAAATCCTTATATGATAAGATTTCGTTGAATAAAAAAAAATATATATTTGATGAGGAATAACAGTTTTAATTATAAGAAAGACAAATGCAGTGTTCTTGTAACAATCACTGATTTACAGAAGATTCATTAGTATAAAATTGAGAATGCCTCTTTTATATAAAGTGCATTGATTTGTATAAAGAATAGTTCCGTATTAAGACGAGATAATTTTTCAATTAATAAAGTTATACGATATAGAATAACATTTTTTTAATTATGATATTTAACGGCTATTGACAAGGAGCAATGTTAGGAAGAGGTTTAAGCTGGGACATAATATGTTGATATAGTATAATGTTCCCAGGTTATAGATAATTATGTAAATATCAAAATATCGGACATCTCAATTTTTTTATTAAAAGTGTTTATATCAAATTGATACGGGATCAATTCGGAACGGTCACTTATAAAGACACTTAGCTTTACAGTTAAATGTGTGACTCTATATCTGGTATGTTCGGTGAAAATTTTATATACGTTATCTTATTATATATATATTTTGGCTTCCTCCCGAATTGATAATAGGTATGTCAGAATTATTGATAGATGTCGTGTCAGAGCGACACATTCAGTTAGGTATTCCAGGGACGTATATTAGATACACGTCCCTGGGTATTCCAGTGACATCCTGTCAACTAAAAATTCGTATTACACAATTATATAATACAGGTTCATGCATGGCCTCTTTATTGAGGTACCCGCTGTGCACAGGTAACATTTATTGAACCATATATTTGTGTCTAACGTTGTTTATCTTGTGTGTGTTTGAAATTAGAATTCCACCTTTTAATGAATGATGTTCTGATAATAATATTATCCACTATTTTTGCTGATAATAAGTTTAAAGAAAATTATAAACATGACCTTTGAACATTTTTGTGAAATGAATATTGTTTTGTCATGATTCTGGACCATATTTTTGAAAGAAAAAATTCCTCACGCAAATACAAGCTTTTGTTGATTGGCAAACATGCAGATATTTTAAGTAATGCAGCACTTATAGTCACTATCAATATTAATTCATTGAAGATAAGAGAGCCCCTTCTATGTCTAATGTCCCTATCTTTATAAGGATTAGGACGACAGGGGAAAAAGGAGCGGAGATAGAGTGGCATAGTAAAAAAAAAAAACCGAATAGAGAACAATATAGAGAATGATCGACAAAAAGCGAAATAGTTATTGTAAAGGAGCGGAGATAAAGAGAGGCATAGTGAAAAAAAATGTTTGCTTGACAAATTAAGTTATTGCTCGCTTTGATATTTTTAGTTATACAAAATCACACATCGTGTTCCTAATTGGTATTCACGTGCACTAACTTGGCTTGATGCTGGGAACAGTATATTAATATATATGTTCCTGCTTGATGTGTTAGGTTTCTGCATAGCATGGTTAAAAATAATTAGTATCCCATTTGTTATATCGTAGTGTCACGGTGTTATTTTGTTAAATTTATTTAGTTTGTTAATGATTGTGTAAATAAGAATAAATCTGTATAAAAACTTCATACCATTTTAGTGATTGCCTATAGGCGTTTGATTATTGTTACATTTAAGATATATATATATATATTTAGAACCGTTCATACATCTTAAAGTAAAAGATGTGTGTCTGAGTTAAACGACACAAGAACTCTGTAATACTAGTACGAGAGTAAAGCATGTAAAAATTCCTACTCAATATGGTTGTATTGGAAATCTTTTCAAACAGATTGACAACTCATGGTCCGACATGCATGTAATATTTGCCACATGACGCTCATAGTTCTTTCTACCATCATCATCTTATTCATTAAATATTGCGGTAAACATCGATGGTTCACACCCAAACAAAATGGGAGTAATATACCTTCAGATCTTCTCCGTGGTATACACTTGTGAAATATATAGACCAAATTCGGTATTGAAGTAAATCTACATCTCACAAACACAATTTTTGAATTACGATTTTGAGTGAACACCCACCAAACCAATACAAACGTATGGCAAGATATAACCATGCAGGCATTTAGTTTTCGTCAGGCATAAGATAAATAATCACTCTCATAAACGTATATATGCATGCAGTTTCAAATATCAAGAACAAGCGGTCGATGTCTATAGATCATTGTTAAATCCGTTTACTAACTGTTCAGAGTCAGACATGTCAATAGTTCATTCTTGGAACCTTCATATACCCCATCCGACGATGGGAACTCTTTCTGATAGTGTTGACAACATATAGTTGGCTATCTCTGGAGCTCATCCTTAATGGCGCTTATACGTCAGGAAACTTACAAGTATACTAGTAAAGATTGTTTCAAGAACAACGAGGTTAGGACGAACTGTTCTAAAATCGTCAATATCAGTAATACATTACTAAGATATGTCTTTAATTACAACAACTGTATTACTAATTTGGATTAATGACGGCTATCCTAAAAATAATCCTCAAACAAATTAATGTATTAGCTTAGATTTATAATGTATGTATATTGCTTAATGAAATAAACGATAATTGGTATTCTTTTCACAAATAATTTGTGCAAGTGATTGTCAAATGAATTTAATTATGTAAGAATGAAATGTTAATAAGAAAATTAAAAAAATCATGCATGTTGTGCTGTTGTATTTTTTCAATTAACTTGAAACTTTAAAATTGCGATAGTTTTACGTTTGTTAGCATTTAAACATCGCCAGATTTAAATACAAGTTAAAGAATTCCGGTAAAGTAAATTAAACAGATGTGCAATGATTATTAATTGGGAAATATAACATTTAATTTTTAAGATTTAAAGTACTATTCTTTTAACTTCATATCTTAACTTTATGCTAATTGCATAGAACGTAACCGAAAATTGTTCCATTTTAATATTGTAACACTTCCGGAATTAAAAAGTTGAATGTTAATTTTCAATTAATTTATACAATTTAATTATTGTTTCTCTATTGTCATCGGGTATTTCATCTGGGTATATTAAACACGCTATACTCTTTCTGTTAATCCATTCAAAATGACAATATACACTCCTGTGTACTCTTAAATTCACACCTGTGTACGCCTGAGGCTAAATTGCTGCAAGGTAAAGTTCAAACGAATTCTCCTCAAATCGAGAAATAAACAATGACTTTACAAAATAATATACACACTCTGTTCACAAATATTTTGCATTGAAATGGTTATCAAAGTTATAACGGTAAATAAAACTTAAAATATTTTCAGTTCAATATCAGTAAAAGTGTTCTATAGATATTTTATGAAAAAATCTCAATAATTTATGAAATTAATTCGAAAATATTTATATTAAGATAACTTCATATAGGAAGTTTTATTCAATCAATACAAAACGGTACACACATATTCATTTTCTTTCATTCTTGTATTGTGGTTATTAACTACGACCAACGGTCATCTATGCGCTTTTAATTACGTAAAATTCTGATAAAGCAATTAAGACTTTAACAGATTTTATTTTTTCCCATGATTCAACAAATCGGGTTAAAACGTCACAACCCAGTGACGTAGGTCAACCAAAAAAGTTATAAATACTTGATTTTCTCCGTTATTAGAAAGAATATAAATTTAAAACTTTGTGAATGTGTTTTTTATGTTAAGATGAACATATTTAGATGATAAGTAAAAAATCGCGGACTTTCCCTTTAAGTTAAATACTGAAATAGATTAGCAAATCCTACAATATCAAAGCACAATCTTATTAAAGTACAATTTTCATAAATATCCTGAATTATTCTGAATATTTTTTTCAGGTTCAGCATGTAATTCAATAAAATATTTGTCATTTGAAACTTTCTATTACCAGCTAAATTAAATTCAACTTACTTGAAATTTAAACTGGCTCCCTTTAGTTCTATTCATAGGAGTAGGACCTAAAAAGTAATATATAATTCACAATATTGAATTCTGGTTAATATTTTCATAAACTGTTAACACAGAGATATGTCTCGCCTATTTGATATTTTGATAATGTAAATGTTGAAATTAAAATAGCAATACTTTAACATTTAAGTTATGCAAATATTCAAAGTCAATGAACCATGACTGAAGGTACAGGGCTAAACAATCTCCATGGAAATGAGATATGCCAATGCTAATACAACTGCAAACCAAATACTATTGACTTTTCATAAGTCGTTCCCTTTAAACAAACCTAAACACAAACATTAACTTGTAAAATATGTAAAAGTTTTAAAGTCAATGAACCATAATTAGGGGGTGGGGTTATATAATCTCCATGGAAATGAAACTTGCAAATGCCAATACATTTGCATACCGAATATCATTGACAATAAGTACTTCATCACTGACCTAATCACTAACTAATACATGTAAACTAAGCAAAAGTTTCAAAGTCAATAGACCATGACTGAGGGGTAAGGACCAAATATTCTCCATGGAAATGAGATGTGCTAATGCTTATACAACTGCATACCAATTATCATTGACCTACCACTAACAGTTCCTCTTAAACTGACCTAATCACAAACTAATACATGAATGAGGGGGCAGAGCCCAATAATCTCCATGGAAATGAGATATACCAATGCTTATACAACTGCATACCAAATATCATTGACCTACCACTAGTGGTTCCCCATAAACTGACCTAATTACAAACTAATACATGTAAACTAAGCAAAGTTTCAAAGTCAATAGACCTTGACTGAGGAGGCGGGGCCAAATAATCTCCACGGTAATGACATGTGCCAATGCTAATACAACTGCATACCAAATATCATTGACCTACCACTAGTGGTTCCTCATAAACTGACCTAATCACAAACTAATACATGTAAACTAAGCAAAGTTTCAAAGTCAATAGATCTTGACTGATGGGGGCGGGGCCAAATAATCTCCATGGTAATGAGATGTGCCAATGCTAATACAACTGCATACCAAATATCATTGACCTACCACTAGTGGTTCACCATGAACTAGACCTAATCACAAACTGATACATTGTTGCCGCCGCTGACGCCGGAAACAGCAGACCTATGTCTCGCTTTTTGACTCCATCAAGGCGAGACAAAAATCTTACCCTGTTGCATCAATAAGTTGTGATCGGATAACATCCTAAACAATGGTTTCCAATCATTGGGGTAAAGTCATTTGCACTTTAGTGTATGAAAAAGAAAACTACCCACAATCATTAGATTCTCAACTGGGCAATTAAAAAATATTTCAGGAAGGTACATGACTTTTCATTCATTACTGAAGTTCCATCAAATATTCACAATCATTTAATTTTTTACAGCTTCTAAACAAGTGGACAGCTTTCAACAAAACTTACAGAGAATGTTCATTAGAAGAAAAACTTTAACATCGTCATTAATAATAAATACTTATTATTAGAGATAGGTCAAGGTCAAATTACCCAAAAACTGATGTTAAAATAAAACTTAATTAAAACTGGGTCAAGGTCACAAGTCAACTACCACAAGGACACGCACATCTTCAAACAAATCTAAAGACTGGGTAAAAGTTCATCTTTAACTAGTATTAGCATATGTATGCCTCGCCTGCCTCTATCTGTGATAAGAGTGGCTGACATGACAAAAGTATCTGAACTATTTTTTCATACTTTGGCTATTTTCCGGACCTTTGAAATTCATTATGTCATACTTTATCCAAAGGTCAAGTGCCCTATCTAAAGTAGCAAATGGGTCAAAAAATCCTTAGAGAATTTTTTAATATTTGATATTTACATTCTCTAAAACAACTAAGCAGGAAGAGGTTATAAATTTTACAATACAAAATGGGGGAATTTTGAAGTCTATGCTCAAAGTATTTCTAGCTTATCTTAAGTTTAAAACATATGTACTACTTGTAAACAAATGCAGTATTAAGTATTTAAGATTAAATAACATGTAATTTGCTACCTCTAGGGAAATTTCAATGCATAATGGAACAAACACGAAACTGAGATAATATGAAACCTTTTACCTGATAAAATGGGTATAATAATTCTTTTATCATACCAAACAGATGAGAAAAGTGTAATATCTCACATTAATAGTTTCTCCTTGTCTATATTTATGTACTATTACATACAGGTGGTTTATTTCATTAACTGGCCTTGAGCCAACTGGCATGATTAATTATTGCAGATTAAGTAATAATATATCTCTGATATCTAGTGTCAGAATTCTATATTATTTATTAGTCAGTGACGACATATATTTCAACCGGAATGTTATTTACATTTAACCTGGTTTGACTTCCATTTTTCAATTTATTCTTGATGAAAAATGAAATGTCTCATGGATAAAAAGAAGAAAAAAACTTTACTTCCCTAGACAAAACATCTATTTTCTTCCTCTTTAGACAAAGTTCAACACTTTACTTAATTCCTTCTTTGATTGATTGATTGTTGGTTGCTTAATGTCCAGTGGCAAATATTTCATGAATGTTCAATACCAGATTATTATAATTATATGCAGTTAACAGTGTTCTGAAGATCATTTATTACAATAAACTATGAGTGACAAGCTGTAATTACAAAACTCGTAAATGAAATGAGGCAAAATGTATAAATTTCAAGGGGAATAACTCTAAAAAAACTTTTCTCATTGTTAAAATTGGTTAAATATTTAAAGAATAATTTATCATGATGTGCAAACATTGCAATAAGCAGGATTTATGGTTCTTTTGAGTTCCTCAAGAATTTTCCCCTTTGAATTAAGAAAGGTTTGTTCTTTTCAGCATACTTCTTGTCACAGCCATTCTTCTATAATATCATCAAGAAACTTTACAGTAAATTCAGAAATTCTGATATGTGAAAAATGTGTCATAAAACTCACATATCAATTTAGTTGATAATTTTCTGTAACAACATTATTTAATTTAACATTTTGGAAGTTTGTCAGGGATTCCCTAAGATAAGTGTGATTCACCTAAGATATTTGCAGTCCAAGATGTGTATGAGTAAACTACGATATAAAGATGAAAACTACGATATACAGATGAAAACTACGATATACAGATGAAAACTACGATATACAGATGAGGAGTCTTGTTTTTTTTATAAGTAGTACACTTACTTATAAGATATGCATAGTCTGAGCTATCCCTAGAACTACTACGTTCATGTTTAATATCCTCAGTACTACTAAAGTGGTTTTTGTCAAGGACTGAATCTGTATAGGCATGTTGAAGTGAGGTATTCCGCTGGAGACTTGACATTCCTATCCTATGCTGAGGGGTCACAGTACTAAATGGAGAATTCTTCATGTCCACTCTGTAATAAAAACATGGTAATGTGAAATAGGTTCATGGATAATGAGCAACTCAATAGGTAATTCTATAACAGTGAAGTAATAACTGAGAACTGGAAATGAAGATGCCTTGTATTGTCTTGCAGGGAACACCACAGGCTATTCAACGGTGGTGCTCCACCAGCCTTTAATTATTAGCACCCTTGGATTTCCAACACCTCTTGATTTACTCATAATAAACCTGATATTTTAGATAATAGGATATTGGAACCATTATATATTAAGAGTTAATTTAATTCTTGAACACTATGATTTGATAACCCTATGTATTAAACACTGTAGGCTATCTATTATTGGGTGTTACCTCAAGAATAAATATCAACAATTCTTTTCTTCTTATTCAAAATGAACTAATAACCTTGCAAAATACCATTCAAGTGGATTTATATAGAAGTGAGTTTGGAGGGTTAACAATAACAATAAATAAATCCTTCTCCTTGCATATAATCAAGGTGGACACCAAGACGGTTGGAAAAATTTCTACTTATATTAATGAATCTATTTTTAAATTGCATATCTGCTTGGGGATATACGTGTACAAAATAATGCACTCTTTTGGATATATCAAGATTACATCATAATGTCTTCCAGCAAAACTGACAAAATAATTCGGTATGATACAAGGAAGATATGAGATGAATATACAGTAAAAAACAAATCATATATATTAAGGTGAATGTATAAATGAGAAAGGGGTGTCTTTAATATTTCAATATACTTCACTAAAAAAATTAAGGAATATACTTTAACATATTGCAAAATAAATACTTTACAAGACAATACTGCAAATGAAAGTGAAAAACAGAAACACAAGAGCAATTAAATGACTAAATAAAAATAATACCATGAATCTGAACTTCGGACAAAATAACACACATCTATAAAAAAGAAACTTTTCCCTGCCAAGACAATTTTACAGAGTAAATGGAAAAAAAACAGGAAAGAAAAAGTTAAGCATGCAGGATAACAAAAAAAAAGATGAGATCAAGCAGATGGCATAGACAGAGAATATATATATATATGTAAGCACAAAGAATATATATGGTACAGTTCATGCAAAGGTTATACTTCATGCAGGAATACAGTTCATGCAGGGAAACAGAAAACACTGAAACTGGTACCTAGTTGGAGTTAATGGTTTCTTCTGTAGAGGAAGTGTCATCGATCCACGGAAATTATCTCCAGACTCATCAGTCTCTCTGATCATTGTAGAAAGCGTTATTTCCCTTAAATGATATGAAGTTTCACTAGAACTGCTAGAGATTTCTCTCGAGTGTGATAGATCTCCATTTACATCTCTCTGCCATTGTTGAAGGTTTTCTGTGGCCTGCAATGCTGCTTTCAATGTCTTTAATGATGATGAATGACAATTTGTGTGAAGTGTAGCCACACCCCTGTAAAGGTCAAGGTCATGAGTAGAGGTCAAGAAAAATAGGTATGCAGTGTTCTCCCCATGACCTCATACAACCATGTACTATTTTTTTTTTAATCATGGAGCTATCGGAATAGATTTTATAAAAAAAAAAATTTAAATGTGGCGTATAATTTTTAAGTAATAGTGCTATTTCACATGGAGTTGTTAGAAAATACCGGGGAGAACACTGTGGTATAGCTAATGACTGATTACTTCCCCTTAGCAGAGTATACATGCTTAAAAAGATTTTGCAGTAGTTGGTTCATTCCAAGTAATAGATAAATTCTAGTCTTAAGCCTTGTGCTGGAAGTGCATTGTGATGTGAAATTCATTTACTATGATGAAAAAAGTCCTACAATGTATCCACTTATCAGAAAATTTTGAAGTGTTTATTAATAAACAGTACATCCATCTAAAATATTGACAACCCCTAAAACCATTGCCAGTAAAAATGTTGTTGGGTCAGTAAAATGATCATGAAAAGTGGCCTCAAAAGTCGTAATTGACTGATTTTGGAGCGTGTTAGTAAAAGGTTTTTTGCCAAATCTGATGTACAAGAAAAAAAATGAACTCCACTATTATTTATTAGTGCATTTTTTACTTAAAAATACCTATAATTTCACCCTGTTGATTCATTTAAGGTATCTAAAGAATGGTCATACTAAAGGTTACCACAGATGTAAGATATAATGAAAATTTCATTATGTGTTTGCATACTGACATTATACTTTTCAACTTAAGGCTTTTCCATAATTAATTGAAGGGGGGTGGGGGGTGGAAGGCACTTTTATAAAAATTTGATGGGTGTTGGTTAGTTTAGATAGATAGCCTTAACAATAATATGAAACATTAAAAAAAAATGTTATGCATAGTGTGGTTAGTAAGAAGTGCCTTCAGACCACCCCCCCCCCCCCCCCCCCCAGGGCTTCCAAAATTATTTTTAGCCAGAAGGACATTTTATATATTATCCCGATTTTAATCCCTTAAGACTAAATAAACAAAAGGCAATTATGGTATTCAGTTGCCGAGTTGGCCATCCCAATGATTGACATTAAAAAAAAAACGATATTTAACTTTCTTTAATTCAAATTCGAAGTTCTGACGTAAACTGTTAAATTGGCAGTGCATCATTCGAAGTGTGCAACATCAGCGTACTTATATCTGCCTTAGACTCTTTATTTGTGCAAAATAATGTTGTCAAAAACTTTACTTTCGTTTTTTTCTGATACCGGATGTTATCTTGACAATAGTAAAACATGGACCAGAGACGGATACATAAATTCCGTGTACGTTTGCAAAGCATGAATGAGTGTACGTATCTCCTTCTACGTTATTTCTTCAAGAAAATATTCGAAATAAACGTGAGATAAAGGTATCAATGACAATTTAAGCATTTTTTGAAGAAATTAGGATGCATAATTAAATTTCACACCTGCGCACATGCGCACACGTGTACTAGTTCAAACAGAGCCTTGTCTCTGGTTCAAACAACGTGATTATGACGATTTTTCATTTTCACCTTTGTAATTTTTTCATCAAATCATATTTGTAAACGTATTTCTGATAATTTAAATCTTTTTGACTAAATTAATTAGATGCAAACCGCTGAAATGTAAGAAAATAACTTTGAATAGACCAATCAATGTCCGGTTCAAAATAGTTTACCTGTCACCTGAACAGGTAAATTTCAGCTGTTCGACAACTAATTAGCCTTAATTAAAATGAGAAGGTATTAAATTAGGGGTTGTTTTGATAGTACTTAATGATCATGTCACTTTTATGACCGGAAATGTGTGGCTGTTAAAGCCAAAAGGTTGGGTCTAAAAAGATCGCGAATTATGTTAAAATGACCGTCTCTAAAGATAGCCTTGAAAACTAAAAAGTAGATGACCGTTTCATGCTTTGCCCAGCCGGACTTTTACCAGACATTATACAAATGTCCGGAATATATGACTGTTTTGGAAGCCTTGACCCCCCCCCTCCCCCCCCAACCCAACTAACTGGTTATGAATTTTACCAAATAACTCCTAATGTTGCTTTTATAATTTACATCTTGTTTTTTTAACAAACACTATTCATTTAGACAAATCTAACTGAATGCCAAACATTGATGATGGAAATTTCTATGTCTTTAAATATTATTCCTTTTGTAATTTTATCTGTCTATTTTAGACATTTAGATACTTTTGTAATATCCGAAAAATTTTATATATTTTATTTTGATGAAGGCTCTTTTATACTAAATATGAAGTCTAGATGACCACCATGCTTTAAACCTTTCCAAAAGAATAAAAAAAGCACAGAAAAAAAACTCATAATGTGTAAACATAATATTTCATTTGTAACATTACTGTGCAAAACACAGAATTTTCAGTTAAATTCATTCTTTAAACTTAAAAACTATTCAATATGTAAACTGTAGTTATTGAATTAGAAATTTTAAATGCTGTAAATGTTACAAAAAAGCTCCTGATATAACCAGTATGTGTGTACATATGTGATACAATCTGTGTACATGTGTTGTTATAGCGTGATTTGAATATAGCATCCTAAATACTAACCTTGGCGTTCCATCATCAAATGGAGGTATCACCGTGACCTTGACAGTAACTGAGGTTCTCAGTAATTCTACTAACTCCTCGTGTGTCATGGTGGCAACGGCTATCTTACAGACCTCCACTAGTCGGCTGCCTTTCCTCAGTCCTGCATCATAAGCAAATCCTGTGGATTCCACATCAGTAACAATGCCATCATTCTGAACATGAAATCCAAGCTGCCCCAAACCATTTCTCTTTAACGTCATATCTTGTGACTGAAAAAAATCAAATGTTTTTTGTTGGTTTAAATGGTACTTACTATATATTCGTATAGAGAATTTCATTTCTGTCAATTGTATTGCTTCAGGAAACTAAGAGTATCAAGGGCAAAATAGCAACATCCAGCGAGTAAATGACCAACTCAAAATTTTACAGATCCCCATTAAACCAAGTATCATAAAGATTCTTCAATTCAATAAAAAATTCAAAACTGGACAAGACTTGCACCGAATGACATAAATTTATTTACTGATTGAGAGTATAATGACCACAAAGTCATCTGACCGCATAAAAACAGAAAATAATATTTACCTCACAACCAGAAGTTACTCCTGTTAATCTCTCACAGATTTCTTGTGTTTCTTCCATCTCCCCACTGAATGGCTTCACAAATACAGACTCTCCTTGGTTAAAGTATATTCTTATACTGAAAATAAAGTTATTAAAATTAGTGGTCAATAATTTGTTATTAATCAGTTTGGTATAAAAAATAATTGTCCAATTGCATATTCAGTGTGTTACATTGAAATTGTAAAAACATATATGTGAAGATTCAAAAGAAATAAATCTTCTATTTATTGTTTTTACTTCCTTTTCTTTGCTGTAATATTTATTTCTTTGTTTCTTTTCTTTCCTCTTAAACATGTTTTTTAAAGACATGGAAATCAATAAAGAGACAAGCCATTTCATCATTTCACTGGGTCCATACAACTTTCTTATTTGATAGAGAGGATGTAATATGGTTTTTTTTATCCTTTTTTTCAGATATCTTTTTTTATATTTTTCAAGTTATAATATCTTATCAATATACATCTTAGTGTATAAATTTTCCTTTACTGACCTCATGGCTTGAGATGTCCAACCAATTATAGCACCACAATGGACAGTGAATATAACTTCACCAGAGCTCTCCTCAATCACAACCAAAACTTCTGAGGATATGCCTAGAAATGAATCTACCTGTGTAGACAACCCACAGTCTTCTACCTGTTAATATACAAGCCAAAATTAACATGTGATCAAATATTTATGGGTATCATTCTTTATAAATTTATGCTGTCTAAATGATTTAATAGCAGATTTGTCGTAATAACAGAAGAGTATAAAGTATAGAATAAAATGAAAAAAACTTAATTAAACTTCTTGTTGTTTTCTATGAATTAATGCAAAAGAACTAAATTAAAGTGGTACATAACACTACAGGGAGATAACTCTGTAAAAATCAGCTGAATGTTTTAATCATGTTCTATTGTTAAGGAAATATTAAGCTTCTCAATGATCAAAAATAGTGTTTGTCAAACTGCTATGTATCCAATGAAATTTTTCTGATAAAGTGTGTGGTTCCAGTTTTTTTAAATTTTTATATTTTTGTCAAAGGGTCAAAGTAAATATTTTGTCAAAATTTTATGAAAATTAAACGAGCCAAATAAATTTTAGTCAAGGTGTTTAGTACTGCCTAAAGTATACAAAATTAACGAAAACAGTACTGTAGATTACAATTGCCACAATGATTCGACAATTCAACATTAATGCAGTTTTACAATGCTCTTATTCCTATTCTAATGCAATATTTGTTAAATGTTAATATAAGGCATTTGAAATATTTCAAAAACTACGATTGGAATTGCATACATTGATGTTAATCATCTTTGGAGTTAATAGCAGACTTCCTCCATAAAAAGTGGTATTACATGTCAAATTGCATATGAGTCAAATGTATAGCATACTTGTAACTAAGTATAAACAAGAATGTGTCCATAGTACACGGATGCCCCACTCACACTATCATTTTCTATGTTCAGTGGACCGTGAAATTGGAGTCAAAACTCTATTTTGGCATTAAAATTAGAAAGATCATATCATAGGGAACATGTGTACTAAGTTTCGAGTTGATTGGACTTCAACTTCATCAAAAACTACCTTGACCAAAAACTTTAACCTGAAGCGGGACAGACGAACGAACGCACAGACCAGAAAACATAATGCCCCTACTACTATCGTGGTGGGGCATAAAAATGAAGAACTGCAAAAATTCATTGTTTAAAAGCGTGGAAGTCTATATGAGTGTAGAGTATATCATTAACAACAACATTCTGTGATTTATTACATTGTCGTTAATCTCTGTATATCTGTAAGATCATACCTGGACAGTCCATATTGTTGTTCCAAGAGAAAACATATCAGGAATTACTTTCTGTTTAGTCTTTTCTTTCTTCCTGACACTTCCCAAACCAAATTTACCTAAAATAAATGAAATTATGATTTTTATTAATGTAATAATTTAACAAGAATGTGTCCATAGTACACAGATGCCCCACTCGCACTATCATTTTCTATGTTTAGTGGAGCATAAAATTGGAGTCAAAACTCTAATTTGGCAAAGATCATATCATAGGGATTATGTGTACTAAGTTTCAAGTTAATTGGACTTCAACTTCATCAAAAACTACCTTGACCAAAAACTTTAACCAAAAACTTTAACCTGAAGTGGGACAGACGGACGGACAGACAAAGAACGAACGGAAGGACGGACGCACAAACGAACGGACGCACATACCGAAAAACATAATGCCCTACATGGGGCATAAGAATAGCTGATTTTGGTTGATGCTTCACATATGAAACATGTTAAATAATTTACAAATCAAAACTGAAAAGAAATCACTTTTAAATTACATATAATAATTGCATTGTTGGGAATCAATTAAGCATGTGCAAACTAAAAATTATGTAAAAATTAATAAAGTAATTGTCAAAGAATAATGCAATTCCAATTCTGATTTCTTATATCAATTAACTTTAACATTTATCTATGAACTGCCTGAATCTACAGTCATGAACAGTCAAAAAGGGAAGAAGGATAAATGTCATTTTTTACTGACTTTAGAACTACTTTCTAGTGTGGTTGATATGACTACTTACTTAATTTAGAACTACTTTCTAGTGTAGTAGAAGTCACATGATTATTTGCCAGATCTTTGAGGTATTCTGTTCTTGTTCGAGTTGCCATAGCTTTGAACTTTTCACCTTTATGGGCAGTATTCTCTGCATTTATCACTGAAAAGATTTGTCAACTTCATATGTTAAGTTATTCAAAATGAAGTAAACGTGGTGTGTAATTTTTATCAATTTACACAGAATAAATATTTGTCTTATCCCAATGTGAATTTGAGTGTATATATCTCAAATCTTTTAAAATTGAGGTAAATAAACTCTATAAGATAATTCTTCAATAACAACTCTCTTTTCTTAAGAAGTTGCCTGGAAATAATGGAGAAACTTCTTGATAAAAAGAATCTGTATGCAAGAATTTGCTGAAGAAGACCAGTATAACCAGTTTAAAGGTTCAGATTACCCTAAAGAATGTTGGTAAGATCACAAAGAATCTTACAAAAAGTACTTATTATCTCATATTTGGTCAAACATTTACATAAAGAGAAATGAAAAGGAAATGAGTACTTTATGCAATCTTTTAACTCAATATTTCAATTAAGGAATTTTGTATATTACATTCTTTTCAAAAATTCTATAAAATGTTTCTTTAATATTACCTTTAGCCAAAAGGAATTCTGCAAATTCTTCAGATTTAGGAAACTTAATGTTTTCTGGAATATGTGGACCAAAGGCTGGGACATCTTTAGATCTACTGACTGATACACTGAAAAACAGAGAGATATAGGTTAAGCCATTATATTTTGAATATAGAAATCTGTCAATAAAAATATTTCTCTGTTCAAAACAGTATATCCCTGTCATTAAAGGGTTAATGAGGTTAATTTGAAACAGGTTTTTTACTTTTGTTTTCATCTTCATGGCTTATATTAAGACTATAATATCTCAATGGTTTAATTTGCATTTCATCTTATGACTAATTGAAATGTCCAAGATTTTGTCATCCATAACTTTGGTTAAATGAAGAGACAATTTTAGTGCACACTTTATACTAGTTAAAATCTTAGTTCTTTCTTTAGTAGTGTTTTCTATTCAGTTCTATCAATTTTTTATTTCTCTTTTAAGTTTTATAATGATTATTACAGTTTTTACTGCATAATTGTGTTCTAATGATTTGAACTTGAATATATAGTTATAGAATGATTTTATTTCAGACCAAAGAATCTGAAAAATATCTTTAGTTTGCAATGCAGTAAATATACAAAGTTATAATAATCAGATGTTTAATCAGCTTAAACAGTTACTATGGATTCATTATTATTCGTTGGATACCAATTTCCGTGGATTTCGTGGGTAAACGTAAACCACGAATTTAAATGTTCAACGAAGTATAAATTTGTAATAAGCTGGTATTTATACTTCGACAAAACCACGAAATCAAGTATCCACGAAAATACATTTGTCCCTCAATCCACGAAAATTGGTACCCACGAAAATAAATGAATCCACAGTAGTTGAATGTATATTAAGTGTAAAGTTGTGTAATATCAATAGTATTAAACTGACATTTTGACAGCTACTGTGGATTCATCAATACCAGTGACATACTAAGTTTCATTGATTTCATGGGTATAGGTATATCACGAATTTAAAAGTTCAACGAAGTAAAAATTTTATTCTAAACTTTCTTATATGCAGACCTTGGCAAGTCCACATAATCAAATATCATTGAAGTCAGTATATTATAACAGCGAATACTACTACATAACTACATAAGGTTAAATTACCTATAACGGCATTTGTCTGAACATGGATTATGGACTCTAACAATGATGAAGACATGTTGAAATTGAGACCTTACAGTCTTTGCACTGAAAGGTAAAGCTCCAGGTTCCTGGAAGATTATGGTAACTATATCGTTTCCTATATGACGTTTGCGTAAAAGCTGCAAAAATAATAATATATATATTAACCCTGTTAATAAACATATATTTGTATACAACTAGTAAATTTTGTTGGCTTTAAAAGCATAAAATATTAGCAAATATGTATATCTTTGAATATTTTCAAACACAGAGCACAAAACAAAAGTTACTAAAGACAGTGCATATAAAGTGTGCAACAGAAATAGTTATTTTATTTTATGCATGACACTTACATTGTTTGGTCTCTGGTTAATTGTTGTCTCATTGACAATCATACCATATCTCTTTTATTTTCTTATATATACTTTACGAGTTACATTTTATATACTGGCAGACATGAAGAACAGGTTTCTGTGTTTGTGACTGCATAACACATGCTATGTATTAAACATTTGCTGTATATTATTGGTTGTGTATGGTAACAGAGTGGACATATTAGAATGTTTACCTGTTGTATATAACTGGCCGTGTAAAGTGAGAGGGTGGACATTTGAACATATTTATCTGTTGTGTATTATTCGTTGTGTGTGGAAATAGGATGGGCATATGAGAGAAATTTACCTATTGTGTATCATTTTCTGTGTAATGTAACTGGTCAGACATAATATTTAACTGTTGCGTATTATTTGATGTGTATTGAAACATGATTGACATTTGTGAAATATTTACCTGTTGTGTATTATTTGCTGTGTAAGGTAACAAGGTTGACACATGAAACATAATCTCACTATTATTAAATGTTGTGTAGTAGGAATGAGTTCCTGTTGAATCACCTGAAAACATAAAATAAATATATACATTTTAGAAAAATCTTTTTCATATTTTCTTAAAAGTTGTTTGTTCTAACTGTATTTCTGAAAGATATTTTTTTCTTCTTTTTCCAGATAAATCATTGAAGGTTTTCTTTTATTTGAGGTGCTATTTCGTTTGTGAGTGCTTCAAATTGTACAAACTTGCTATAACAAGGAGTTGCACATTATGTCATGCAAAGTATATCTCACCAGACACTGATGAAAAAAATTCATGCTCAGAGGGTATAATAAAAATTCAGAATATTGTCGCATAGGCACAGATCTATTACTTATACAGTATAACTTATCATTATAAAGTTTGATACCAAATAACAAATTATTCTTTAATATATTCACAAGCTGAGTAATAGGTGAGCGAAATCCCGTACAGAGCAATGGGCGTACAGAATAAAGAAAGGACGGGCAAGGGCAGTGCAATGTTTTATCCACTCCTTGAGCAGGGGCATAAAAATATGTTAAATCGTGTAAATAATTCCATTACCTTTTCTGAACCTTTTGAGCTTTAGAAAATAAATGAAATTATTTCTAAACCTATATTCTAGCAATCTTTTTTTTTTTCTAGTAAGTGATGTAACCAAGACTGTGCAATAACACAAACGCCCCCGCTCAAGCTTCAAACAAACGAAAATGGGACAGACTGATGGTCAAGGGTAACACTTAATGCCCCCGCAGTAGAATAAAAAGATTATCATGATAAAAATTTCATCACTATTCATTTTGCTCCAATATTTTCTCCTAAAGCCAACTTTACTGTAATTTAACCATATAATAATACTCACTTTTATTATCCAATTGGGCTCTATATTTCTCAAATCCTTTTAATCTAATTTTGTGACCTATACATTTTAAAAACTCTTCAAATGCAGGACTAGAATTTTCTAAAAAGAAAAAGAAAATAGAATCATTATAAAATATGTCTTAAAAAATATATCTATACATAAATTTACCATTCACTATCCGTTAGAATTCGGATGAATTTACTAGCAATATCTTTTTTTTACCTGTACACATCAAAAGCAATGATATCAAATTTATTTGAGAGATTTGACAAATGTCTGTATTGTACTACATATATGCAATACATGCTTATCAAGGCTTTAATAAAATTCTTTGTCAGTAACACTTAATTTGGTCTACACTTGTAGAGTCCAACCTGCCTGAAATCTGTGTTTTATTCTTTGTTTAATTTTGTGTAATAAACCAAATCAACACAAACAATATCATACAATTATAGTCTTTGTATGAGGTCAATAGGTTATATCGACCTAAAAGAAGCACATGGACCAAGGACGAAGTCCGAGGTCAATATGCTTCTCTAGGTTGATATAACATCATATTGATCTCAAACAAAGGCTACAATTGTTATATCATTAATCAACAACTATTGCATGAACAATGTAGAATTGGGGATTTCTAGAATGTATTTTTAGTAACAGTCTGTATGCTAAACACAACAGTATTGGCGTACCAACTTAGTAAATACAAATGTACTTGTGATCAAGTTTTAACGAATCACAAATCCTTAAAAATATTCGATTAATAATATTATCAAACAGTATTTTTAGAAACCATTTCAGCAATTCTAAATTTACATTTTTTCTATTTCTAAAATGTGTAGATATAGTTACCATTATTATACATATCTTCTTCCGATGATTGTCCAGAACGACATAATAAAACACCTACTTTATAGGTACTGTACAACTGAAATAAAAAAAAAATAACAGTTTAGAAAAATAATAACCCAGCAAATTACCAAATATATAATTTAATAAAACAGCTCAGATCAAGTGATTTATCACTTCCATCCTCCACAGTGAGTAATGGACAGATAGGGCAAAACTACTAAATGTTTTCTGGTACCTGCCCTGAGAAGTAGTCATGTCATTTCTTTTCATTCATCATAAGCCTTGCATATTACAGATATGTGTAAACAAGATGAACTGTGAGGAATATGTGTATTGTTCACTTTATATACCCCCTTTTCCCTTTTCAATTTTGTTTACTACAACAATGTATATTAAACAAAAAATTCATATTATAGTGCTATATATCAGAAAGCTGTAACTTGTAGCTGCTAAGAAAAGAACAACAAAAAGGCTATCAGGACAAATAGACAGACCAAGGTAAGCCAGTATATTGCTCCAAGGAAGCAAGAGCAGTGTCATTTAAATGAATTAAGCTTTAGAAGCCTATATTTATAATATCTAAGGTTAAATTTTAGTAAACAGGGGTTGGCTACACAAAGAGAACAAGAACAAAGGACAAAAAAATGTTGCTATGGTTTATTATTGTGAAAATTGTGAAGAGAAAGGTGTTGCAAAAATAAAAACTTGCATTTTATATTTTGATTACATCATTTGTATGCTGCATTTCCTGAAATCGCAATTATTTAATGTTATATTCGACAATCGCAATAATAAATGTACACAATAATTTCCAACTTTACAATACTCAGATAGAATTAAAGCAAAGACTCATGGGGCAATGCATTTTTCTATCTTTAGCCAGCATTAAAAAAGACATTGGAAAGCAATTGTTTAGTTCAGTTTATTTTAAGAGCTCTTCAAGGATCACTTAAAATTTCTGCCATGTAATGATCTGATGACTTTAAATGATGATGTTTCCTTTATAGTGTACAATTCAGGAAATTGTCACACTTACAACACTTGTCTAAAGTGTTTGAACTATGCCACTGACCAGGACAGAAATATCATACCAGTCATCATGAAACACTTACTCAGATAGTAGATTTATTAGAAGTTTGTTCAGTATTATAGTAATTTAATAAATTCTGAGAAAAATTACAACGGATTTCAAGTAAATATCAAATTCTTTGTAAGATTTATCAATATTAATCATTTCAATATAATGTATTCTATCAGATATGATCATTTCAATGTCTTCTTATTTGTGGTGCATCAAGTTCTTTGGATCAATAAATGCAAATATCCCACCTGTCCTTTCTCATTAAGATGCTATTTTATGCTTTAAACATGAAGAAATAAATTTTGAAGGTGTATGATTTTTTTTTTTATATAATACAATGTCCATACTTGGGACCATAAAAAATCAAAGGGTGATAATTTACTTATCGGGCCTGTAGGATCACTGTAAATTACTTCTATGTAATGATCAGAAGATTTTCAATAATGAGCTTATAATCTAAATCAAAATTTCACCAACATCCATGAAGAGTAATAATTGTATTTAAGAGTGTATACAATGATGACTGACTGACATACACCCTATGACATAATGAGAATAAAAATATACAGTAAAACCTGTACATGAAGGTCACACTTAAGCTTAGGACCAGAGAAAACTGACCTTTAAAAGGAGGTGACCTTTGAAATGAGGTCTTTAATCTAATATATATTATAACAATGGGATAAGAATAGTGTGTTCTGAAAAGTTATGTTTTTGCTTAATAGAGGTAATATTTGTGTTTTGCTTAATAGAGACAGGCTAGGTAATATTTGTTTTTTACTTCATAGAGGTAATATTTGTTTTTTGCTTAATAGAGTTAATATTTGGTTTTTGCTTAATAGGGGTAATATTTGGTTTTTGCTTAATAGGGGTAATATTTGGTTTTTGCTTAAAAGAGGTAATATTTGGTTTTTGCTTAATAGAGTTAATATTTGGTTTTTGGTTAAAAGAGGTAATATTTAGTTTTTGCTTAAAAGAGGTAATATTTGGTTTTTGCTTAATAGAGGTAATATTTGGTTTTTGCTTAATAGAGTTAATATTTGGTTTTTGCTTAATAGAGGTAATATTTGGTTTTTGCTTAAAAGAGGTAATATTTGGTTTTTGCTTAATAGAGGTAATATTTGGTTTTTGCTTAATAGACGTAATATTTGGTTTTTGCTTAATAGAGGTAATCTTTATAGCAGTTTTGACTGTACTTTCAACATATGTATGATAAGATTCTACTTACCCCTTGTTCATCAAGTTTTAACAACTGCTCCAATGTCTTTGGGGTAGTTGTTCCAAGTTTGAGGCAGGATATTTGTAATTGAGGTATGAGGAATTCTAGGATGTCCTTGACCTGACCAGTCCGAGAACTACTAATTCGGCCACTTGGTATAGCTTCTTCAAGTATGGCTCCCCGTAATGTGGTCAGCTGGCAACAAAAATATATAACAAATGTATTTCAGAATTTAAGACTTTTGAGTTTTGACATGTGGATAAAAATGTCTGTGTACCAATATCTTAAACCCATGTAAGGTATACATTGTATTTCATCATTTCTATTTACACTACATTCCCATTGCAGCTGACTCCATTCATGTATTCCATCACTGTGTCTTAGCTATACTGCATTCTTTGGATTCATTTATTTTTATTGCTATCAATTTTTGTAGATTAAGAAATAATCACATTAATGTGGATATTAGATTTCGTGGTTTGGCCCAAGTCTTCATACAAGCCTGTAGATAATGTGTACTCTGTTGAACATCTAAATTTGTGGATTTTTTCTACCAAAGAAATCCACGAAAATTAGTATACAACGAATATTAATGAAAGAAAATGTCACATAATTTTAAGCTATTTCTAGTGACACTATACAATAATCTTTTGAATTAAATACCTATTGAAGTGACTGAGATGATTAATTATTAGATAAACCTATATGGTTTTATTGTGTTGTTGGTTTGCTGCAGTGTTCTCCCCAGGATTTTTGGATAGCACCAGGGTAACGCGTGTGGACTTCTTGGTGAAATATTTCATGCAATCAGTTGTGTCGCGTCGCATTGCTTCGCTTTTATGTCTCTTGCTTTGTTTTAATACTGTGGTATTGTGTTATGTAGACATTGATTCAGAAAATTATTGGTAAAAAGGAAGTAAATCAAAAAACAGTTTGTATACTTTAATATTTTTTTAAAATAAATAAATTATGATTCATAATAAAATGTTCATCTGAATTTAAAGTAATTAAATCTTTTATAAAATCCAAAATCAATAAAAATAAAATATCATTCAAAAGAGAACAAAAATGTTCAATTTAAAAAACTTTCTAGTTTCTAGAAAAAGAGTTGTTGTATGTGAAAGGATTCCTGTCATAAGAAGATATAAAATTAACAAGAACAATTTCAAATATTGTTTTATTATTTGAACCAGTTTCTATCTTAGATTTTAATAAAAAGAAATTTTTCATTTGCCATAGATTTCATGTAAATATTAACCTTTCTTGTCTTTGGTGATAATCAAACATAGATACTGACTTAATACTGCCCTGAAATCTAAATCTTTATTTGTCATGAACCATTTAAAAAGAATTCCTAAATCTATAAATTTTTCTTTGGTCTATAGATCTATAAGTAACCATATTCAATGTCAACAACTAAGTCTCCCTATTTTCCCGCCTAAATGACAGGAAGTAGATATAAATAGATTTAACATGTGCTAATGGATAAAATTTGCAAGATTACTTCTGTTATTCATTAATTATGGATATAGATATCCAGTTTGAAGGTACAGTCATGCATTTTATTTATAAAATATAATAGATTGCAATTAATTATAAACTTGAATATTCTACGTGAACTAACTGGGTCATGTGATAAGTACAGACAGATACTACAGTTTGAAACCTGACTATCATGCAATTACTATGTCATAATTAAAGATGATATTGGCCATGGTTTTAATCAGAGACATATAATACTATAATATAAGAATTGGGAAATGTATAGTTGTCCATTATATGTAATGAGCCACCTTTATGATGTACAAAAAATGTACCTATTTGGTCAAGACGACTGTTTGTGTACAAAGTATTTGCCGACTTGTCACAGGTTATCACAGGTCAGTGCTTGGGTGGAGAGTGAAGCCATAAAATAGTTATCTGTGATCATAAAGTTATGAACTCTTAATTAAAACACAAAAGAATCATGTTACAAGTGTTAATTACATCGATTAAATCCAATCAACAAGGTTAACCTCACAAGGTAAATCGATCACGTGATGTAAACAAATCTCTGTTGAACTGGTTTGAACTGGTCAAATTTCACCTGGAATTTTATACCGCACGGAAAAGATTTAACAAGTCGTTTAAAACTTTACCAATTTACGATTTTTTAACTGAAAATTTTAGCACCACGGAGAAAAATTATACATCGCGGTAAGAACGATACCACCACGGTAAAAAATTATACATCGTGGGCCCGCGGTCCTTTAAGGGCCTGGGGAGAACACTGGTTTGCTGTCTAACTAAAATCCACATCTAGTTGTTATTCAAAAACACTAAATAATGTTTACTCTTTAGGTGTGTTCAGTGTAGTTACTTTATAAATAACTATTAGACTTACTGCGCTGGTCCTAAAAATAATCCTATGTTGGTACTGTCCATACTCTGCTTTCCCCAATTTGTTCTCTCTATCTTCTAACTTCTCTCTGCGAATACTGATTGCCACTGGGCCAAAATTTTCATCAATACCAAAAAAATTTTGGTGATCTATTAAAATAAAAGTAAAATACAATATAATGAACATGAACAAAAGTCAAAAGTAGTACAACTTGTATATGAATTTATATAATATAACATTTGAGTATATGACCATAGATATTATATGCTCACATCAAGTATGAGGGATTGTGTCAAATAGAAAGCCAATTTATCGTTTTCATTTATAATTCCTCAGAACAAAGAGGAATATCTCCTATGACATTAAAATATCATTGTCATGAACAGGTGTGCAATATTTGCCACTTCGGCATGTTCAGAGGGTGCACTGGCTCCGAAAAAATTAGAGCCAGAAAAATCGCATGTTACCAATTTTTAAAGCTTGGAGTCAACTTAAGAACCAGCCTCTATCAAAATTTAAACAGTAAAAAAATTACTTATGTAGTGTATATCATTTAACTTAAGTTGTGATTTGCTATGTACATGTATTATGTATTGCCCTGTTATTCTATGTTTTTTCTCCCTTAAAACTTTTTAACTCCTTCTGAATTATGCAGTCCTAGAAAAAAACTAACAGGTTTACTGCCTCTGTTGTCTGAAGTTCTGGAAGTAAAGCCAAAGTCACATAACTTTGAGGGAAATTTTGAAAATACATTTAACATGTTTAACGAAAAAAAGATAAGAGCTGTGATCCACATGCATGTGGTGTGTTGCATTTAATAAATCATATTTTTCTGATATACTATAATACTGTGTTTTTATTTTTTCAATAAAGATTATAAACAAATTTTGTTCTGCATAATGATGTTTTACCTACATGACATCAGAAATAAAAATAGAACCAGTTGTTCCATAAATACATTTGTTTTCCTTTGTTCCATAAATAAATTTATTTTCCTTGACCTGAATGTTAAATGAAGCAATAAACAGTATTGTTTTAAATTTGTTCAATATTGCTACAGTGTTACATCTTATGATAACAAAAGTACACTTATGTCTAATGTTAATGCCTTTCAGGGCCCTAATTAGAATAAAGTATTCTTCTTCTTCTGTACAAATGTATATATGCAAAGTTGTAAAGGGCACTTTACAGGTTTTTGTTTGGCACAAGTGTTGTACATGTACATGAGAAAATATAAGGATTAAAAGTAAATACAATTTTCATTAATCACAAAAATATAATTTTTTCAAGTTTTATATCAAATTTTAATCTCCAGTCATATTAAAAATGAAAACAAATCACACTAACATGATAAAGTTTAGAAAATTAGAAGTGAACACCATCAGATTGTCTTTGAAAGTGAATATTAGAAGGAACTGTTGTTCTAAAATTCCTCCACATGTAATTTATGGACAATGTTTGAATTCCAATCCATTATTGACACCTTTTGAGAGCAATTAGTCATGTTTAACCACAGTTACCTGTTTGACAAATTAATTAACTCAATTGCTGCTAGAAATATAACAAGGGAAACAAATTTCTAATAAAATTTTATTAATTTTCAAATTCCTGTTAGTCAGCACTCATTGATTTTAATATAACCATCTAATAATCATATTTCATTTATAATTATTGATAATTATAATTATCATTTCAAACTTTCACACTTTGGTTAATCTGTTTAATGTGAGGGTACCCGATATGCATCTATTTTGATAGTCCAAATAATTATGATGTCTTGTAAGGCTATTTGATTTTTTTGTTGTAATGCCATAGGAACATGAGGAAGGAGTCACAACAAGCAAAAAATAGCCTTACAAGTCACAATAATTTTTGACAGTTTTTCCACCTTCATTTATCTAAGAAACAGACAAAAGTTTCCATTCTGTGTTTATTTTGTAGATGTATCTATATTTACTATTTAGTTCCACAAATTTAATTTTAAATCCATACTGAATCATAGAAAGATGGGTTTTGAGCTAACCTCAAAGCCATCCAAGATTCTCAAATGAGAAGTACAATACATGCAAATGTACCTAAATTGCTCCCATACTTAACAAGAGTGCACACGCTGAAATGTCTCGCCTTCTTTACAAATGATTGATTTTATGTTGATAGTCCTAAATATAAAGCTTTACTACAAGTAACACATAAACTTAACATGATCCAAGAAAATGAGGTCAAGGTCAGATAAACCAAACGAGAAATACATGTACACCTTACAATCATTCAATAAACCAAACATAGTTGACCTATTGCTTATAGATGGACCTTGCCAGACAGACATGTACACCTTACAATCAATTTATGCATTAAGTATAGTTGACCTATTGCTTATAGTATCTAAGAAACAAACTTAACCATGAAAACATAACATTGACCAATGAACCATGAAAATGAAGTCAAGCCTAGATGATACTTGCCAGACAGACATATACACCTTACAATCCTTCCATAAAACAAATGTAGTTGATCTATTGCTTATAGTTGAAGAAAAACAGACCAAAACACAGAAACGTAACACTGAGAAATGAATCGTGAAAATGAGGTCAAGGTCAAATAAAACCTAAGAGACTGACATGTACATCATAAAATATTTCAATACACCAAATATAGTTGACCTATTGCATGTAGTATTAGAAAAGAAGACCAAAACTCAAAAACTTATCTTTGACCACTGAACCATGAAAATGAGGTCAAGGTCAGATGACACCTACCAGTTGGACATGTACACCTTACAATCATTCCATATACCAAATATAGTAGACCTACTGCTTATAGTATCTGATATATGGACTTGACCACGAAAACTTAACCTTGTTCACCGATCCATGAAATGAGGTCGAGGGCAAATGAAAATTGTCTGACGGGCATGAGGACCTTGCAAGGTACACACATACTAAATATAGTTATCCTATTACTCATAATAAGAAAGAAAATAACATTACAAAAAAAGTTCGACTTTTTTTTCAAGTAGTCACTGAACCATGAAAATGAGGTCAAGGACAATGGACATATGACAGACGGAAACTTCGTAACATAAGGCATCTTTATAAAAAGTATGAAGCATCCAGGTCTTCTAGCTTCTAAAATATAAAGCTTTTAAGAAGTTAGCTAACGCCGCCGCCGCCTATGTCGAGCTTTCTGCGACAAAAGTCGCAGGCTCGACAAAAATCTAATATCTTTTGTTCTATTTCTCCATTTTTTTTAACAATTTGACAATAGTCCATACTGCTTATGTGTTTTGTATTAAATGGAAGTCAGTGTCACTGTGACATACATTGTATTTTAAATTTCTCATTTTTAAAAGTTGACTCTATGTAGATGTCGCCGGCAACATTTCTGTAAAAAAATTTAATTTTTCACTAGAGACTTCATCTGTTGATATACATGTATATTGTAACCTTTTTGTGTAGCTTTAAGAATATTTAGCTAATTTGCATATGCTTCTTTTTTCTTTGGTTATTATGATGATTGATAATGTGATTCAAAGGGTATAACTATTTAAGTATACATGTATGGATGCTATGTTTCTATTTATAAAATTATAAATATATATATTGACGGTCAATATTAAACATCTTGCAAAATACAATGTCAAATACACAGAAAGAACAAAGAAGTTCAATTTCATAACACACTATTTACAAATGGAATATATAAATTAAGAACTTTCATTCAGCAATACGTTATATATGATCCTGTTAGATTATATTGAACCTCAGACTTCGTCCTCGGTCAATATAATATGAACAGTCCATATATACATTTGTAATGTAATGACCTCGTCAAGAGTCTAGCACTGATAAATGTTGAAAAACGTGCAAATTGATATTTAATTACAGAAATACTAATTGTTTAGTCTTTGTAAGAAAACCTGTAAGATGTTGTGTCATTTTTTATGCAAAATGGGTACAAATTGTGTACATGGTGCAATTCAAGAACTGTAACGTTACGTGTGAAAGAGATTATTAGAACGTGCTATCATACGACAACTTACCTGTAATTGCCCCTGAAGTAGATTTTATTACCGTTACAGTCATGAATGAAAATTTTGACATAAAAAATTATTAATACAGTTGGCGCCAGATATATCAACAGCAGCCTGATTTTGTCTAAAGATGAAATAAAAAATCACAGTTTGCAACATTGGCGAAGCCCAGCCAATCGCTACACAGGAGAACTAGAAGTCTAATAGAAAGATTTAGATACAAGTATTTTTTCCACAAATTTTCTGTTTTAATATCATGTCAGTGTAACTAACACTACAAATATCTGGGGATAGCTCGGGATACTATGTTGGAAAGCAAGTCAATCTGCTTACATGTATGTTTCATGACGACTTTCTAAACATATATATATATACATGTAAGTAGCTTGATATATATATATATATATCATGTATATATGTAAAATGAAGCATATTATTACAAGAAAATGTCTTATTGGAATTCTTTGTCTTTACATATACATTATTTGTACATATACATGTAAACATGTGTACATAGAGTGATGTACATTTATGAACATGCAAATGTATTGCAGTTTTTTTTCTAAAAGAATTTAAGAAGTTAGAAGAATGGAATAAAATCAAATTTTATGTCCATGCCATAAAGTTTTCAAGTTTCTTTATTGTATGTTAAACTTAATTCCTAAATCTACATTTATAGTTGCCATGCTTTTCTCTTTTTGCAGATTCATCAGAATTTTCTATAAAATAGGCCATAAAAAAAGAATATGTTTGTCTAAAATTTGCCCTAACCCTACCTGCCCAGTAAATATCTGCCTACTCAAAATCTTTTATTGTCCTGATGTGAGAAAGTTTTTTTTTAATCAGATAGGTATGAAGACTGAAAAAACATCTGCCACTTCAATTTCTCTTTGCTGACAAAAAAGAAAATGCCTACCTACCTACCCACTGTCTCTACCTTTGGGTAGGGTTTGGGCAAACCAAAATATTTTTAAGTGTGGCCTAAACAAGGCTGAAGCCCAGTTTCAGTTAACTCTCTTCTCACATGGTACATGTATAATTTACAAAAGTTGTCTGTCTTTGGAGTACCGGTTGGCATGTATCAGGTTTTTTCAACCTGTCTAAATAATATACTCTCTTTAAAAAATGTTGACATAAAAGGCAGAAACTTGGTGGCTTCTATTTAATTCATTCACAATTTTTATAGAATCAGAACTTATTAGAACTAGAAATCAATTGTTGAAGACTCATGTTGCCCACTAGATGTCTAATCATGTCTTTTTATTTCTTTTTATCATGTTTATTCAATTCAATACCTTTCCTTTAACAATGAGAGTAATTTATACCAGTATTACTCAAATTAATTCATATACAATTACAGGTGTACTTCTACACACGATACATTTCTTTATTAAAAGATTTCATTAAAAAGTTTAACTGTTTTCTTTATTTAACTAATAACATATAAAAGAAAGGCGAAAAATCTTTTTGTAGTAGCAGAAACATAAATAAGTATATTTCAGTACAACGGGATATTAGCTGAATTCGATACTAACCAATACAAATAAATACCTCAACTGAATTGTATAGGGTTCAATAATTTCTACATCATGAACAAAACCAAGGAAATTCAATACACTACATGATTTTATATTAAATTATTTCTAGAGTTAAGAAGTGCATATTACATGTGTTACTTGATGTCTGACGGAGATTCAACCAGGCCTGTTTTTTTTTTACCATGCTATTTACTGTATGTCACATCTAGATCTATATTTATAGTTTTTTTTTAAATCCAGATTTCAACTACAAATGTATATCATGTATGATAACATAAACCATCTATCAATAAACAATGATAAAATAACCAACATAATGGTCTAACGCATAGCTGCATATACATATATACACGTACTGTACATGCTGTATATTGACATTTATTGTACTAAAGCCTTCTGTAAAAATCTTTAACACCAAATCACCCCCTTTCCCCAACCCAGGAGTACCTTAACTATCTTTAGATATTTTTGCAGTCATGTTGCTTACTATTAATGCACAAATACATGTACAAAAAAACATTTATCATCATTTTATTGCAAGTTTAAAATACTCTTAATTTGATTTCATTTTCTTTCTCTATTTTGTCATGGAGACTGAAATAATTAATTATATATATAGCTATGAAATTTCCCCTTCTCACTAACTGTTGGACTTACCATGGCCAGAAATGAGTCCCTGGACTCACCTTAAAAAATCATTAGTTAGAACCCAGTATATACATGTACATGTGTACTTACCATAACCATAAAAGAAATGTCTATAGTAACTGGCCCCATGATCTACATACTCCATCACATGATTCCGATGTAACACTACATGAGGAAGCATAAGTCCCGTCGGAGTTGGTGAAGAGTCTAATATAGATAACCCACAACACGCAGGTGACCGTGTCAATATTGCACTATTTTGAGTATTCTTAGATTTATTTAACGTTCTACGTGCTGAACTTCGACCTAAACTAACTATTCTTTCCTCTTCACCACCGATTTCATTTCTAAAAAATGGACATTTAAGCACCAAATTGTTACTTTTGTCATCACCCTCATCTTCCGACTCCCTTCCATCTTTCTGCGAGGCTGCAGATGCACCAGTTGTGGTATTTTTACCAATTTGTAAAGGGTTACTAATGCTATGAATAATTTCCTCCACATTGAAAGTAATACTCTGACAATCATAATGTAAAAAAGCTTTACTCCTTAATCTTTCCTCAGCACGAACATCAACATCGATATTGTCAGGAGTTTTAGGGTTAATTTCTGGTTCACTTTTTCCACGTAATTTTGTAAATATTCCTGTTGGACGTGTTTCGTTCGTAATAGATTTACTCCTGCTTTTCCGGTCTTTATGCTTGAATTTAGATTTTGTTCTCGGACTATCTGTTATATCCTCCGTGGACTTGTCCTTCACAGCACTACCGTTAGAGGTACGAAACCGCACTCCTTCATTTTTACCACGTAACAATTCCTGCAACTGAGCAGGGGCAGGACTTCTTTGATCAGCATTAACATGGCTATAATCTTTCAACAATGCAAAGAAGCTGTCATGTCCTGCACTTTTTCCAAGAACATCAATAGAGGATGTACTCCCATAATCCCTGCGTATTCCTGTATGAAATTCATCCACATCAATATAATCAATACTATCCATTTCTAAACTACTATTACTCCTATATAAGACAGGTTTTTTCTTCCTATCCTTTTTATCCTTCCCTTTGGATTTGTTTTTACCCCATGATTTAGCTGCGTGCGTACCATGTATGGTTGCCCTCTGTCCTCCCCGTACAAAGGCGTCACGGGGAGGTGTGTTCGAGTTATATCCATTGGTCTCTCTCTGATAGTAGTCCTGTTTCGTTGATGCCATTTCATCCCATTTTGTGTGTTGTTATCTGAATAAGAAAATTATAGCAGATCATCTCAGGATGTATTCAATAGATATATGTACATGTGTTCTTATTTCCTGATTAAACAGTAACCCATCTAACTTCACACTAAGTAATAAACCTCCTCCACTGTGAATGTCGTTAAGGATTATTTATGTAATTTAAAAGTACATTCTTTCTATATTTGGTTATATATCATTGTTTTCTACTGTTACACGTTAACTTTAAACCATAAATAACAAAAATGTGTGACTTCAGGAAAAAATGTACATTTTGTAATTTTAACAAGTTTACATTCTGAATCACTTAAATTCCTTTATCTTAATCCACTTTTGAAAATATTTCTTTATAAACATAAGCTGTTTGATAAAATAGATAATGTAGAGAATATTACAAAATTTCACTGTATTCCCTACATGAAAAAAATTATCTAATAATCTTACATCTGTATTCTCCAAACTTACAACTGCACCTGTTTTGTAATTACTAATTAAAACAGTTTCCTACACTTTTATTTCCCAAAAAAACTACCTTGAAATAGCCAAATTTCATCAGATGTAAATATTTAAAAGTTTAGCTGTGAATGAGGAATTTCACTGCCAAATAATTCAGAATGAGGTAATAGTCTTTACACCTAACAGGAATTAAAATTGTTTCTATCAATTAAAACAAAATCTATTTGGAAGACCTGTAAACATATTTATGACCAGATAATTACATTAGAGGCCTTTAACTTGGGGAATGTATTATTACTACTTGATACAATTACAGAGAATTCAAAGGTGTCAAGATTTTAAATTTATTTACTCAAACACGAAAAAATTTAAAGGTTTATTGAAGTAACCCCATCTTTTATACATGTACATGTGTAATTGGACGAGTACTGACTGAATAAATTATCTTTATAGTATTCATGCAGCTTTTAAAAGTAAAAATAGAAAAAAAAATAACAATTTGCACCCTTTACTTTATAGTACAGACCTATATGCACTTTTACATCCGTAAACAAGAAAACTGAGATCAGACCTATAAAATTCATACCCCACACTCCCCAATTTGTGCAGATATCAAAAGTCAATGTTTTGCTGAGGGAAACCACAAAAAACTATTTGGATAAAAAAGGAATTAATAGATGCTCAATGTTATTAGACAGTACATATTCTATAAGAGTTTCATTAAAAATCAAGTCTCTGGTTTAAGAAGAGTTGCTGATCTACATAGAGTGAACAGACCAATGAACAGGTCAACAAACAGACTAATGATCATTATATACATTTAACTGAGGCTTTGGTTAGTACAATAACTCTAGAACCCCACACCAATATACCACCATTCTTAATCATTTGGTTAAGTTAACAGTACATTATCTAGGGATTTTCCAGTTATTGCATGAAGTGTAAAAAAATGCTTATTTTTGAAAGATTGAAGTTTATAACTCGGATATGGCAAAAGTGAAAATCCTCAAAAATATACAGTCCATTAAAGACCACCATTCAGAATTAAGTAGTAAACTTTGAGAAAATCATCCAAGACAAACTTGAGTTTGTTAGTGTCATGTTAAAGCCAGACTGACAGATGCGCCACAGTATACCATAAAACATGAATGCCAGTTGCTGAACAGCATATACTTGAGTTATTGTGTAATATATATATATGTTTACTCTAAAACAGATGGACAGACAGACAGTCAGTCAGTCAACCATAATCATGATATTATGTCCACTGCTGAAGGGTGTATAAAAATAACTTTTAAAATAAATAATTAGTTTAGATACACTCAGGTGTTACCAGACCTACATGTAACATGCCAAAAGTTTTTTCATTTTTTTATTGTCACGTTAACATTCTTTTAATAAATGGTCGAATATTAAGCCACCACAGATGTTTATTTCAATTTTAAAATTTAAAATAAATTCATTCTTTGAACATTTAAATTTGTGGTTTCCCTGTACCTACGAAATCCCGAAAAATTGGTATCCAACGAATAATAATGAATCCACAGTATATCAAAAACCACATGGACTTAATTAGGTTATACAATCAAAATGACTAAAGTGTAACAGATACAAGTGTGTCTTTAAATGACTTTTATCATCATATCTTCCAAAATTGCACTTTATATCAGAAATTTTTGCTACAGCTTACATTTTAAAAAATAGCTCTTAAAAAAAACGAAATCACTCATCAGATAACAAAATGGAAATCACAGGTATGATTAGTGGTGGAAAATGCCAAAAAATGTAATAAAGTTATAAGAATAAAAGTTCTCTTATATTTACCATTGATTTTTCTAAGCAATTTAATACATGTACCTCTTTCATCATCAATTACACTTAGAAAAAATTTGCTTACGTCCACTGATGTGTCGGGAAATTTTGATATAAGGGAAATAGAACTCATACTACTAAACAAAGCTACTATTTAACTTGAGATGTTACATATTTATTTAAGTGGTTCTAATGACTGTTAGTTGCATTGTTTTAAACGGAAACTAGGAATATTTCCCTATACTGAAATTTTTCCAATTGATTTGAAAAAAAAAAATATATTTAAAAGACCTAAAACTGGTAAACGTGAGATAACTTTTATATTATATGTGAGGTGTTGAATAATTCATCAATACAATCAAGACATGCGCATGATTACCTGTGCATACAAGGTTACATAATTCTTAACATTTTTCCAATTTAACTTATTGGTATTTTGGGTTTTGAGGTAACAGTTATCATACATAACATATATTTCATAGTTAACCATTTTTACGTTACTAAGACCTTCAATATAATTTGGGCAAAGGAATGTTTAGAATTTTTGCTTCAAGCTTTAAGGGACTCATTAACTTCAAAATTACAAATTTTATCAAATTAATTGCATGTGTTTTTAACAAATTTTGACTGACGAAGAGTGTTTTAAATTCTGTAGCACCTGAACTTACCCCTTAGGCTATACATTCATATTTTCTTTAAAAAAAAATTCTGTAAGATGTTTTTTAGGCTGCTGTTTTGTCTTTACCGTTTTCCTTCTTTCCGTCCTATTTTTGTCTATCTTTCTTGGACTTACAGCTTTTTATTGATCGCTTGGGAAGTTGCCCATTGGTATCATATTTTTTTTACACTTTTTTTTAGTTCAAACCATAGCCTTGAGGCTTAGAGCTCTCATGGAGGAGCTGTGGCAATGAGTGTATATAAGGTAAAAGTTTTAATGCAATAGATTCAAATTTATGCAAAATAATGCTTCAACCCAGCAGGATTTCCACCAGTTTCCCAATTACTTAACCACAACATTTAAAAGGGTCAAACCAGATTCTTCCTTTATTTCACACATTTATTTAAAAAAGGGAGCAGAGACCCTCAATTTGGTTTTAATGACTTCAAATCAGTGATCCTATTGTTCAACTCATTCTTCATTCATACACTATACATGTACCTTGAAGTCTAGAGACAGAAACAATAGACTCTTACCATTTTCATGGTAAAAAAGATTAAAAGCTATTTATTCTTGTATACTAAGAAATGAAACATTTAATCAATCATGTAGACCCTCACTGGCCTCAGTATTTTATTAGGTGGTAATCTTTTGATCAGTAATTTCCCTATTGATGTGTTTGTCAGATTCCCACATAAAACAGATAATGTTTATCAATCTAAATTCCATAACAAACTTCTTAGATTAACTTCTGAAAGTAACTGTTGTCTTATATCATGTATATCAAGAAATATACAATTTCAAACTGTTTCAATTATAAATTCATGTTGAAAACTTACATAATATAAAACATCTTTATCGAAAGAAAAGGGAAGTTTTACGTCACACGTTATTCATGAATGTACATGTAGACATATGGTAGACACGAGGGTTCTGTAAAAGATAAGTTTTAAAACATAAGGCATATTGTTTCTTCTTCAAAAGATAAAATTTCAGTCATGAGTAAAACAAGAAATGCCGTCTTCATATATGAACTTTCTGGTAGGTTTTGATATCACTCTCTCTCTCCAGGAATTCAGACTTTTTCCTTAAATTTGAATTACTTGTGCATGTCATGCAAATGTCATGTAATTGGTATATTTAATAGTCCAGTCAATTTATGCTGAAAAATGCTTACACATAAATAAAACTGCATTAGAATGAAACTATTTGAATGTTTTTGTGTCCAAAACATAATCATATTTGATAAACTATGAGTTTACTAAAAAAAAATTGACCTATAATGGTTTACTTTTGCATGTGACTTGGATTGAGAGTTGTCTCATTGGCACTCATACCACATCTTCTTATATCTAAGATAAAAGTGTTGTAAAAATTCAATATGATGATTTTGGGGTAAAACCATTGTTTTCTTGATTAAAAAAAAATCTTTGAAAAAAGGGAATCACAAACAAAGCAATGCATTTTATGACAATGCAACTTTACAGGGTTCTCACTAAGGTGAGTCCACGAGTCCTGGACTCACCATTTTCAAAACTGGTGAGTCCAAAGATGCATCAAGATTGAAATATTTTGTATAAACTGAACACACATATCATCATTATATAGCAAAGTTTAAAGGTAATCTGAATTTAATGTCATTGCATTGCTCTATTGGGTCATACAGACTAAAATAATAAATTATATTGCAATAAAATATCTTTTTCTTACTGTTGGACTCACCATGGCCAAAAATGATGAGTCCCTGGACTCGCCTTCAAAAATCCTTAGTGAGAATTCGAACCCTGACTTTATTTGAAGCATCACAAACATGATTGTATAAGATAACTGACAATATTATTACCAGGCCACCCTTAAAAAAATTATTTGTTTGATGTTGCCTACCTGTGCCTTTTAGGGTTTAAAAATAAAATTTGAAACGATTTGTGTTCTAAATTTTTTTTTGGGTAGACTGTTGCTTTTTAGAGGGAGTAAGTACAAACAATTCAAGTTTCATTTTTGGCCCCAGAAATTCAAATTTTGAGAAACAAATAACTAGAGTAATAATAGACCTTACCGTCTTAGATTCTCTAAGCCTTTTCTGTAGTCATCATAGTGAGCAGAATATAACAATTAAATTATTCGGGTTAGGAGAAAACAATAGGATATCTTTACATAAAATCTCAGAAAACAGGATACCAGAAGTTTGTCAGATGTAATGCAAATAACAAGGATATTTGTCAATATTTCCAAGAATATGTACTAATAAAGTGTACATTTATTTAATTTCCCTGATTAAAATAATGATATGTGACACAAGCTTCCTTTTTTATTTGAAAAAAATCATCAAAAACTGACAAATTGCATTATCTTGTTGCACATGTACATGTATCACCATGATTACTGGCTTGGGTCAAAATTAAAATTAAGTTTGTTTCCCCTCGCCACTGCCATGTCTAAAAGAAGCCCCTGTCAGTGGCAAAATTTTTTATCGGCGTTTAAAAAAAACAAGAGTGCACACGCTGAAATAGCTCGCCTTCTTTACTAACCATTGATATTATGTTGATAGTCCTAAATGAAAGCTTTACTACAACTATTACATAAACTTAACATGATCCAAGAAAATGAAGTCAAGGTCATATAAACCAACCGAGAAATACATGTACACCTTACAATCATTCAATACACTAAATATAGTTGACCTATTGCTTATAGTTTCTAAGAAACAGACTTAACCAAGAAAACTAAACATTGACCAATGAATCGTGAAAATGAGGTCAAGGTCAGATGAACCATGCCAGGCAGACATGAACAGCTTACAATCCTTCCATACAACAAATATAGTTGACCTGTTGCTTATAGTTTAAGAAAAACAGACTGAAACACATAAACTTCACACTGAGCAATGAACCGTGAAAATGAGGTCAAGGTCAATTCCATGGGTCCCTTAATTTAACCCTTAGCTGGAGATGGGTTACACATGTGCTTAACTTGTTCAGCTATTAAAAAGAAAAGAGTGTCATCTTTGAAAATTCACCCTTGTTGCACAATCTCAGTTGCAAACAGGTTCTGATTCTCATTTTGACCTCAAAACTGATCACATATATTTTTCGTCATGATTATATTTTGGTTGCTAAGAAAATGAAAATGACTGCTGTTAAAAGTTGAAATGATAATTTCGTGCGAATATTAGGTAACCATGCACTGACCACTAAATTATATAGAGAAAACATTTGGGAGGGTCTGAAAGTGACCATCAGAGGCAGGTGACCGCTGAAATGAGGTGACCGTTATGGCAGGTTTGTCAAATTGACTGTATTTATACAGCAACAAAAAATCACTGATACATGTATATTATTGTCTAAACAAGGAATTATTTGAATCTGGAATAATTTTGAATTCTGGAAAATTGATCAGAAATTTATGATGAAAACTAACCCAACTAAATAGGGTTAGCCATGCACGCATGGCTAAGGGGTGTTAGTTCATACTGAAATGATAGTGAAAGTAAAATTAACCTTAGCCATGCATGCATGGCTAACCCCATTTAGTTGGGTTAGTTTTCATCATACATTTCTAATCAGTTTTCCAGAATTCAAAATTATTCCAGATTCAATTAATTCCTTGTTTCTATCTTTTTGTCTCACTCTGTACATGTATGCATGCAACCTAAAAAATTGATAAACCCTTAGTTGGAGATAGGTTGCTTATGTGCTCAGCAGGTTCAGTTATATAGGAATGTTAAAATTGAAACTGTGAAACAATTTCCATACATTTTCATCTTTAATATGAAATCAAATTGACCAAGGAAAAATCATCATTACACTTTGTTTATGCTTGTCTGTCTATCTATATTCATGTTTGTATTGGGTAACATTAACATCAGGAAAAAAAAATAGGTGTTTTTGGTACATGTAGCTGGACAGACCCTTACTTTTTTAAATTGATAATTTTCGCTGAGTCAAGAGTGAAAAAAAAGCTCTTCCTTTAGCATGTCCCAGAATCATCTGGGTCTAATTAGCTTTATTTGTAAAAGCGTTTTTTGTGACCGTGATTAATATTAAGCAAATGGCCTTCTTATATACTAATGTGCTCGCAGTTTGGTTGATGCAATGTAACCATGATAAACATATGTCTATGACACACAAAAACATTGGAACAACTGTTCAAAGAATTTCAAGATGAGATCGATGAAAAAAAAACAAAAATAATCCTAACCTACCGACCTTCATTTTTTGGGACATTCAACAGGAAACACACCTACTTTTTTGGCCTTAGTAGTCTTTGGAGGTCATCTCTATTGTTTATAAGGTGATGTATAGCTAAAATATGAAATGCTAATCCTCTATAACAATTTTCTGTGACGTTTATTGTTTACTATGGAACTACATGTACATGTATAAAATGCACACTGTCATGACTGTTTGGATAAAATCTCTTAATACTATAAATATTTCAAAATCATAAACGGTGCATAAAACATGACAATGATGTAACATATGTTCAAAGGCATTATTCTGAAATTGCTGTAATTAAAAAAGGAAAAATATAGGGTAAACCTTTCTAATATCTATTGAATAAATTGTTAAAATGCATGGAATCGACAGGTAATTATACATTGTTATATGTTTACCTTTTATTTCAAGAAATATTCATATAAAAATGTAAATCAAATTTGAGTCAGATGCATCTGCTATATACCCTGAAATTTTACTTCATCTTTGTGATAGTTTTTAAATCATTCATATATTAGGAAGAATCTGAAGTGCAACTGAAAGCTAGTGTAGTGAAAAAGAACAAAAATATTGAGCCACTTCTAAATGGGACCCTATTATCAATTCATACCCTCTTCCAGGTATTTTTAATCTCTAGGGAGACCCTAGCACTTTTGATATACAGTTGAGTGTGTTGTTTTGGCTATAGAGATCATTGCAAATGTTTGTGGTCAGGAAGCGTTACATAGACTCTCATCTCATGTGCTGACTCAGTTGAGAGTATAAAACAGTAAAAACTGACTCACCACGCAAAAATCTAGACTGATCAAAACATATATGTCGGGTATTTGATTAAAAAATACTATTAACGCCGATAACAACCGAATCGGCACATTTTCATCAGGACAAATGATATATCGAAAAGGGTGAACTCACCAGGTAAATTATCAACACACAGTCGCCATCTTGAAAGTACCTTTTACCCGTGTCACGTGATTTGTTTTAGTAATACGCCCCCTGTCTTTAAAAATGTTACAAAAAGTTTACTAAAAGCGAGAATATTGTAATTTTTGCCAGTCTCTTACTAACAACTTGAAGCAGCTCTTATGGACTGGTCATTTTCTTTCGTTGGGAGGGGGATGGGAGGAAACGACGGAATTTCTTGGATTTTTTTCACCACCCCCTAAAAAAAACAACATTTGTCGATACTTTTATTCTTTCATAACAAAAATACAGGCATACAATTTCTATTTATATTAACGTGCAATAAAATGTTGCATCAGTAGAGCTTAAACGGAGAGCAGTTGTTTTTGACATCGGGGAACAATCGTTGGACATATATCTACAAAAATGAGAAGATGTGGTATAACTGCCAATGACTATGATCACTATCCAACAGAGTTAAAATGAAGTGGTAGTATCAGAGACATATATACATATATGTCTCTGGTAGTATTAAGCAATTATAGTCCAACGTATACGGTCTTTGAAAAACAACAGAGTTAAAATTAATTAAGCGGTATAGTACTATAGTCGTGGTACTAGTTTACTTACGCAATTATAGGCCACAGTACGGCCTTCAACACTGAGAAAAAACCCATACTGTCTATAGTCTGTTATGAAAAGGACAGACATGAAAAATGTTTAACAATTCAAACGAGAAAACTAACAGCCTAATTTATAAAAAAAAACAATTTACGAAAAACAAATACATGTATGACAAACCTCAGTGAACCAACGACAACCATTGAACTACTGAGGCTCCTGACTTGGGACAGGTACATAAAGAATGTGACAGGGTTAAACATGTTTTTAAGCGCTCAACCTTCTCTTAACTTAATAAGGGACAGCGGTGTTACAGCACAACATCAGAACAAACTGTAAAATTCAGTTGCAATTTGCAACTCAAATGATCGGTTATAGAGGCACTAAAACAAAAGACGCAAAACATAAAAAAAGAGTACTCGTAGTTACTGAAAGATAGTTCAGTTCCAATAACAACTAATAAATAAATCATGTTTTCCCAGACTAATGTATCATCAAGAACATATCAAACGGATTTGGTGTAAAGACGTAATAAACAGTCTGAGAAATGCATATGACCTTGTGCAATGCCAAAATATAAGTAAACAGTATCTACGTACAGGATGTAGAATCATAAGTTATCATAACTGTACATATATAGCAACATATAGTCAGTTATCTTTTCATTTTTCAAAAACAAGAAAAACAATGTTAGTAGTCCTATAGAATAATATTAAAAGATTTAATTACTGTGTTAAATTGATAACCTGGCTTTAAGAATAAGTTTATTCAAAGGATCAATTAGTTTTAATTACATGGAATGTGTCTAAATTTACGGTCTTTATAAACAACATCACCGTAAAAATTAGCGGGATGGGATATCCCGTTTGTTATAAGAAATCTACAGGTGCAGCCAAACTTTCTAACCAAATAGATATAAGAAGATGTGGTAAGAGTGCCAATGAGACAACTCTCCATCCGCAAGTCACAAATTGTAAAAGTAAACCATTATAGGTCAATTTTAGTAAACTTTTAGTTTATCAAATATGACTTAGGACAGGCACAAACAAATGCATCGGGTTTAAACGTTTTAATAGGCACCAACCTTCGCCCTACCTGAAACAATAGTGTAACATCACAACATAGAAAGACACACTATAAAATATCAATTGAAATGGCTTAACTCAATCAAAAGACATATTAACAAAAACAAGTGAACATACACTGAACGAATAAATTTGATCTATGACACAATGTAATTACAAAATTAATAAAACACGGGAGTTAGATGTAAAACAATATCAGAAAGACAACCATAATCTTGGACAAAATCTTTATATATATATATATGAAAGGATTTAAATTAATTTGTGGTAACGAAATCCCTGTCTTTTAATTTACCAGTTATACATAAATTATGTTCATTGAGATCTAAAACCAAATACAGACACGGGCATAGCGAGCAAGTTGTGGAATATATTATCACACCGTCAGAAGGGGCTAAAGGAATATGCCTGTTATGGTCTCATTGACATTTACCACACCTTTATTCAATTTCAGCACAATGTTCAATATATATCCTTTACTTAAAGAGGTTGGTAAATTAATTTTAGATGAAATACATTTTGGAAGATGTTGAAACTTAGGAATTGAATCATAAACAATTGAGCCGAGCGGAGTGAGGCGAAAAAAAAAAATGATGTCTTTTGTGCCAAAATTTTTTATTGTATGGGGAAGAGGTGGGTATGGGTCGCCAAAATATTTTCGATGCCCCCCCCCCCCTTTATCCCCATCTGAAGTATTGAAAAACAATTGGGCACCACCTTTTCATGCCCAAAAATGTTCAAGCCCCCCTCCCTTATTCCTCCCTTCAGGTTACAAATGATCAGTCCCTTACTATACAAATCATTGTCTCTATTAAGCAAATTTGACATTGGTTGATTTGAACTGAAATTTCCGAGCCTTAAATGACTTAACTTGGGTTTAATCTAAATTTAGTTAATATCTATCCAACCTAAGCGGATCTTATCGTGACCTAGGACTAGTACATTAATATATATATTAATCCTAGGCATCTCTAGAAAAAACCTGCTGCAGAATATTCGTGGCCGGGGTCAGAGGGCACTTACTATGGAATACTCGGAGTGATACGGATGAGCTACTGGAATAGATCGCTACTTCAAGCTTTATAATTTATGATAAGGGTGAGAAATAATTTGGTATGAAAGGTGACAAGGAATTCTTCTGTAGTGTTTATATAACTTACAAACCATTTCAATAATTGCTCTGCATATGCCAACAACATTAGAAACGCACCATCTCCATAAATTTCTTTGGAGTTAAAATTTCTATTGCATGTGCACTTAGTCTTTAGTTTTGACACAATACTGCTGGAGTAATAAACATCAAAACATTGTAACAGTTGAAAAAAGTAATTTTATGAATTTTGCATTTCTGACTTCAAAAACCATATTTTCAAACCAGGCAAACAAGTTTAAGAATTGTCCTTTTAATTTTTCTCGTTTGGCTTTGATAAATTTTTTTATAGTAAAGGTTGCATTTATATATAGTGTTAACTTATTGTTCAATGAATACAACCGATAATTTCGGGTACGAATTTAGCAAGACAAAGTTGGAATTTTATTTATTTCTGCAGTCTGAACACATTTTTATGCGATTGTGACATCTACCCATGTAGAAGTACATACATTGATAACTAGTGTATGACTGCATGATTGTATATATCAGCATTTCTTTTCTTTCTTTTATACTAGTGCCTTTGTTCTCCATTTTAGCGGTGTCAAGCGTTGGGTGGTTTTTTTTCTGTAATAATTTTAAGTGTGTGTTATTCTATGTTCCTTTTTTGCTATTCTGCTGATCGAAATTAAGAGGGAGAGGTTTGACATCTGAAAAAAAACACAACCATAGATTTATGTGTCTATCCTAAGACTTGAACTTGGCCTCGTCAATTTCTTTTTTTTTTTTAAATATACGTAAAAGTTTTTATTTATTTTGGGATTTTGGTGTTGATGACTGATCTTTTAATGTCTCTCTCGTATGCAATTCCCAATTTTTAGGTGTAAAGATGCATTTATGCAAACAAAACCCTTATGTGGCTAGCTTGATAGTTATCAATTTTCCGGACTTTATCACTACTTTTGAGAAAAACAAACTATACTGAGTACCGATGATTGACCACAACATTCTATACGTCCTATCCATGAACATTTCAAGAAATTTATCACTGAAATATATACTCAGATATTCAAGTTATAAAATGATGTATGTATATAATCATTTTTGTAAAAAAAATACATGAATTGTACATGGTGCACGAATCTATTTTCTGTCATTCTTAAGGTAATATTTTAAATTGAAGTTATCTTTCCTTTGTCCATAATTGTAATTGAACCAACTACAAATGTAGTCGCAAGTCTTTTTGTCGTGCATTCTATAGTTATCAATAAATAATCTCTGACATTTTCTAAGTCAAGATGAGTAAAAGACCTAACAGTATTTGTGTTTATCGCAAGTTCAATGGGACACATGCGATCAATTTAACAAAATTCACCAAACAGAACTATATATGCAACTAGAAGGCATCATATATAGAGCGGAATGGAAATTTACATTTATGTTAAACGCTAGCTTCCTTTTGGGTTTCTTGAAAAGCTATCAAATGAAGTCTGCTGCACACAAAAAGAGTGAATCAGAAAAGAAGAGGAGCACTGCTTGGTTCCAACATGAATGTCAAGCGTCTTTCACACAACAGTAGGGAAAAAACCATTGGGAGGAGAGAAGCACTGTTGGTATAAATATGAATGCTTACCGTCTTTCACAAAACATAGCGAAAAAAAAATGGGTAGAAGTAAAGCACTGTTGGTTCCAATATGAATACCGACTGTATTTCAAACAATATAACAAAACATAGAGAAGAGGAGCACTATCGATTCAATCAAGAATGTCGACCGTCTGTCACAAAACATTACATTCGATATACCATCGTTTGTAAGGACACTTCTGTAATTCAGGTATCAGCTAGTTGATCAAAAATATTTGCAGTTGAACGCCAAGGGAATGCAAGTTCAGTTTTTCCTAACTCGATAAAATATTGTTGGCTGATTTGCATAGACTGATATAAACACAAAGCGGTTTCGTTAATAAAAAAATACCTTTTCCATTGTTTCTCAGTCTCGATATCACTATTTTGTGTGAGTTTTGAAAGAAAAACGCAATATGGACTATGGTTTTCAGTACATTTTCTATATATAACCACAAGTAAACTAATAAAATGTATTTTTAATTTTCAACGTGTGACTTACAAACCGAAAATCGAAGCATGAAGGTGGTGTTGGTTAGCGTGTTTAATAATCACAAAACAAACAAACAAACTGTGACAAGAAAAAAATACTTTTCATTCCTTGCTGTGCAAAATAATATGGATATATAGTGACTAGTGACTATGACTATTCTAGATAGTTGTGAGTGATATTGAAGTACAACACGACTTCCTTTTCCGTAATGTTGATCAATCTGATAGCACTTTCAATTTAACCAGACTCGTTCATTCGTTTGAGAGTAAGAGCTATTATTAAAATAACATTAGGAAAATCAGAAATGTAACATTAATACAATTGAATTATATACTGTTGGCGTTGAAAGTAAACTTTTTTCAAGTTTACCTGCTCGCTGTAATTTTCCTTTGATGAAAACATTTTGGGTCGGTGTATTTTGTCTTGATGACAACCTTATATCATATACAGTGTAAACGAGAATGTTCTTGTGTCCTGGGGGTCATTGTAATTTACAAAAAAAAAGCGTAGTCAACTGCCCAATTCAGAATTCCAGAGGTACAGGTAAGTCATTTCAATCCAAGTTGCAAATAGAAACAATTGTTATTGAAACACACACGCGATTAAATTTTAGTATATGCGACTTGACAACTCTGAACGCAACAGTATTTTATATATATGTCATACAATGATGCATAATATGTTTAAAGGGAAGGAGTAAACGAATAACATAAATATGCTTTGAAACCCCAATGCGCTACACAGTCTTCTTGTCCAGCTCCTTTAAGATAAACTCTTGATGTACAACAATTTTGTAACGCCATTCAGACTGAGACACATGTGTTATAACTGTTTTATAGTAGTCTCAGATTCAGATAATATATGAATTGCCGCACTGTACAGTAATATATGGGAAGGAACCACGAGGAAGGAGCATCTCATACGATCAACCTGAAATTTGCGTTATCTGCAATCTTTCGAGTTTTCGAACAGAAACAAAGAGAAAAAATAGTTCCATGTATAACCTGTAAATAGATAAAAAGTAAGTCAACAATAGTTGATCTAATTTTGAATTTGTATCAACTCCTCACACAAAAACTTGTAGAAAAACTAATATTTGTCAGACAAAAGAATTTTTGTACCTCATAAGCAATTAATCATACTAAGGGGTCAATTGGAAAATTGTTTTAAAAATTAAGTAACTAGAGAATAGCAGAGTATAATATCCAGCGAGGATGACTCATGATATCGAAGCAGAAAAATCTCAGATCTATAAAAGTCCCAGGTCGAATTTGAGTAAAAAATTCAACCTCAGGTCTTAAATGACTTGCAAGTGTACAAATTATACAACACATTTATTATTCTAACTATCCAAACGCATCCAGCACTAATATTTGATAACTCTTTGTTCATGTAATCAAAAATGTAGAAATTAATTTCCTAATGCATGTAGAGTAAGACTTTAATTATCTTCCTTGCTTTGTTTGTATATTGTACAATTGTAATTGGGATAGCGTCCAATCAAATTTAATTATAATATATACAGGTTTAACTATGCCTATCTATATTGTTTGCAGATGTCAATCTTGATTACAATGCTTGAGCAAACTGCATTTATACAAACAAAGCAAGCAAGCCAACCAAGCCTTTAAACTACAAGCATTAGGAAAATAGCTCTAATTTGAACTGTCGACACAATTCGTAATGCATTTCTGTAATTCAATGTTTTCTCGTCTCACTATTTTTAATATGTACCACCTTTGATAAGTATTTAGTATGACGATAAAATTTCACTTCTGTACTCGTAATCTGAACAACAAATTTATCAATTTTGTAAAAAAATGTTTACTTCCGTTTTTGTTTAGATGTCTTTTTGATCGAATTAAGCCATTTCAATTGATATTTTATAGTGTGTCTAATGTTGTAATGTTACACTACTGTCTCAGATTAGGGTGAAGGTTGGCGCCTGTTAAAACGTTTAAACCCGCTGCATTTTTATGCACGTGTCCTAAGCCAGGAGCCTGGTTGTCGTTTGTTTCCGTGGTTCGTAGGTGTTTCTCGTTTCTCGTTTTTTGTATAGATTAAACCGCTGGTTTTCCTGTTAGAATTGTTTTTACACTAGTCATTTTGGGGCCCTTTATAGCGTGCTGTTCGGTATGAGCCAAGGCTCCGTGTTGAAGCTCCAAGGCCGTACTTTGGCCTATAATTGACTTTGTTAACTTTTTATACATTGTGACTTGGATGGAGAGTTGTCTCATTGGCACTCATACCACAACTTCTTATTTATATTCAAACTCATAAGTCGAAAATCAACTGACAACGCTCGGTGGCAAAAAAATAAAAAGACCAATAGACAAACAATAGAACACAAAACACAACATAGAAAACTAGACTGAGAAATCGGAACCCCACCAAAAACCGGGGTGCTCTCAGTTGCTTATAAAAAAGGTAAGCAGTTCCTGCTCTAAATGAGGCACCCGTCGTGTTGTTCGTGTTAGATCATGTTAGTACAAACCCGGTACAAACTTGGACAATTGTTTTAGAATTTTTGAAATGATTTAAGATTTGCACTATTGTATTATAGATGTTTGCATTTAAATTTTCTTAATAAGGTCGGTAAAATGAAAAAAACTTGAATAACAGTACTGTAACAGTTTACAGAAATGTGAAATTTAATATAAACGACGAAAACAAAGCCTTAGAGGAGGGTCTGGATGGGGTTTACAGAATAGAGAATAATGGGTAAAAAGTGCAGAATAAAGGTAAAAAAATATAAAGGATAGAGAAAAATTGGCCAAAAAAAAAAAGATGTGCTAAAATATAAAGAATAGAGAATAATAGAGTGCTAAAATATAAAGGATAGAGAATAATGGAGTGCTAAAATATAAAGAATAGAGAATAATGGAGTGCTAAAATATAAAGAATAGAAAATAATGGAGTGCTAAAATATAAAGAATAGAGAATAATGGGCAAACAAGATAAAGAATAGACACCAAAAAAAATATACAGAATTGAAGGACCCCCATCCAGACCCTCTTATATAGAGAGTTAAACCCTTTAAGGTACATCTGAACACACTGATTAATGAAACTTTATTGTGGTCTTTAGTCGTAATATGAAGGGGGTTATATTTGCGTTTATTTAAATGGCGGTTACAGATATATTATTAACATTAAATGCAACGTTGATGGAACATTTTGTTGGCAGTTGTCTTGGGGGAATTATGCATCGTTTAACATTGTTAATGACATTTTGAACAAAATCTCTTATTTTTGTTTCAAACATAAATGTGCAGTTACCCCAAGGCCACAATTATCCGCTAAAGGTAAAATCTAAGTGCCGATTTTCATTTGTAACTTCTTTACGGCAGTGTTTCATTACTGATAATTTCAGACACATGGTCCACAGGGACTTGTATAATTGGTCAGACAAGCTATCTGCATGGTCCAGAAAAAATCGTTCAAAATCGCAAACCATTCCAACTGGACAAGTTGGTGCTTCAGACACACCAAATTTATAGACTGTTGACTGTTGTTTTCATTGTCTTAGTGTCTATCCCTGGTGACAGTGGTGTGGAATAGAGCTGGTTACTTGTAGGAATTGTCTGTATTTATATAGAATTTGCAGAGAAAATATGCATTATGGTTAGCAGATAAAAATCTTAAGATTGGGACTTTTGTCTGAAATCAGTCTAAAATGTATTGTGAAAATTCATGGATGAGGGTAGGAATGGGGTACCCCACATGTCAGACGATTGACAGTAAAATATTTGTTAAAATAATGTTAACGATAAACATTTTACTCCATTTGACAATAACAGTAGCTGCAAAATGAGATTTGACAAATGATGATTAATAATTAAGGCTCATTTGACGCTAACGGTAGCGAAAAACAGACGCTTGACATGAAAAGGCATTCCTACCCTCATGGATGGTACCAGATGGATTTGAACCCTCGATCTAGGGATCTGAAGGCAGCGCTCTAACTTATTAGCGAAAGAAGATCTTCCATAACTCAACCAGTTAGATTTCCTTTCTATCTCCAGTTGTGCAACATGTACAGCAAATGATTTAGTTGATCAGGGTTAGAGGATGCTTGTTTTATTTAAATTAAGATTACTTAAATTAGTATTTTAGTGACTAAGGCTTAATGCTTTGTGTCAGTAGTGTCTTCTGACAGAGCAGATGTTCTTGATAAGAATGATGGAAATAAGTCTGTAGCTTTGAAATGCATTGAAAAGATGACACAGAACCTCCAAAATACATGCAGAAATAGAAAGACTATTGCCAGTCTTTTCTTTTTGGATGTGTTTGCAAAAAGGAGCGAGCACAATATCAAGTACACTTCAGTTCCAGTCATGAGGAAAGATTGATTGCTTTTAGCTTACAGTTGTATTGAAATATTGTTTTCACAGTACTATTAAAAATACCTCAACAAATCTCTCAATGTTTGTGTCAATTCAAAATATGACTGTAACATACCTGCCAACTTTTCAAAATCTCCATGGGGGATTTTAAGCACAAGAGAACATAATGCTCCTCTTATATTGTCATAAGTGTTTTTAATCTACTACTATATTGTTTGAATGAATATGTATGTGCTTAAATACCCTTGTAATTCATTTGAATGCCTGTTTTGAGATGTTCAGTTTATATAATAAAGAATTTCAAAATTCAGGTCAACACCTCTCAAGGGGGATATCCTGCATAAATCGGGATAGTTGGCAGATCTGCTGTAATTAATTGTATTAAATTAATGTCTTATGTATTTGCTATTAAAACATCTCACAAGCAACTGTCAAAATGCAGGAAAGGGCTATAAATTTTTCGTAATTTTTAAGGGGGCATACCCACATACCCCCTAGCAGATTTGTGTTGCGTCTTAAAATACTGTCAAAAGGGATGCTGACTACTGATAGTATACAAAATTGAGAAACAGCTCTGGTTATACCACTTCTGGTGGACTGTTGGTCTCCAAGGGTATCCTCAGCTCAGTAGTCCCTGCTACGATGGCAATGAATTTTTAGCTTTGATACACATTGAAAAGATGAAACAGAACCTCCATAAATGAAGGCAGAATACATGAAGAATTAGAAAGACTTACCAGGCAAAGTTGACTGTTGACGAATTTTATTATTTTTTTTATGTCCCTTTCAATCAACTTTATCATGTTCAACAGGGATTTTTAGAAGGCTCTTTGAATCTCACCATACTCATGGTGGGTATTGGGTCTGTTCGCCCAAATTACATGTTCACACAGGGTCCGTTCGTCCTTATTAAAAAAAATTATTATATATTAATATGAATGGTATGTAGGTTTTTATATACCTATGCTGATATTTTATTGATTAGTATTAAAGAAAATACAAATATCTGTAAAATTCTTGAAAAAAACATGGAAATATTTTAAAATTAATTGCCTGTTTTTTTCCAGCAATGGTTAGCTTCAGTGTTATATTTGTTTGTATATAGAATTTAAAAATAAACTAGACAGCTTAGAATGAGTAAAAACAAAGCATGTAAGAATTATAAGGGAATATAATTTCACATCTTGGATCTTGTGATCTGAATAAAAAAACAATAAAAAAAAAAACCCAAAAAGTTAACTTGGTTTTTGGTTGTTTTATAAGTAATACATTTTTTTCCTGTGCACTTTAGTGCAAATCAAAGGAAAATAATTATAAGATAGCAGCTATACAACATAAGTATTCGACGAAATTTTCAACAAACACTTTAACAGATTTTAAATAATATGTTAAACCATAATACAACAAGACAATAAAATGAAAATAAGAATCAAGGTGAGCAGACCTAGTAAGAACAGGTATTTGGGCAAACGGACACAGGGCGAACAGGTATTAGGGCGAACAGGAATCAGGGCAAATTGACCACGATTCCTCATGGTGTATTTCCACTAAAGTCTAATAATTTGGCTCATACAACAAGTCCATTCATTTAGTTAACATAATTTCAATTAAATATACTGACAGGACAGATGAAATTTCAGGCCATTTTGTGAGCTCTATGATAAGAATGTATGCTAAAAAGGTGTTATAGTCTTACGTCGATGATTTCATCATATTAATGTCATATTTATGTTTACAGAATGAAGTCTTGGAAGATCATTGGTGCTTTGCTAGCATCTTGGTTGGTTATTCTAATTTATATGAGTAACTCATTTAGTTCAGACAACAATAATGCCAATGATTTGGAAAGACAGTTAAAGAGAGCACTCAGGGAGTTGGAACAATTAAAGACTCAAAACAATCAATTAAAATCAGTAGCTGAAGATTTAAGGTAGGTATATTGTAATCCCTGATTAAGTAAAGGGAGACAACTTTGGTTTGATAATGTTTATATGAAAGTCCTTCATTTTTGTATTCTTTAACTTTTTGGTCATATTATGATTATTTTTCCTATTATTCTCTATTCTTTATATTTTTCAAACCCGTTGTTCTATATCCTTTATTTTTTTACCCTATATTTCTTTTATTTTTGTGGTTGATTTTTCTATACATTTTGCCCATTATTCTCTAATCTGTAAACCCATCAAGACCCTCTTATATCATCATATACATTTTTAAAATTTTTTTTCTCTTTTGAGCTATAAACTTCATGCATTTAAAGAAACACAGTGCACAGAATAACTGTCAAACTAAAATAGCTTATTTTGAGATGTCACATAAATATTTAGTAATAATTAGTTATAAGCCACAGCTTTACCTAAAGCCATATTTGCTACAAGGTGTCTTTTACAAAGATGTTACTGTTGGTAAAATGTCTTTTAATTTGGCAATGTTATGGCTTATATCTAATCTTTCAAAAGCTAGGTTTAAAATAGTTGTAATCATACCTCCAGCCTGCTTCTCCTTTTCTAGCCTCATGTACAGGACTTTGTTGTTTCATCCAAGTCTTGATTTTAAAGATTCATTTCTTTTGGAGGAGATTTTTGTGCGATTAATATTTGACTCGTTTTATAAAAGAAAAGATATATATATGGTGTGATAACCCATGTGACTACAATCCACCAAAGAGGAAAGAACAAGGATGTTGTGATATTTTTTTTATGGGGGATGGAGAGGGCAGGAGGGTTGGAGGGGTATTTTTAAATCTGCTTTATATACTGATGAATCATAATTTTGAACAAGTATTATACTAGAGTAAGTCATGTTATGATATCATATGTTAAGTGATATATGATGTGTGTTGAGGGGACCTCTTTGCAGTCTTCACACTCAACCACAGGCCCACCAGCCCAGGCTTGTAAAAATGGTGTTTGGCCTGTAAACATCATCTCTACAGGCCGATAGAATCTAATTAGAATTTTCGTAAAATTCAGCTTTGGGTCTTTTAGATTCAAAAGTTTATCCTGAAGACTGTCTTTGTCAATGTTTGTCCAAGTTTATTCAAATTAACATATAATGGTAACTTTCTCTTCATTGTATTTTGGCATTTTCATATTTTGCAGGTGCTGAATCTTCAAAAATTTCTTTGCTTGTATGTTAAATTAATAACTGTGATTAACAGGAATTTGGATTGGAATATTGCAATAAATTCACTATTGAAATATTTGGCAGTATAAGTACCCAGAAAACATAGGATTTATATTAAGGGAATTTTATTTTGTTGAAAAGACCTGCACAATGCAGTTTAAATCTCATATATCTGTACACATTCTTTGGCTTATTCTAAATCTTTCTGATTTGTTTTCAGAAAGGTGAAATTAAAGTCTGGTGGAAGCAGTCAGCTTAAAGAAATAGAGGATAGATTTAATAAAATAGACAATGAAAACTCCAAGGCTGAAGTCAAAGATACATGTCGAGGTATGCTTACATAATTGTAACTTCACTTTTGCCAACAAATCTTTTTTTTTGCAGCATTTTTTGTTTGAATGATATTTTAGCTAATGATGATTTCAGATGATTTTGTCTTGCTTTAGCTTTATAAAATAAATATAAAATATATGCTTACTTACTTCAGCTTGAAAGGTTCTTGCCACTAATAATATATTAGTAATCATCGTCCCATGATTTTTATTTATAATTTCACAGAAAAAAAAATCGCATTGTAAAAATTTAAGTCTGTTCAATAAATACATATTTGGAACCCAGGGAAGCCACTTCCAAATCTCAACTATGGGTGGGTGTAATTGTGCAGTGAAAGTGTAAGTGGAGTTATTACCCCATTTCAAAATTGGTTTCCAGGGATCTCGGTGGGGGTGGGGGGTCGTAAGTAATTGAAATACTGTATCACTAGCCTGTCGAGTTTTAATCCCGCAAGTGGCAGGTGCACTTGATTCCAATCTGCTAGGATTGTCAGTTTTTCTTACTGATGGCAGGTGGTTCTCTCCTGGCATTCCGGCTTCCTTCACTAATAAATACTGACTGCCACGAAATAGCACAATATTGCTGAAAGTGGGGTTAAACACCAATCAATCAATCTAAAAGATTTCCTGGGTTCCATGTTTGTAGAAAGAACAGACCTGCATTTATTGAATTAACTCTCATTGATTAAATTTTATTGCCATAATTTGCTGCTGAATTTGACACATTAAAATTTACATTTTGTACATTTTATTGATTCTTTACTGACACAAGAAATTTAAAATTTATATTTCACAAATGAATGCTTTGTAGCTGGTGTTTACTCCTTGGCACATGAACTACAACAGAGGAAGGTTGACAGAGATATTACTGAGTTCTGGTTCTATATGAATACTAAACTTGAAAGATTAAAAACTAATGGAAATCATGAAGTAGCTGGAGATATCCTAAAACGTGCTCAAGATTATCAAAGGTACTTGAAATAATTTTCAGTCAGGTCCTTTATTTGTTATTGAAAAAATCAGTAGTATTTGTATCATCAAATGTGATTACGATCTTCTTGATTAGCAACAAGCCCGTCAGCCCAGGCCAGTGAAATTGTTGTTAGACTATGAAAATTTTCCTGAAAAGAGGCCTCACAGCCCATATAAATTTGAAGAAATTTATATGAAAGACTGATTTTAGGGCTAGTAAGTAAAAAAAATTGTCCTCGAAAACTGATTTAAATGTTTTGGCTTTCAGAAAATTTTGAAATATGATATTTAATCACACTTTACTTAGAAACTGTTAATCCTATTTCAAACTGAAGCTATATATTATATTGGGCTGTAGACAAAAAGACTGGTTATTCTTTTTATGGTTACATCTTTAAAACTATTCAGAAGAAATTATTTTTGGCTATACATTAGTATTAGAATGTTAACCACCATCACAACATCATAACTCTTTTAAGTGCCTTGTATTGAATATATTTGGTCAGGAGGTGACATCGCTCAGGGCTATTCCATTAAAATGTATGTGGGAGGGTAGAAAGGGAAGTTTAATTATTGAATGTGGGTCATGGGTCTTTTTTCAATATGCATCTATTACCATTATGCAAAATTATCTAAAAAATGGTTCTTGGTTGTAGAGATATTTTGAAAGACCCTTCCTACCCTCCCACATACATTTTAATGGAATAGCCCTCAACTAATTGAATTGTCTGAAATCCAAAGAATGAACTGAAGGATATAAAAATATATGATACATTCTCCAAAAAATGCTCAAATATTCAACTATACCAATCAGTTTTATTCCTGGTATGTATTCTAAGATTTCTTGATGAAATAGATGATTAGGTATCCCTTACTATTTGTTCATAGGTAGAAATCAACATGTGCATCAATGCAATCTTTACTAATGCATAAGTTGTCTCCCTTTGTACTACTTTTTTCAGTAGCTTCTTTAAAATTTATGATTTCTATGAACAGAAAAAAACAACTCCATGATAGCCTGCTAGACTCAAGTGTGAGAGGTTGTCAGTTTGGTCACTGTGTAGGTTAAAAATCTTGTTTAATTCAATCATACTACAAATGTATATATTTGGCTTTTGGTACTTTTCTGCTTAGAGTATGGCTGGACTGTTTAGTTTTGTTCAGTCTACTTTTCAGTGTATTGTTTGTGAATTTTTTTTCTTTGCAATAGATTTCTTCTTGGTGCAGTCTGTTATTATTCCTGCCTTTCATTTTTATACGATACCTTGGTTTTTCTTACTTTTTTTCTGTGGAATGTTACTGTGTGTCCTACATTGTTGAAATATCTTACTTAATATGTGATTGTAAAACAAATCCAGGTACAAATTATGTATATTCATATGACAAAAACATCTCATTGTCATGATTTATGAATAAGCATTTTCAATGCTGCTGTAAATTATACATAAATCAAACTATCAAAATATCCCAAATAAATTAATGTATTATTTGTTGTCAGAACATTAAGAAATGATATGCAGTCATTGTATGATACTGATGAAATGGACAAATGGAGAGAGAAAGAAGGAAAAGAGCTAGGAGAATTAGTACAGAAAAGGCTTCACTATATTCAGGTACTTGATGTATGGATTATAAAGTACTAAAGGAAATTGAGTAATAATAATCTTCAAGAGCTGTTCTCAGTTTTATCAGAATTTAGAATTATTTGAACAGGGCCTAGGAATAGGTCTTTTGTTTCATGCAGAGTATAAATCAAATTTTACACCCCAGGCAATTTATTTTTATTCTATTTGTATTGGAAATGCTCTAAACTATTCAGAAAATAATTTTGATGCAACTGGTGGATTTTAGACTTGAAGCACAAAACACAAAAAGTTATGTACTCTTTCCAATGTTTTAATGAAATTCTACAGAAACTCATCATTAGCATGACAGATAAGGATTTAAATAGTCAGTTACTGTATATATTACAAATGATCTTTATACTTATAGTCAATATAACTTGACTGATCAAATAACAAAAGTTGAATTGTGAAGATACATACATGTATAGACTGTAAAACAAGTTATTTTTGCTGATACATTTTACAACTTACTGGCTGTTTATTTTTTTACAGTTTTCTAACTTTGTTTATGTATTCATATAAGACTGACATATGTATTCGTTTTGTTTATATAGCCATTTTTTGTGTGAAGTTTTCACATTGATTTTTAGCCTCATAAAGACATGATATATAGAACTTATTAAGAATAGTTTTTACAATTGCAATTTTCCTTAATTTGTCTTTAATTAATATTTTCATTAAAATTACAAACATATATGATTTTTCCTGTAGAGACTAGTGGATACTTGCAAGAGAATGAATTGCAAACCATAGTTGGATACACATTGATAAAAAGAAATAGGAATGATTGTCTAGTTCCATTGTGTTTAGATGCAGACATTTTAAATAATATAAAATAGGAAACGCTATATCTATTTATAGTTACTTAAATTATCTTTTATTTGTTGATTCATTCAGAACCCAAAAGACTGTAGTAAGGCAAAGAAAATTGTGTGCAATCTCAGTAAGGGGTGTGGTTATGGCTGTCAGTTACATCATGTGGCATACTGTCTCATCACTGCATATGCTTTAGAGAGAACATTGGTATTGGAGTCCAAAGGTTGGAGATATGCTGCAGCAGGATGGGAGTCTGTCTTTCTACCATTGAGTAACAATTGTATTGACAGACAGGGCCAAGGAGCTAGGCATTGGTCAGGTATAATTAATATGCAATCCCATCTATGACATTGATAAGGTAGAGACATATCTAAATGAAAAAAGCAAATGTTGGGGGTACTTACACTAGCCTAATAAACTACATTTATTAACAGACAATAAAAAAAAGCCAAAAAAGCTAACATCTATGTCATTTGGTCTCTGGTGAATAATTATCTCATTGGCAATCATATCACATCTCCTTATTTTATTATGGATATTGTAAATGCCCTATATCAATAGAATATTGAAACTTATGATCAATATTCGTTTTTATTTGTTATAAAAGTTTATAAAAGAAGAATTTACTTTATATATTATTGATTTTTTAGATCCAAGAAATTTAGTGAATGAGATGGCAATAGAGATGCCAATTATTGACAGTTTACATCCACGTCCTGATTTCCTGCCTTTAGCTGTTCCTGAGGACCTGGCACCTCGTCTTACCAAATTACATGGGAATCCATCTGTATGGTGGATTGGTCAGATAGTTAAATATCTGACACGTCCACAACCACATCTACAAAAAGATATAGCATCAGTTAATCAAAGATTGAAATTTTCTGGTCCAATTGTAGGGTACGTACCATATGAATTAGATTAGAGGCCTCAGTAGTTACGCGGTCTAAATAATTCTTCTACTGTATCACTTGCCTGTCAAAACTGAGGTTGTGAGTTCGAACCCAACAAGTGGCATATGCTTTAGACTCCAATCTTAGTTGACAAGGATTGTCTGTTTTCCTGCCGAAGGTCATAGTTCTCTCAAGGCCTTCGTCTTCCTCCGCCAATAAAAACTGACCGCCACTATATTGCCAATGGAGCTGAAAGTGGCGTTAAACACCATCAATATGATTAAACAAGGTGTAGAGTATATATCAATGAGACAAAAACTGAACAACATAGGTTCTTATCATGTATTTATTTTTAGTTTTAGAGGATTTTAGATATTAAAAAGAACCAAAATGAATGATATAGCACTTGACATACTAAACTTATATAATCCAATTCTGTTTTGATTGATTGTTGTCTGCTTAATGTCTGGTTGCAAATATTACTTGCATATTCAGGATGATTTTGAAATGGGAAAGAATGTTACATCAGTTTCTGTTTTGGGTGAATGATGAACTTTAAATAGTTAAGTTATACGTGAAGGTAGAAGTTTTTCATTTTCCAGTAACTAAAAGAAAGAGTATGTTTTTTAAAAATGTACAAATTAGTACATATCATTATTGAAATCCAAAAAGGTTTATCTGTAAACTTTACTAAAAAATTAAACTCCGTTTGGTGAACCAACGCCTGTGTGAATCATTTCGATAGAGTCCCTGAAGTGGATACCTTGGTATGCAGGGTTGTCAAATTATGCAAATGAATGCAACATTTAAATAATACTTAAAATTGACAACAACACTTCAAATGGTCTGCAATTTTATTTGCAATGGTCTACATGTTTCATCAGGACAATTTTCATACAGAAATTAATTACTGAAGTACTCAAAGTGGTACATTGAATTTGACGTTGTCAAGGTGAGAGAAACAATGAAAAGTGAAAGTAGCAATAAAGAGTTATAAATAGATAAGATAAATATAGAAAAATAAAGTTTGTTTACCATGTAACTTGAGTTTGTTTTACTTTTATATGATACATGACATTGTTCTAAAGGCTTAGTATCTAAATGGACGAACTTCCCATGGTTCCTACCACTTCGCAAGGCTTCTCTTCCAACCTGACCATTGCTGGATGTTACTACTTCCTGGCGCGTCGGCAATAATGGGAAGATTTTGGTCGCCGCTAATGGAAAATAAGATTGTCAAAAATTGTTCCTTTGTTAATTATTTGGTATATATATAATTTTTTGATCGTCTGCTGTAGTTGGTCTGTTTATTGGCATGGTTGTAAATTTATAGTTCATTTATGTTCGGCACCCACGTGGTATGTGGTACGTTTCTTCTGCTATCATTTATAGATGTACATGTATGTAAGGTGGTATCGGAAATCTTGGTCATCTTGGTTCAGTTGTTGTTTTGTTGCACGTATGGAATATTCCTTGGTCCATGTATACACTGGTGGCCTGTAGATCGGCGCTTGTAGCAAGGAGGTTCCTTTCAGATGCAGGGGTTTCCGAAAGAAAATGCCTTGCTACAAGTTGTTGTCAATTTTGAGTATTAGTTACTAAAAAATGTGTAAAAACTAATACATTTGCATTTTTCGATCTTTGTCTTTACAGAGTACATGTAAGAAGAACAGATAAGGTGGGAACTGAGGCAGCCTTTCATGGTATTGATGAGTATATGAAACATGTAGAAGAGTACTTTGATTTATTAGAGACCAGACAGACAGTAGAAAAACGGAAAATATTTTTAGCTTCAGATGATCCATCAGTGGCTACTGAAGCTAGACAAAAGTAAGATTTATTCAACTGAGTGAAAATTGGCAATGTTATAATAAGAGCTTATCCCGATTTTGATATATTTGTGCATCGTTAGACGCTTTTTTTGAAGATTCTTTAAAAACTGTTTGTGACTACATTGATGATACTATTGCAGTTTATTCATTTAATTATGTGGCCAATTATATGAAATCTTTAGATTTTGTTAATACAGTTGTGAAGAATTTATATTTATTTGTTAAGCAGAACCACTGCTGCTTAGGATACATGGTTGCAAGAGAAATGAAAAATTATGGTTTAATCTGAAATTTTGAAAATTTTACTTAAAAAAATGAGTTTCATAAAAAAGGTAATATTTTATATCAAATTATGTAGACATATCACCAATACCATGACATATTCTATTTATAGATATCCTCACTATGAGATAATAAATGATCCAGACATTACCCAATCAGCAGGACTCAACAAACGTTATACTGATGAATCATTACGAGGAATCATTTTAGACATCCATTTCTTATCACTGTGTGATTACTTAGTCTGTACCTTCTCATCACAGGTAATCGAATTTTGTCATAGAATAAGAATTTGCTAAAGATTTTAGAGTACATTACAATTACCAGGTGTGTATTAGACCAACAGTTTTGGAAGCAAAATACCCCAAAAAAATATTTGTGAGCATCAGACCCAAAGGTTCTTAACTGAACAGCCAAAAACATAAATGTTGATTAAGGATATTTAAGATATTTATGTCAATGAGACAGTGACCCAATAACAAAAAAAATTAACAAACACAAAAGACATCTAGAGGTCAAAACATGGTCCTTAAAAATATACAAATGACTAGACATTATGTCAAGCTCTAAATTGCCTGAATTTTAGAATTTGTATGCTACTTGATATGCAAGCAGCAAGCAATACACTGCAGCTTTTGAGAATGTGCCTTTCTCCACCTGTCAACAGTGGGCATCTCACCAATGTTCTGTAAAAATTTTGATGGCAAATGTGCTTTTACTATATAATAACTTGTTTTTCAGTCTTTTGATTATACAAAACATATGAAACAGCATGACCTCTTTATTTTATTAACTAGAAGTTTTGCTGATTCCATACATACTCACATTGTAGCAAGGTCTAAAAAGCAAATCATAGTCCCTTTGATTCTGAAATGGCAAACTGGAAACATCTTTTAAGTTTTTATCGCAGTATATGCATTAGAGGTAGAAATATAAAAAAAAAAAAACAATATGAGAAAATCAACAATTTAATTCTTGTAATGTTTGTATTTTTTTTTTTAGGTTTGTCGTGTTGCGTATGAAATGATGCAGACAATGTATGGTGACGCCTCACCAAAATTTAAATCGTTAGACGATATATTTTACTTTGGTGGACAAAATGCCCACAATGAGGAGGTTGTAGAGAGACATGTAGCACAAAGTAATATGGAAATAGATCTAGAACCTGGTGATTTGATTGGAATAGCAGGGAATCATTGGGATGGTTTTTCTAAAGGTTTAAATAGACGGACAGGAAAAACAGGATTGTATCCTTCTTATAAAACAAAAGATCATGTGACAACTTCTAAAATGCCATTGTATCATCAGGTTAGATAACACCAAACTGTATAGTTATAGCTGAAGTTAATATTGGGCCAGGTGCTATCGTGTTATTAAATAATTTCCATACATATTAATTTATTTTTTAGTCAGTTCATTGTTATTGTTAACAAATTTTATGTATTTTGCAAGTTTTAATTTTAATAGCAATTGCTATTTTTAAACTACCACAATTTTATTCCAGATTGCATCCCTAGAATTAGTCCCCCCTTTTTTTAATTGAGTCTATTTAATAGGTAATGATCAGACAGAATGACCTTTGTTTTGCTTTTATAATTAGATCAACATCATTATTTTTAAAAACACTTGTATTTAATCCATAACTTTTTCTTTGTAACTGGTATTTTCAGTTTACTTAATCAAGTTGAAAAATAGTTTAGTTGTACTCTCAGGTGAAACAGCGTGTTTCTTAAAACAGATACCCAAGATGATTTTTTTTTTTGTATTATCAGGAAGGAATATTAACAATAGTTTTATTCATGTATAGAAATGACAAAGTTAAGATCACAGTTAATTATATTCATTATTAACAAACAGCATTGGACTTTATCAGCATTTTATCTGCTTCATGTCTAATCAAGATTACGTGCAAGGCTTTAGATATTTAGAGAACTTGAAATCATTTTCTGTGATTTTTCTGTGTGTTGTAATTTATATATTGTTATATGATTCTGTCATCTCTAGTGGGATGTTTAATGTGATATGATATACTGTAGATTCAGAAATTATTGCGTGCATTTATATATACTATTGTTGATAAATGGACACATATTCAAAATAATTGTGATTTCTGGAAATGCTATCAAAATTTGAAATGCAAGTTTTCATTACTGCAACATCCTATCTTGTCTCAATTTTTGCCATAATAAAAAAAATCGCAAATATCTCTGAATTTACAGTATCTTTAATGAGTTTTAAGTTTTTATTGTGTCTGAATATGTCTTCTGCGAAAAGGAAAGTTCAATATTAGAAAGCTTAAAAATAACTTCCACTTTTTTTTAATAAATGATCAATGAGATCTACGATTTTGATTGTGATATTAATCCACATATGAATGTTAAGTCTCCCTTTCAAACTATTGTCCTACTGGAGGTCTGTGGTTTTCTCCAGGCACCCTGGCTTCCACCACCAATAAAAACTGACCACCACGAAATAGCACAATAGTGCTGAAATTGGCATTAAACACCAATCAATCAAACTATTGTTTTAAGGCAAAGTATACCAAATTCGGCATTATTTAGGATTTTCATAAAATTTTGTTAGCATTAAGATCTTGTTGAACTGCACCTAAATATTGAAAATATATATATTGGTACCCCCACGGGTAGTATTTATGCTTCATCTTAAATTATCAATGATCATTATATGCAGGTCAAATTCAATGTTTGCTATGGCGCTTTCTACTCTTCAGTAGTTAAGTTGAAATTAAAAACAAAATAAAAAATTATATGGTATTAAGATGATATTTTCCCCTTTTTTTTATGATTTTCCTTATTATTTTGGGCAGTTGATAATTTTAGGAAATATGTAGACGTGTAAAAGATCAGTTTCGGTATAGCCAGCCACAAAATTTGGAGATCTAAAATAAAATTTCATGTATATTCAACTTCTTTGATCATTATATTATTATATACCTGATTTTTTTCTGGTATTTGTATCAATTCAACCTATCCAGATGGTTACCGGTAAAGTAAATATTAAAATTTTTATCAATATCAAACTAGCAATTAGGGCAACAAAAATATATGCTATTTCCTGCTTCTTGGTAGAAAAAATAGGGTGAAAATAAGTAGGTAAAAGAATTTATTTTAAAAATATTTCACCAAGATTATACAGGGAAAGGTCCTGGATTTTATCAGCGCTTAACCAAAAATGTCCGTTAAATGTTTTAGGTTAGGCATTCAAATTTAGGGTAAGTAGTGAGGCAAGAAACCAGTACTATGTTCTTTTTTGTAAACGATAAAAAGAGATCAAGTTGCAGTCCGGTTTTTAGATTTTTTCAGAGGTAACAATATTTGTGGCTCTGTCATTGTCAAATTCAACCTGCGACCTTGCAACCTGATGTCTCGCTTAAAAGGACCTGTGACCTTACTGTTTTATTTAAATGTTTTATTTGCTTAAAAGTGATATGGAGACATCTTCAAATGTGACCTTGTGACCCTTACTGGAGCCACATATTTGAACATGTGATAATCAGATTAGATCAGTTCAATTGCAAGAAAACATATCTTTACCAGGAAGATTTTTGTCATTATCTTTTCTATTTACACTTTGTCAAAAATTGAATAATGCTGAAGTGATATGATACGAAATAACTCTACTGGCCAATTTGTTTTTTCTTCTTCACCAATACGTATATAGTTATCCATGGGAATGAGTTATTCACTTTATAATTCATATTGAATACATTCCATATTTCATTTTTAAGTTCATGATATATTGCTCACCATTGTTTTCTGTAACCTTGGTTACAAATTGTCACATGCTACAAATATTTGGAGAATTGAAATACATAATGTTTTGCAATACATTGTTTCATTCAAATTAATAAAAGCTTTAATCTGTATCAATTTAAAATCATTTACAGTAGGTTTATTGTTATGGGTGTAAGATATTTATGCTTTTTTGAAAGGGGAACTGGATAATTGCAGTTCATTTAGAATAGTAAAATGTATTTATGTATAGATTTTTAAGGTCAGAAACACAGAATGTCTGTTTACATTAAATGTATGTGTCACATATAAATGCCAACTTAACTTTTATAATTTATATCAATGAAAGTTAACTGCATGCAAGACTTAATTCGTTTATTTTTTCACATTCACAAATAATCTTACAATACATATGAAGGAAAGATGTTAATTTCATGCATCCTGTTGATATGTTAAACTTTCTAATAGTAAATGGTTGTTAATGTAAATGGTCAGAGGTATTTCTTTTTTATAATATAAAGACAGATTTATTTTTTTTGCTTTTTTTTTGTACTATCATTTTATCACAAATAAACATTTTATCACAAATATTAATCTGTCACAATTTTTATTTATTAAAGCTACCATCTTTCTCGTAATATAAGGCCATGTTGTAATCAGTTTTCCACATTAGGAGAAAATTGTAATGTGGTTCATTTTGTGGAGTTTAAATATCACAATTTTTTAGGCCACTCCAGTTTGTGAGGTTTAATTTCATATTTTTCTTGTCTCTAATTCACAATTTTCTTTAAAAATTATATTTATGGGAGAAGTAATTTTTGTGAATTTACATTAATCGCAAAATTTGTGTCGAAAATAAACTGCTTTGGAAAATTTCCCACTTTACAGCATTGAAATAAATATTAATCAGTGACATGTTTTGTTCAGGTGATATGACCTAAGATTTAACTATATTTCATTGGGAAAAAAATTATATTCAACATCCTATATTTTTAAACGCTTTATATAAAATTCATATAGAGTGAACCTCTTGCAATAGAATTTATTAACACTCCTATGATTTCAGTTGTAAAACCTCTGATTGTTATAGTACTACTTTTGTGAAAGATTTGAGTTTATGGCTACATTTCAAAAACAAACTAATTTGTTGAGGTGCTAATGTCAAATACACAGGGAAGGGGGGAGATGTTGAAAAACATTCATTTTTCCATCAGTGCTAAAAATGTGTTATGAGTGTAATGCTGTATATTTTTATGAAAGATTGTTTTAACTGTTCAATAATTAATAGTGTCATTTTTAAAAGGTAGATACTTTTATTATTATAAAACATATTTATACCGCTTTAAAATGTTTTAAAAGAGATATTTTAATTTATTTTACATACTAGATTTTTAAAAAGATGTTATCAAAAAGGTTTTGTGTGAAGTGTGATAGATTGAAAGATTTGTATATATTATATCTGCTTAAAGGCGCAAAATTTATTTACACAATTTCTTCACAATTACAAAGAGACTATGTTATTAAAAATGATATTAATATATACTGTTTATTGTAACTATGTGTACAAATAAGAGTAATGTGGTATGAAAAAAAGAAGAAACTTAAAAATAAATATAATGCCATTAAAAAAAGAATAGGCAAGTCTGCCAAAAGTCCATGCTTTAATATATATTTTAAATGGGAAGCTGGGTATATAGTTACTGTTTGCTTTGTAATATAAAAATACACAGGGTTATAACTCTATCAATTACCATCCCGTCGACAATTTTCAAATTTATATTTGTCAATAATTTCTTAAGGTACCCGGTATATGCTTACAAGCTTTGAATTAAGTTTTATAAAAAGCAAAAAAAGATTAGAGAAAATTGTGAAGTGGTAATAGAAATACTTTGTTATGACATATTTCAGATGATTTAAATAATTTCATCACAATAATAAAATATTTTGACAAATGTATATTCTAATCTGTCCCCTTTTTTCATCAAACTGAAAGCATTGCATGTATTTTAAGCTTTCATTTTAATGTTTAAATTGGTGCATTGAACTTTACATCAATATTGTTGATTTGAAAAAAAATATTTATGAGGGGTAACTTTCTCACATTTAAAATGATTGCGAAAATAACCAGAGCATCAAAATTTCAGAATTTACAGTATAAATATGAAGGTATATACCACTTCACAGGAGTGAAAGATTTAATATTGTGTGTTTGTGTGTGTTTTTTTGTAATGTTTTACAATTGTGGTTGTAAATATTATTTTAAGTCTATATAGCACTTTCACTGTATTTCTTTTCTGTCTTGTAAACTTTTGTAAGACCTTTATTTTTAAATTTCTGATCTCTCATCCCACCTGTGACTTTATTTTTCTCTTTTTCTTTTGCACTAAAAATTTTGTTTTTAACTGTTTTATATTTTATATGGTAAATTAAGATTTGTCAACTGAAACTTAATATGTTTATAGAATGAATAATAGTTTACTATTCTATGTGTTTAGCAATGTTGACAAGTTAGGTTAAAGCAAAAAAATCAAAACTTTGTATTATACCGGAAGTTCTAGTATTGAAATATACAAATCATTGCATTGATTTAAAAAGACATCAGAACTGATATCAGCCTTGCTCACATCAGAAGGATGTTGTTTTGTAGATACATATTACACTTGTATATTTTCAGGAGGCTAAAAAGGGATTTAATTCCTTTTCCTTTTTAAATGCTTACAATAAATCTATAATCTATAAAACTATAACTGTCAGACCAAAGACCAAACATAGGTTAACACATAAATTGTGTACTAATTATGCCTAATGATTAATTACTTGAAGATATTTATCAATGCATTGAAGACCTGTTGGTGGCCTTCTGCTGTTGTCTGTTCTGTGGTCGGGTTGTTGTCTCTTTGACACATTCCCCATTTCCATTCTCAATTTTATCTTTAATATTACAAAATGTATTCAGTCTAGGCAAAGTTTAATTAAGTATTTTTTTTTTTATTAAGTACTATTTCTCAGTACTACTAATAAGATTTTGTGTGAATTCAACTAATGTCATGTTGAAGGAATTTGGATTGTTATCTTACTTTTAGAACTTTATTTACATTTCTGTATGCCAAAAGAGAATGCCATAACGAAATATAAAACTATGTAAATATGCTTCATATAAGGACATTTTGTTAAAAAATATATCATCAACCATAATTGTAATAACATTTTGTAAAAAAAAGAATTAAATGAAATTTTCCCCTTGGAATTTTTGGGACACTTATATTCTACATCATGTTTATACAGTCACAGTTGACTTTAACTTCAGCCTTTTTGGCATCATAAATTTACCATCGTGTTTGAATAATAAATTCAAGAAAAGTTTGCTTTTATACATAAAATACAAATAGCTTTGTATGAAATATACAAAGTGTAAATTCATTATGGAGTTCAATGTTTGTTCTTTAACTTTTTACATGTTCTGGTTGACAGTTAGGTTTCATGTTATTAAAATTGAATGAATATCTGTTGCATTGGTACTGTGCAAACTTATTATATATGCCTTTAATAGATTCTTCTTCTCTTTTTAGGGAGTTATGATATTGTCCACTTCTTTCTACTTTAATTTTTGTAAACCACCTAATTTTTCGGGATTAACTAAGGGAACGACCATTTAACTTCAAAGGGGGGGAAAGGTTTTTCCTAAAAAAAATATTCTGATCCCCAATTTGATGAAAAAAAATATTAAGGTCAAGCAGATGACAAAAAAAGATATTCTGAATCCAGATTTTCCCCATACCTTATAGTGTTTTTGACTCAGACAAAAAACCATAACCCCCCCCCTCTTGAAGTTAAATGGATGCTCCCTAACACCAGAAAAATTTTCATTTTCTTATTTCATTATTTGCATAGTACCATGTATATTTAGAAATGTAAAATATTTATATGATGAAGAATTGTTGATAATTTTAGTTGTTTACTTGTTGGTGTGGAATATTACTGTGAAATCCATAAAATCATTGTAATGAGAGAGAGAAAAAATCAAATGTGATAATTAAAAAAAGTACATGTAATATTTTTTGTTCTTTTTTTACTTTCATAAATTACTTAAACAGTCCATGGCTCATTATTCAAACTTGTTGTAATAGACCCTTCATTGATTGAATTTGAGTCTATAGACAAGTTGTGTACCAAACCCAAGAATAGAATCACTACTACTGGTAGGTTTTCGCTGAGATACTTTAGTGTAGTGTTCAATCTAACAAATACAAAACCAAAAAGTAATCTTGATGTCAGTCTGCGATATTTAATGATGTTCCATATGCAATGGTCTTCAGGCATGGCTAAAAAATTTGAGGCACAAATTATTAAAGTTGCTTATGCGAGTCAAAATTTGTTCCTGAGAAAAAAGTTCCAGTGGAATAAATATCACAGGAAATATATTCTGGGAGAACTTTTTTCACAGATAATTCCTATATAATTTGTTCCATCTTTATAAAATAAGTTCCACAATTTACCTGGTGATATCAATTCTGGGTTTGTGAAATTTGTTCCTTACCTGGTGAAATAAGTTCCTGGTTTGTGAGATTTGTTCCTTACCTGGTGAAATAAGTTTCTTGTCTGTGAAATATGTTCCACTGGCTATACAAATTATCTTTTATACTGAGCATTGTCATCAGTAAGTTTAAAGTTATCATTCAAGTACATTAATATAAAAACATGTATTATATTGATAATGTAATAAATAAAAAGTGTAAACATCCAATATGGATCCTGTGGAGTATAGCAAAATTTTTTATTACATTCTCGATAAAAAATACCCAAATGTCACTAATGAGTCAGAAAAGAGAAGAATAAGAAAATTCACTCAGAAAAATTTTACTGCTAAAGATGAACATTTGTACTATGTTGAAAAGGACAAAGTGACTGATCAATTGATTAAAAGACTTGTAGTGACAAAAGACAAACTCGAAGAGTATTTTGAAAATGTGCCATGACCATAGTGGGCACCAAGGTATAAATAAAATTGTGAACAAGATAACAGAAAAATACTATTGGAAAGGCATTGTGTTTGATACTAAGAGATATGTTCAACAATGTGGAATTTGCCAAAAACAAAAAAAGAAGGCTAAAACCGCAATCCCAGAGCTAACACCTGTCCCTGTTGGTAAGCGAGTTTTGGGGAAGATAGGAATAGATCTGATAGGACCTTTCCTGACTCAACAGAAGCAACCCATTATCTTTCTGGAACTCAGTGGCGGATCTGGGGGTTGGGTTGGGTTGGAACCCCCCCTTTTTTGACGATCAATGCTTTTGACGGGGGACATATGGTTGGAAGCCCCCCCCCCCCTTTATCCTGGGTTGTGAACCCCCCTTTTAAAAATGGCTGGATCCGCCCCTGGAACTTTTTCACATTTGGTAAAAAAAATATAGTTTCAGAACAAATTTTACAGTTCTAGAACATATTTCCTTATAAAATATATTCCGGCCAATTTCCGGGTATATATTTTCTGTGATATAAATTCTGGTGGAACATATTTCCTATGAAATAAGTTTTGGCGGAACAAATTTTTTTGTTACACTCAATGCACAACACTACACAAGAAACACAAAGGCACATTTTATATGTCACACCTTTTCCAAAGTTATTCTACTGCTAAAGAATTATTATCATCTTGTGATTATCCTGCAAACATTATTGAAAAGTGAAAGTCTTTTCTAAGAACATGCTGCAAACTGTAAATAAGATTTGATACATGTAATAAGAAATGCAGGATAAACATCACTGAGACAACCTTACGAATACAAAACCAGAGAGTCATTTAGAGGTCAACATGCCATTTTTAAAGATCTACCATATGTAATGCTATGCAGGCTAGGATCCAGAAATGTGCCTGAGCAGAGGGAGGGAAAAAAATTTCAAACATTTTTTATGCCAAAAAATATTTTTTTGATTTTTGGTTGAGCACACTGGGTGCCATTTCTGAAGGTGTTACCTTCTCATATGTGTTGGACAAGGAAAACTAATCACTATTCTTAGTGTACAGGAATTATCATCTCCTCTTTGATGTTCAAATGTGTCGTCAAGTTGATAGTTACATCTGTATCTTTTCATTTGAAATAGTTGTTCCATATGAAAGATTAAAAGGAGATCAAGGGTAAAAATCAATGGGTCAGTAACCCAATAATATACTCACAGATTCTAAAAATGTCCAAGACATAATAAAGTCACTATATCAATATAGATATCCCGCTAATCCCTATTTTTGCCTATTCTAAAGTCACAATAGAGATAAGTGTTTTGTATAAAATTTCCCTTTTGATTGGTTCTCTAAATTAGTTTACTCTATATTCATATGATGCAGGTGTTGATATAAACCTGAGATTACTACAGCAATCTCTCTTCAAACTTGAAATCAACAATTTTATTTCTCTTGGTTCATCTCCTTTAGTTATCGATATAACCATATCAATTTGCCGTTTCAAAGTATAAAGGACTATGGGTAATCTCATTTCTTTTTACCCCAAAAGGAAAATAATGTTATGTCATTGGCTGAATTACCATTTTTTAGGATGTTTTATAGTAACCAATCACGACGTTTTGGTGTATGCTTTTGAAAATGTCGCAGGTCTTTTGGATAGATCAAGAATTTATATAATGAAGATCGTTGGATAGAATTAGTATAATTTACCGAAACCAGAAGACATTGTTATCGATATTGGCACTTATTTATTTTTAGATCGAATTCATACTTCCCGCTTTTATTACTTAGATAGGTATTTCCGATGACGCATGCGTACTGAAATTGCTCAAAGGATCAGTCCACTTCCGTTTCGATAATACAAATTTACCCACGCTAATTAGGAACTTCTTACACCTTCTTTTATGACAAAATTTATCTCAGAAGGCTCAATTTCTTAAATTGGAAATTTTAGATAAACGGACAACAAACTTGACCACGAATATGTGACCAGGACATCTGTGAAATAGATAAAAATTGACACTTGTCTCAGTGGTTCATTCATGAAAATGATAATTTTACAGTACACAAACTTTTAAATCACTTTCAATACACACCAGGCAGTTTTATATATAAAATCTTTCAGCATAAATTTGAATTGAAGGTAAGATTCCTTACATTTTCATATGTTTTAAATAAATTGTAAACTGTTGCACTTTGAGTTAAAACGAAAACAAACATGGCTGCCATAAAATTGACATAAATTTTTAACAAGTTGGTGCAGACATTTTTTTTATTCCTCATCACTTGGTTATCCCCAATCAATAATTTATAGGTGTTCACAGCAACATCAGCTTTATGAATGTCCATGTTGTCAATCAATATGAGTAATCATGTAAAACTCCTAATTACTCATACATGTTTATTGATGACCTAATTTTTGTCCCATCAAATTGAGGTGTAAGTATTTATAGGTATAATTTCTGAATAACATAAATGCAATTGTCAATTTATCCATTTTCTGAGAAAAAAAGATGAACCTGTCATGCCTGTATGTCAAACATTTAGTTGGCACACTATGGAATGATAAGAAATATTTGAATCTTTTCATGTACAGAAAGTGGGCAAGATATAATTCTTTTGACCCCCCTTTTTCCTATATTTCTATGCATATTCTGTCAACAGAGGGATCAAAAAATTGTATGTTCTAGGTAGAATGGGATTTTTAGTGCTCATGGTCCGAGATGAGCTAAATGTAAAAAATTTTATATAAAAAGATTAGTGGTTTTCCCAGCCTGTTACAGTGCTGTGGTTTTCAATGCAATGTTCAATTTCGATCTGACACTTGGTTGATTGGTACGAGATCTGTGATTGTGCACAGATGTAAATGCATCCAAAAGTCTTGAAAATGAATAAATGGGTTGTGGAAGTTATTTTATGTTGTCAATATGCAAGTATTTACCTGAAGAAAGAACTAGATATTTTAACAATATTTGATAAAAACTTACAAAGACACCACATATTCTGTCTCTGAACCAAGTTGTATTGCTGTAAAGTCAACATTTTGTATCAAGAAATGCATGTTATTTATTTCTGTTAGTGAGTTATTGCAGTAATGAAGAGTTGAGCACATAATGTCTGTGGGAATTTGATCCAGATATACTTCCCCATTGTTACAAACTTTTCATTGATTCCGTCTAAGGATTGAGATTCCTCCACAGTTTTGGATCCTGATACCCGGTTTGATATACTGTGCTATTTGTTCATGAAACATTGATATTTTTTTTTTGTAGTTTTAAATACAAATTGCATATGCCATACATGTTTTTGATTTATTTATTTAGTTCAAATATAGTTGCAGTAATGGAACGATTGAAGAAAAGACTGAGTTTTCGGAAAAAGAAAGACCATGTACCAGAATGCTCAAAACCACATCAGTGGCAGGAAGATGAGAAAAAAGTTAGAGATGGAACATGTAGTTTTCAAGTGCGGGTAAATATTTCATGTCGATAGTGAATAAATAGTTTTCATCAAAATTATATCACCTAGTCACAGTTGTTTGTTTTTTTACCTTTAATTTTGACGAACATTGATATTATAGCATACAAATTTTTAAACAGAAAAGGTATGAAAGAGTATATTAGGCTTCACTCAGTAAAAAAATATAATTATATTGTCTTGTTTGTGCTAATCTATAAGATTTGATGAGATTTAGTAGAAAAAAAAATTTCACAACCTTTACAATAAGTCATTTTACAAAACCTGCAATTCATTGCCAGTAAATAAGTATTGATTTAATGTGTAACTAAACCTTAAACTATCATGACACTATCTAGACAATTGGATTGCATTTTACTTTAACAAAATGTAACAAAACTAGATTTAATTGTTTGATATTTTACAGTATTTAGGTTGTATGGAAGTGTATGAATCCAGGGGCATGCAAGTTTGTGAAGAAGCTGTTAAAACACTTAAATCAGTAAGTATTTGATTGATCCAAATCCTCCCTTACTGGATAAAGCTACACCGCTACAGTTATATGTTCATGGTCTTTGAGATACAGAATTGACTGGTGTTTAGAGTAGTATTTTCCTATTATGTCTCTGTCTGTAGCCTTTTAAGGTTTCCCTAGAAATTCTTCATGATTTCCAGACTTGTCACTTTTACGGACTTACCCACCCAATTATTTTACAGAAGGAAATCTTTGGAAAAAGTATTTCAAACTATTATACACAAGTTGTTCCTTGTGACATTAGAAATTATGAGAAACCTTTTGACTTCCTCATTATTTGAATTAGTGAAAAATCCATAAATTGTAGTGTAAGGAAGAAATTTGTTGTCATGAAATAGCATAAGAATAGTACATACAAGATGATTTAGTAAAAAATATCACTCTTCCTGACGTTCAGTAAAACTAAACGATTTCTCATGCTGCTGGTTGAAAGTGGTAGCACTCAGATTAAATATCATATACATAAAATGTATTACATGTGTAATTTGTAGAGAGATATATTCCAGTGAATCACTTGAAGTCACCAGCATTCACTGAGAAAAAATGACCAAAAGTGGCTGATCACCTCATGTTCTGATAGTTCTGATACTTTTTATGCCCCTGCCGTAGCGGAAGGGGCATTAAGTTTTACCCTTGTCCGTACGAAGTTACATACGTACGTCCCAAAGTTGGTTTCCGTTGTCTTACTTTAGTTTGCCTCAACCAAATGTTATGAAACTTATACACAATGCTTATTATCACAAAACACAGATCAAGTTTAAATTTTGGTGGCGTTACTTTAACCGTTCTAGAGTTATGCCCCTTTTTTTGGAAAAATTGCTGAATTTTTCGTTTCTGTTCTTTGACTTTAGTTTGCCACAACTAAATGTTATGAAACTTATACACAATGCTTATTACCACAAAACACAGATCAAGTATGAATATTGGTGGCGTCACTGTTACCGTTCTAGAGTTATGCCCCTTTACAAATGGAAAAATTGCTGAATTTTTCTTTCTGTTCTCTAACTTTAGTTTGCCTGAACTAAATGTTATGAAACTTTTACACAATGCTTATTACCACAAAATACAGATCAAGTTTTGAGTTTTGATGGTGTCACTTTTACTGTTCTAGAGTTATGCCCTTTACAAACGGAAAAATTGCTGAATTTTTCGTTTCTGTTCTCTTATTTTAAGTTAGCCTCAACCAAATGTTATGAAACTTATATACACAATACTTATTACCACAAAACTCAGATCAAGTATACATTTGGGTAGTGTCACTTTTACCGTTCTTCAGTTATGTCCCTTTATAACTATATATGATGTGCAAGCGGGGGCATCATTTTGTGTCCCATGGACACATTTCCCATTTATTTTATTAAGCAACAAGATACAACTCATACACAATGCTGAGAGCCAGAACTAGCAGACAGAGGTCGAATTTGGGTAGCGAGTTGCTTACTGTACTAGAGTTATGCCCCTTTTTAACTTGGAACATTGCAAAGCTTGAGCGGGGCATTCACGTCCTCAGACACCTTCTTCTGTTATTTTTCATATTTGTCTATTATCTTCAAAGGGAGAATTTACCTAAACATGCTAAAGGAATCAAATCATTAATAAACTAAATATCATGAAAATCGTAAAATCTTTGAAAAAGGATTTGAAATATGAACATGTATTTATAAAAAGAAATGGTAATTTAAAGTAGTTAAATGCATGAACATGGTACTCATAGGTTATTGTGTTTCTTTTCAGCAATGTAAAGGGAAATACCAGAGAGCAATATTGTATGTATCTGGAGACGCTTTACGGGTTGTGGATGAAATAAGCAAGGTATTTGTGACAAGACTTAAGTCGTTTTTATACGACCTCAAAAAAATTTTGTGGTCGTATATTGGTATGACATTGGCGTCGTCGTCCGGTGTATGGACACATTTCGGTTTGAATAGGTAAATTAAAAAATTTTAAGTTCTTAGACCACATTCATTCTGTGTCAGAAACCTTTGCTGTGTCAAATATTTAATTACAATCCAAATTCAGTGCTGTATCAAGCTTGAATGTTGTGTCCATACTTGCCCCAACTGTTCAGGGTTCGACCTCTGCGGTCGTATCAAGCTGCGTCCCAGCGGAGCATTTTATTCCTTTTGGGATCAATATTTCTCTGTCAGCTGTGCCATTCATTCTTCAGTAGTCATTATCGTATGAATCCGGATTTCGGTCATAGCTGGTCCGGTTCCGATCAGTAGTTTAGTACAAATATTTCAATGGCGGACGAAGAAGAAAAATTTACAAAAATAAACGATGTTTGACACGCTATTTGGAAAGGAATATGACGTTTTTAATGCAATACATGGATAACAAATTTACTTCAGGCAAATTTCATCACGTTCTAATGAAGTAACGAACTTATTTTGCCGAAAATTAGAATGATTTGATGTACGCTCTCTAACAAGTACTGGGGCGGAATTGATAATTAATTGTTTTTATGAAATAACATGCTACCAACTTTAAAATGAATGCTTTAACCTCTTTTCTTAAGAAAATAAATCGTTTATGTCTTTGAATTTCTTTACTTTTTACTGAAAAATTGCTGTTTCATAGACTCGGTAAAAATTGAATATTGTCGATGACGAAAGCGACTGAAAGCGAGTATCGTAAACCACAGGGCGACTAGTTTCGCTTTTGAGGGTCAGGCAAAGCGAAGTGACGGACGGGAAAGTGACATCTTCGCCCTAGTCGCCTGGTAGCGTGAGCCCTGTACATGTCTCTATATGTTTCATGTTAGTGATTCACACTGAAATGTCTCTGTATGTTTCATGTTAATGATTCACACTGAAATATCTTTGTATGTTTCATGTTAGTGATTCACACTAAAATGTCTCTCTATGTTTCATGTTAGTGATTTTCACTGATACATGTCTCTGTATGTTTCATGTAAGTGTTTCATGCTGAAATGTCTCTGTATGTTTCATGTTAATGATTCACACTAAAATGTCTCTCTATGTTTCATGTTAGTGATTTTCACTGATACATGTCTCTGTATGTTTCATGTAAGTGATTCACACTGAAATATCTGTATGTTTCATGTTAGTTTCATGTTAGTGATTCTCAATTATATGTCTATGTTTCATATGTAATGAATGACAGTGTCCTCAATCAGAGAGTTATCACCTCTACTCCCTAGCAATCACTCTATTTCACTCTAAATTAACATGTTTAAGTGAATCTCCCTGAGTGTTCTGTAGTACAAAGCATGGTTCAATTAAGATCTTTTCTTTCTGAATAATCTTCTGTATGTTGAACGCTGTTCAATGATCTATCTTTTTGTCAAATCAAAACAAGATTTACTTTTCAAGAAGAGTCGACTGGGATTTTTTAACCTTAATTTTTCTCGTTATTTAAGAGCATAATAGAAGTTCAGACTATTGTAAAGGTGTCATTCTGTGATCCAAATACTGTAATTTTAGAAATTATTTGAAAATTAAAAAGAATGTGATTTCAGGAAAAGCTGCATAAAGATATATGTATCAGATATTTGAATGCAAGCTCTTATAAATGCAATACACACCCAAATGAATCAACAAAAACCTTGCAATAATTATTGAATTTTGTTATTTCAGAACATGATAGTAGATCAAATTATAGAGAAGGTGTCATTCTGTGGTCCAAATAAGAACCATGGTTAGACACGTTTAAGCTGAATTTTGTTATTTCAGAACATGATAGTAGATCAGACTATAGAGAAGGTGTCGTTCTGTGGTCCAAATAAGAACCATGGTTAGACACGTTTAACCTGAATTTTGTTATTTCAGAACATGATAGTAGATCAAACTATAGAGAAGGTGTCATTCTGTGCTCAAAATAAGAACCATGGTTAGACACGTTTAAGCTGAATTTTGTTATTTCAGAACATGATAGTAGATCAAACTATAGAGAAGGTGTCATTCTGTGCTCAAAATAAGAACCATGGTTAGACACGTTTACGCTGAATTTTGTTATTTCAGAACATGATAGTAGATCAAACTATAGAGAAGGTGTCATTCTGTGCTCAAAATAAGAACCATGGTTAGACACGTTTAACCTGAATTTTGTTATTTCAGAACATGATAGTAGATCAGACTATAGAGAAGGTGTCGTTCTGTGCTCAAAATAAGAACCATGGTTAGACATGTTTAAGCTGAATTTTGTTATTTCAGAACATGATAGTAGATCAGACTATAGAGAAGGTGGTCCAGATAGGAACCATGATTAGACCTGTTTAACCTGAATTTTGTTTTTTTCAGAGCATGATAGTAGATCAGACCATAGAGAAGGTGTCGTTCTGTGCTCCAGATAGGAACCATGAGAAAGGATTTGCTTACATTTGTCGTGACGGAACAACACGACGATGGATGTGCCATGGCTTCTTGGCCGTCAAGGAGTCCGTAAGTGTCAGTAGTATTTTCATTTGAAATTTTAGCTTGTGTCCAGCACAAAGCATTCTTCAAAGGACTTCTCAAAATTTAAGGTCCAGCGTTTGGAATGTAGGTTAGCTCATAGATTTCAAGGCCTGCATTTTTCCGAAAGAGTGTGTTATGTCATTGAAATGGTAATGTTATGAATACAATAGTAAATACATGGAATTTCTTCAATGGTTTGCTAGATTTCCCAGGAAAAATTTTGTAAATGGATTAAAAAAAGGAAGGAAGATAAAATGTTTAGTGTCTATGCTTGATAATCATTTATCAGTCCTGCACATAAGGTCATTTAAACTTTAAAAAATAAGGTTTTTATATACTGACTTCTAAAATTCAACATTGATTTTCTTATATTCTTGACAACAATTGTTCAATGATGCAGTTTTGTTGTCTCACCTGTGACTTAAGTTGCGGAAAGCAAGACATAGGGATTGCTTTTCTGGCGACGGCGTCAACAATTGTTAAGTTTTCTGCTTAAGTTAGTTCGATATGAATTACTTCATGTACTTGTGATAGATCATTGATATTTTGTATGAAGATGCACTGCTATCAGTACATATCAGTTTGACGACAATTTTGAGGATCTGCCCCCTTGGCCATGGTCCAGTGAATTTGATTTGATTAGCCATTTTAAATGTTAAGTTTTGTGCTTAAGTTATATTGATAGGAACTACTAGTGATAGATCAATGATAATTTGTGTGAAGTTGCATTGCTATCAGTACATATCAGTTTGACAACTATTTTGAGGACCTGCCCCCTAGGCCATGGTTCAGTGACTTTCAGTCAATTAACAATTTTCAATGTTATGTTTTATGATTAAGTTAATTTGATAGGAACTACTTACAATAGACAATATTTTCTATAAAGTTACATTGCTGTTTGTACATCTCAGTTTGTCAACCATTTTGAGGCCCTACCCACTAGTTGGTCCAACAACTTTGAATTAATTATCAATGTTGCTGTCCTTCAGATGGTCTTTTTCTGAATTTTATGCCGACAGGCGAGGCATATCTCTGTGAACATTTTATTTTGTTTAGTTATGATTATATTAAAGAAAGTCAATATTATTTAACCCCACCTACATGAATGCCTTAGTTTTTTTCTACCTTTACATATGATTTTCAAGATTTTATTATTTTTATTTTTAAATCAGTTATGTACCAACATTGACAATTTATGTTAAAAAAAAGGTTTTGTAAATAGTTATATAACTGTTATAAGGCAAAAAATGCTAAAAAGTGTAAAAAACAGTCTATGTTCTCTGTTTTGGTCATATTAGTGTCAGTAGATTTAAGCGCATTAAGTGTTGTTAGTTAGGGTAGTATTTTGGACAGATTATGATGAAACTTTGAAGTATGCTATCTATCACTTTTCTCTAATTTGTGTGTAGCATGAAATTTAATTGTATGTGTTACTTTCTTATGCCTTGAACAATAGAGTAGATGTTGTAACAAAAAACAGGTTTTTTTTCGCAACAGTTTTGTCCAAAACATGCAGAAATTCAGCCCTGCACATAATCTTTTACTATATTAATTTAACCTGATCATGTGTGGCGATAATAATAAGAAAAAAGTGAAAACTTTTCCCTCTCTAATCTAATTAATAAAACAAAATGAATGTGCTACTATTATTTATTTGATAATACAATGTAGTTTTTATTTTAGTTATGAAATTAATAACATTGTAGAAATGTACAACAAAGTCTGATGTACACCTTACATTGTCACTGTTTTCATTTTTATAGAATATATACTTGTATGTTAGAAATTAGTGAACAAAGCCAGAGCTATTTTTGATTTTTGTTCAGAAAGCTATATGTTGATGATTTTTAGGTTCAGTAGGTATTTTATGTTTTGTTTTTTATAAAGTTCTTCAGAGGCAGACACAAAAATAGACGTTCTGTGAGTAATACCAAGTTTCTGCATGCCTATGCTAGTAACAAAAGCATGTATTTAATACTAACATTGTTTGGTTAGGATCATAATAAACATCTTGATTATTTAGATATGAATGAAACCATTAGGCAGAAAGGTGTATATTACATGTTACATGTTGCTATAATCATGTGTAGATCTTTCATTAAGTCAGGTTAGGAGTAAGAAAGTTAAAAAGAATCGAGAGTATCTATTAACTCTAGTACAGAGTATTATGGCTATCTGGTTCAGTGTTGCACAAATTTTTAATTGCAATATGTACAAGGTTATAGATGGTCAACAAAGACAAAATTGACCCCAATAAGTAAAATTATAGAAAGTCAACAAGTAATAGACAAAATGGACTCCAATAAGTATAAAGATGGCCAACAAGTAATCGACAAAATTATGAACTATAATTTTGGTATTTTAAAACATTATAAACCATTAAAAACTTGTTTCTCATTAATCAATGATATTTTTTCATATGTTACCAACATCATAATCAATTTTTAACCTGCAGCTGTACATTGAAATTTGTTGAACATTGATGCAAAACATACATTGATATTGATAATATTATCTAGGTTGCTAAGGTTGATAATTCACATAAAATAGGGTATATACATGTATATAAATACATATTTCAAAGCAGTCTTATTTGAAAAATGTGCAGACAACAAAATATATTTTTTATGCATTGATACAAACATTTCATGTTGATTGTTTCAATAGAATTGAAGAAAAACAGAATATTACACTGCAAATTCAGAAATTATTGCGTGCATTTATTATTGTGATTACAGAAAAAGCTGCATACAAATATATGTGTCAAATTTCAGAATGTGAGTTATTGTGATACTAAGCCAGTCACATTGTTCGCAATAATAAAAATCTTGCAATAGTTTATGAATTTACATTAATTTAAAAATAGTAATCCCAGAATAGACGAGATGGTTCAAACAGTGTTTGCGGCATGTGCATACATGTATATCCTGTATGTACCTAATGTGAAGGGTTACTGGGCAGTGTGACACACTATACCCCAGTGCAGGAAATCATTTGGGTAGCCTGAATTTGGCTCTTGAAAAACAATCTGAAGAGATAATCCCATTCAAGAGACCAAAGGAGATAAATAGAAATTTTCTAAATTTCCAAGCAGCGTCTGGTTTATTTTAATACTGAGGTTCCTTTACTTGTTCATACTTCTATTGAAAGTAATGAGGCTGAAAATTATTTTGAAAGTTTAGACCTAAAAATAGTGTCAATTCCAACACATGTTAATGTCAAAATAATTGTTGTAGGCTTAGATTTAGAGCATGACATATTGTAAGGACACATGTATTTTAAAGAATGTATAACATGCAGGGAAAGATGAGAATGAAAGATCAAGAACAAAGGAAGAGAGAAAAAATCGTTTTCTTAGCAGTCCAACTTATCTTGAGCAGTTGCAAAAATAAAAAAATTGTTATCCTGAATTACATTTAATTCATGGATGAATGTGCTCTTTTTTAGCCCATAGAAATAGGCATTGAATGAGGGGGGGGGGGGGGGGGGGGGGGGAGGGGGGAGGGGGGGGGCATCTGTGTTCCATGGACACATTCCTCTTTTATTTAAAAAGAAAATGCATAATGCTCATAAGTTTTCTCCTAAGAGCCAAAACGCACCAATTTTTGTGGAAAATCACAAATTTAAAATACTCAAATCAATACAAATTTTTAGTAACTTTGATGGGTACAAATGATTAAATGGCTTTTATTCAGTGCCTTCAAAACAGCAAATTTCCCATCAACTTTGACAATTGATACCAACAAATATAGATGGATCCACAATATAATAGAATAAGGGAATGAATATTCCTAAAGATATCAATGTCCCTCATTTTGATATTGTTACATAAGTTCTGTTGACACATGAGAAATGCTTCAATATTCATGATATTAGAGTGAATTGGAATAAGGTTAAAAAAAAGAGTAAAATTTGTTGCACAAGTGTGCTGTATCATTTTGTTCAGGTGATTAATGAATCTCCCTTTAAGTATATTCTAAGAGGTTTTTGAAACATATAAATTTTTATTATATTGTACCTGCACTTTTTTCAAACATTAAGAATTGTTTTGTTTGTATTTATTACTCAAAGATGACCGTATACTATACATATAATACAACTTTGATCCTGTTATGCACCTAGGACCTACATTCCTGGATGATAAGGTTGTGTGTTGAATTGAAAAGAGGAACAATTGTTGATTCAGTTGAAGATATCTAGGCATTATTTTGTACTAGATTATTGACATTAAACACAAAATTTGAGCAATTGCCTCTGCAATGCTATTTTATTTGTGGTTTTAACAATGTTTACATTCAAAGAATTGTAAGGTTGTGTTGTTAATATGTGTTTATTTTCCACCATATGTGTTGGTCAACTTAATTGTTTAAGTAAATTTAAAATGAAGCTGAAACAGTGCACCCATCCATTTAAGTTGATAAGTAACATGTATATGTTAAATTATTAAAACTAATTACTTCTATCAATAATAAAAAAAAAAATATAAAATGACTAATGATCATCTGATCCTTTCATTTGCATAAACAAATCTTAAATTTTCTGTATAAAAATACACATTTTTATATATATTTCCTATATTAACCAGCCCATAAATGTTGTATTTACCCAGATATCTAGCTTAACATTAGCAGCACGCTTTTCTTTTCTTGAACACAGACAAAGATTCAGTGTGTGGCCAGTCTAAACAATATTAGAAGAGGAGAAAATTATGTAGATATATTGGTTAATGAAAATTCACCAGTTACAGTTTTGTTTATTTTATCAACTTCATTTATTTTATTAATATTTTTTTGTTTATTTCTTTCTGTTTATTACTTTATTGTTTACTTATACTGAATTAACAAACAAAAAATACTGAGGCTCTTTTTACTTCCATTTGTTCAAAATACTGTAAACCAACTAATTTTGGGGAGAAGTTTATATTCGCAAGTAGAAAAATAATGCAGATATTAATCGTCAAAAATATGTAAAATTTGCATCTTTCATTATTTTACTAAATCAAGTAAATTTGAAAATAGTGAAATTAAACCGCTGTGAAGTGGGGCTAGAAAGAGAAAAATGCGAAAAAAAAGTATCTGCGAAAATAAGTTGGTTAACAGTATACTTTGATTCAGAAGAATTGCATTGTAAATATATTTTTACAGGGAGAAAGACTGAGCCATGCTGTTGGCTGTGCATTTGCCATATGCTTAGAACGTAAACAGAAAAGGGACAAAGATGTGACAACTAACGTAACAGTGTCCTTCAACCAAGACAAAACCAGTTTTACGCGGATGGGATCCTTCCGTCAAGCTACCTTAACAGAAAAAATTGTTGACCCACAAAGTGCTATTATAGCTGGTAAGTGACGAAATAAGACATCAAAAATTGTTAGAATAAGAATTTGACCAGAATAAGCCCATCACCATTAGCTACACAACCTTAAGCCATGGTTGAATTTTAGTCACATTACATTTCCCTTCTACACACAGACATGGAAGCGAGGTTAGAAAGTAAAACTATTTAAATTGATGGTTGGTTAATATTTTACAAAAACTAAAGCTTGAACTTATATAGAAAATAACCAATTTAAGTGTTATTTATGCTTGGGTAGGGAGGGGTTAAGTGACCTCAGACCCCCATATATTTATTTCTGGAACATCCCTAAGACAAGTTAATGTGTAAGTGTGTGGTAACTACAGATTTGAGTTGTAATCAGACATTATCATATGTATTTAGGGTTATAAGAACGAAAGCTTTAGACCCAGTACATTATATAGTATTGTATGTTTATATGCTTGTATGAATATTGTTAATGCTATATAAGCCTCTTTAGGCTGGCTGGTATATTAGGATGCATTTTAAATTAACTGAATTTTACAGCTTTCTATGTATAATTACAAAAAGGGACCTAAGTTGTAGTTAGTCACTACTCAGAACAAAGTTTCAATGATTTTAGATGATTTTAAAAAATTTTAACATTTATAAAATACTAATTTCGTTATAGAACCTGTTCCTGTGAGATCAGTAGATAACCCTTTTGCGGTTGGGCGACCTAAAGCAACAAATGATATGTTGATTAGGCAGGGATCATTTAGAGGTTTTGAGAAGCTTCAAGAATCATCACCTTTCAAAAGAACAACTTCACTACGTCTAAGTGACCTACCATCAACACTACAAAGACAGAACGCCATAACGGACACATCACCTCCAAGACACCCAGGTGCTGGTATGTAATAGGATTTCAATTAGAGTTTATCATTATTCAAAACTGAAATTTCCAAAATTTTTGCATTCATTTATTTTATGGACACAAATGCAAGATAAGTTAATGTAATTTCAGGAAAAGCCCAGAGTCCCACAAAACAGAATATACCTACCCTTGAAGGTCATAACTCTGTAGATAGTGTATAAAAGTACATATATGTCATATAAGGTCATAACTCTGTGGATAGTGTATAAAAGTACATATATGTCATATAAACCCATTTCAGTAAAATATTATATGTTAAACATAAGATGCCTTAAAGGAGATAACTTTAATTTTAATAACAGTGATAAAAATATCTAAAAAGCTCTTTAGTCATGCTATTGGGTGAATAACACTTAAAATTTTACAGTGTGAAAATAAGAATTCTTTTAACGTGAATGACCTGTAAAATTTTGAGTTAGCTACCTCTTAACAGAAGATGAAATTTTACTTAAATATTGAACCAGACATAATAATGTTTAATTTCAGGTATAAATGAACCAATACAAGAAATGTCACCAACAAAAGAACAAGAGGAATCTATATCTAAACTGTGTCAACAGTTGTCACAAGGGTTATCTGCCCTTAGTAATGATGATCCATTTTCTAGCAATTTTCGGTCTTCACAATCAAATCATACTTCACCTGCATTCCAGAAAACACCACAACAAAATACTCCACATACAGGTGAGGTTCTTAAGTAACTTTGTCAAAACAAAATATCCCACATACAGGTAAGGTCCATAAGTAATATAGATGCAACAAAATACTCAACATACAGGTAAGGTCCATAAGTAATATTGATGCAACAAAATACTATGTCACAAGAAAATACTCCACATACAGGTAAGGTCCATAAGTAATATGGATGCAACAAAATACTATGTCACAACAAAATACTCCACATACAAGTAAGGTCCATAAGTAATATGGATGCAACAAAATACTACATCACAACAAAATACTCCACATACATGCAGGTAAGGTTCATAAGTAATATTAATGCAACAAAATACTACGTCACAACAAAATACTCCACATACAGGTAAGGTCCATAAGTAATATTAATGCAACAAAATACTACGTCACAACAAAATACTTCACATACAGGTAAGGTCCATAAGTAATATTGATGCAACAAAATACTATGTCACAACAAAATACTCCGCATACAAGTAAGGTCCATAAGTAATATTGTCACAACAAAATACTTGGTGACAAGGTAAGATCTATGAATACAATTGTGACTACATGTTCAAGGAAGACTGTCCATAAATACCACAACCTAATTAGAAGATAGTCTGCATATGCATAGAAGTAAGATAAATAATTCTCAGTCCTAGCACAGCTAAAGTTTATTCTACTGGCATGTAACTAAGTAATCACGGCATAAGTAAGGGTCATAATCTGTGACGTCACAAAATATGGTAATACCCAAAACATTAGGACCTTAGATACAATAACAATTTGTTAGTATAAGTAAGTCAATTTGAGACTTCAGTAACTATGAAATACTCAGTAAGATACATAAATACCATTGTCACTGAAAATTACTTTACACTGGTACAGGGACCACTTTGACCTATTTAAGCCTGGCGATGCAACACGCTTAAATTTCTAGTGCAATGCTAAAATTCCCTGCACCATGCTTATTTTATTGTCAGCCACACTTGAAAATTCAATAGGTTGAAGTTAAATTCCAGATATCCCTAATCCAATTATCATGTCAGTGGCAATTAAGAAATCTGATTAATATTAATTGGTGTGAACATTGCCTCAAGGGATGTATACTGCCGGCTGATTACATTACATGGTCTCGCGTGGTTGAACAAGGTGACATCTAGTGAATGATCATGATCCAGTTTCTTCAATTTGAAAAGTAAAAATTGTTTGCAAACTACCGGTATTCTAAAAATGCAAATGCTTTACTGTACCTTAAATGGAATGTTAATATCCAAACTAAATTAATAAAAGCAGTAATCCAGAAAACAAACAAATGAATTCCCTGACCACTTGTTCCTTTTGTTGACAACCATGTGACATGTGCTCTTTTGGCGGGAAAATACTGGGGAACACCTAAATAACAGACAACATTGTTTGATTCTCTCTGCTTAATATGTTCCTTAGAATGATCTTACAGCAGTAAGTTTTAAATTTTGATGTTTAAGGTGGTACCAAACACCTTGACTAAAATTAATTTGGCTTTTTTTATTTTCATGAAATTTTGACAAAATATTTACTTTGACCCTTTGATAAAAATATATAAATTTCACAAAACTTGACCCGCACACTTTATCTGAAAAATTTCATTGGATATATAGTAGTTTGACAAACACTAATTTTGATCATTGAGATGCTTAATATTTCCTTAACAATAGAAAGTGATTAAAACCTTCAGCTGATTTTTACAGAGTTATCTCCCTGTAGTTTTATATACCACCTTAACATCCTTCTTGTAATTAGGGCCCTGCCTAGTGGCGGGTCGCCTATAGTGATCAGTCTGTCCGTCCGTAACAAATTGTGTCCGCTCTATATCTAGAGAACCGTTATAATTTCATACTTTATACTTGACATGTATATTAACCAACACCAGAGGGTGTGTCAATGTTTGTACAACTTCCTAGGTCAAAGGTCAAGGTCAAAAACTTTGGTTTCAGTTGTCAACTGTTATTTACAGCGGGGCCCACAGAGATGGCTCCCATCTCAATGATGTTTAGTTACTTCGAGTATTTTGAATGTTGACATTAAACCTCTCCTCAATTTAACACAATGAAGGATGTATTAAGCTTTTGACCAAAGGAGGAGATGCAATTTGGAGTTCGATTGACTCTAAAATAAGTTATGTTATAACTAATAATGTTGAGTTTGAGGACTTTAGTACAACATAGATAATTTTGCATGAAACCAGTCTTTTTAACAGGCACACAGTCCTCAAATTACTTAAAAACAGTAAAATGAAAACCAACACAAATTATTTACTTACCCCTAAGATATTCACACAGGAAGAATAGCATTAGTTTATGATCATCTACCTTCTTAAAGGCTAAACATTATGTCTAGGAATGCTTGTGCTCTATGTTAACTGCCAAAATGTTCTTGAAATAATCATTCTTTTTGCATAAAGCAGTAAATCTTGCAATTTACGGTACCATATGGCTATAGCTTCAATGCCATTATTTTAATATACCAATGGTATAAGGTAATTTTTTATTATTTTTTTATAAATTTCTTGTGTCAATCCACTCAAGAATGTTCCTTCTCATCAGTAGAAGTGTATATTATTGCTAACACAACACTCAATCAATAAGCAGTCATGAAAATGAAGAGTGTTCTTGTTTGACTTCAATATATCTTTGAATAAACAAATTGTTTTGAGTATACTGCAGTGAGATGGCAACCCTACAATTAAATTCAAACAATTTTGTTTGATAGTAAAAATATATGAACTCCATTGTAAACAACATCAAATGTTTTATCTTTAAAATTTCAGCTTTTTTATCTTTAATTTTTCAGCTTATACAAAGCAACCAGCACCACAACCTGGTACCCAACAAACAAATCCTTGGGCTCCTGTTTGGCCCCAACAGACTTCTACAAACCCCTTTTCTGTGCCTCAAGGATCTGTGACTAATGGTGTTCCACAACCTCCCCCAAGGGTACAACAACATATGCGTAGTCATTCCATAGACAGTGGGGAATTGTCAGGATTTCCCAGGCAATATAATAAACCATCACTTTCGGAAATGTCCAGTCAACGAAGTTTTCAACAAAATGGTAGTGCTTGGTCTTCATCATCAGCGTCGGCACAAGGTGTAGACCCTTTCGATGTGGCATGGGCAGCTAAGACTACAAGTAAACAAAGTAATCCTTTTTCGGCAAAGGTTTAACAGGACCTTATAAACGTGAAGTTTTTATTTTTCATATGGCCAAGTTATACTAAACACAAGATTTACCAATACCTCGGTGCATTTATTTGTGCTTATGTACATATCAGTGTCTACAAATTTCAATGGTATAACTTGGTCTTCAGGATTTCAGGATTTCGCTCAGAAAACACCATCTTCATGCAACATATATAGTTATATTCCTTATATGCTGGAAACAAGCGATTCAGATGAGAAAATTAAATTCTGTTAAATGAATAATGACAAAAAGATGTTTAGTATTAATATTCAGAGCATCATCGGAAAATTGACTGCAGAAGACTATATGGTATTCATCTCCATTTAAGCAAGAATTCATAGAGAAGTAATTACTACTTAAAAAGAATGGAAGAACTCGTAATCAGCTACCATTTTTATATGTAAACAATGAGACCATTAATGGCTCCAATTTAAATAAGATTTACTGCAGGGTTGGGTAAGAGTATTTTATTCTTATTATATAGAAGTGTTGTTCCCATAGGATACAAATCTGTGATTTTTTTTATTTGCATATAAGGTGCTTTTATAAATAAAAACCCCTGTGTACATATTATTTAGCACCATATTTGTATATTTTACACCTATATATGTGACAGTATTTTAGTTTTTTAGCTGGTCTAATTTTAACCAGACATTTCGGTCCTGTCACGTACATAGTTGTTTTCTATTTTGTTATAGGTTGTTGGCTTTATTTTCCTTATTTGATTATTACATGGAAAATAAACCGAATAAAGGTTGTTATTGATATCATGCAAATTTTATAACATTATTTTATTTTATCGCTGAGTTGTGATCATTATTGTTTTTGGGGTCCAATGAATTTTTCATCTTTATATATGTTAAATTACAAATTACACAATATATTCTAGAAATATTTTTTATGTAGAATTCTTATGATTTCTCTGATAACTGCATACTGATCTTTCTGTCCAGACAAGCATAAATTATTAACTTCATAGAATTTCCTTTAAATGAATAATTTGTTACTTGGTTCAAACGTTAAGACTGGTTTTTATCATGGACCACTCTTCATTATATGATTAAAGCTGAATGAAGATAATTTTTGATGAGAGGTATGGAATGACTAGACTTACAGTTGTTCTGCAAACCTGGCATGGCCAATTATTTTGTGCCTACATTGAATTTTTATTCCGTTTTTTAACAAGAACTCGATGTTAAAATGCTACACCCTGTAACAAATTAATATTTAGAAAAAAACAGGTTTCCAATTTTGGCAATTTACTGTCCAATATTTTTTTAGAACATAGCGCAGGTTTTTTTTTTCCTACTAGCTTTCTAAACGCCTTATCAAATAGATGTTATAAGTTTGACAATCATGTGCTAGTAGATTGAATTTTAGTACTTGCAGATATATAAAAGCTATTATCAAATAGTATAAATTTCTAATTTATTTGTGATTTTATCTTATTAAAGAAATAACATACATGTTTTCAGTCAGAACACCAACAGATTCATTGATATAATGATATTTGTGACTAAAAAAAATAGGTCCTCTGTCAGAAAAATTTTGGATTTACATATATTTGATTTGACTGATTTATGAATAATGATCCAAATAGTTTCTCTTCTTTCATGTTTTAAGAAGGATGTCACTCCTGCAAGCACTGTTATTTTTTATGTTTAAGAAGGGTTGTCACTCCTGCAAGCACAGTTATTTTGGCATGGTATGCAGTTATCACTGATATCGGGTATAAATAATTAGTTATGATTAGAAAATTTATACAGGAACTGCATGGTTTAAATTAAAAGTTAATCATTCTAAAACAATATTTTAGACCGATTTCAATTTGAAAAACTGTTGTGGCAACAAATCTTGAGTAAAATGAATAAATTCCATTAATTAAAGAGAGAGAATTTGAATATTCTCCCCTTTTGCAGTTCATGATGAAGGCAGATAACTTGATAAGCTTATTTGAGTTTTATTTGGTTTTATTTTTGTGCTTTTTTATAGGGAGAGGGGGAGGGGGGTATTTCAGAGAAATTACAGACTTTGTAGTGTTTTGAAATTGTATAACGTTATTTATTCATGGAGTATCTTGGATTGAGAAAATTGATTAAGTTTTAGTGTAGTGGTTCCATTTGAAGACTTTATCATACATATATCATCAGTCATTTATCAATCAGATTGATTTTACTGACTTTTTTTCCATGCAGTTCCTTTCAAGGTCAGTATATGTGTAACAATCATTTCAAAGTCAATAGATTTTTGTCATACTTATTTTTTTATACTCGATGTAAATGGTTATGTTAATTACCTGTGAAAATAATTTTAAAATCTTATATGTAATGCATTTTCTTTTAAGTTGTATAAAAGCCTCTTTTTTCCTTCAGTAGATTCATTTGAAATTCCTTTCTTGAAATGCAAAAAAAAAAAGATTTATAACGTGTACAGGGTAAATGAGTATATATATGATTTAATGAAGTTATACACTATGAAGTACTGGAAGAGACTTTTCAGCATTGATTAGTCTTATTGATGTTGATCAGTTTGATAAGTCTGATTGATGTTAATCAGTTTAATAAGTCTGATTGATGTTAATCAATTTGATAATCTGATTGGTGTTAATCAGTTTGGCAAGTCTGATTGATGTTAGACAGTTTGATAAGTCTGATTGATGTAAATCAGTCTTCAGTGATTTTTGAGATTTTTGCAACAGGACTATCTAATGTACATTTATAGCTTATAGTTATTGAAGAAAGTCAGGTGATATGTCAAATTGAAGAATATACATGTATATTAATATTACCACATTGTAATATCTTACATCAGCATGCTTTATTGTGGGATGTCTCTTTCTGTACTGTATAAACCTTGTTTTGTTGGATTTTCAATCATGTAAGATAATACTAAGTAGTCCTATCTGTAATTTTTTTTTAATCTATTTCAATGTTTATTACATCAAAGCTCTAGGAGTATAACCTATCTTAACATAAGTTTTGCTTCAAATAATGGAAAAACAAGCCAATAATTGTCCATAAGCATTTAACTCAGTGTTCTTCCACAGAATCTGGTAGCCTGATTAATAGCATTCTATACTTCATTGTTTTGTCTGTTAACATTTCTATCAGTTATAAAAGTTATAATAAAACTTCATTAATGATACATGCCCTGCCTATTACTTATTAAGATTAGCCTGTCTTTCAATTTTAGGTTTAAACACCCTTTAAATAACTAGTGCAGGATTAAACTGAAGATGAAGTGTTAACAGAAAGATTTGTGTATTAAGCTGAAGTCCAGATTCTTCGTCTGTCAGCACAGAGGAGACTATATATATGTTATATTAATGTAAAAGTTTACCATGGTGTATCAACATTTACTTATATAAATCAGTATTTTTTTATAAGAGGCAAATAGGTTGACTTTCATTTAGTTACTGATCCTTTGTAGACAGTTGTTCGTTTGAAATTACTGTTTAGTTTAATATATCATGAAACACGCCAAAAATTCTTCAATTTGAACTTCAATATCTAGGGAGGAAATTTATTGACTCTGTCGTAATTATATTAAGGTAATACTATGTAGAATATTTTTTACAGCTTTTATTCTCCATTCCCTTCTAGTGCATTTCTTAGCTATCTATATTAATTCCATCAAAGCTATTAGATTTTGTATCCGTTAGCAAAATTGAAATCCTTTTGCCATGCTTTTCGATTGAATTTCATATCAGGTAATAGAAATGAAATCTTTTTGCCTCACTCCTGTTTCTAAAGAATAGGTCCAATTTTTTTTAGGTTGCCTTATTTTTTTAAGGACAAGATTTTCAAGAAATATAAGATTGTGCTTCAAGTCTGTACTTCGTATGTTTAATATGAAATAGAGGCTCTTGTCAACGGACATATATCCAAAGATCATTCATCAGACTGTTAACATTCATACATTTCAATCATAATTGTTAGTTAAACCATTTATATACAGTATAATAACTTGAAAATAAACAATAAAATCACTTCAGAAAATCAGCTCACCAAGTCCCTTCTCTTGCCTCATCCAAAAGTTATAAATATATATATATATATATAAATAGTTATATATACATACATACACAGGTTGTTGTAGAGTTTTTTTTTTTTTTTATATAATATCAAGGTTGTATTTTTTCATTACACTATATTTTAAAATCTAACAATTATTGGGATTAAGATGTGAAACTTTTTATTTCTTTAAACTGCAATGGTGTTTTTTTTTTATTAGATTATTATTATGAACTTTATTTTTATATTTTATGAGATTGTTCTAAATTAATAGATTTTTCTACTATTATAGATTTTACCATCTTTTTTTTACTTGTTTGGTACATTTTAGCAAAGTGTGGTAAATCGGCTAGTGATTTTATATTTCCTGGACTGTAATAGAAAATGATAATATCATGGTTATTCATCCTTTGCTACAACTTTAAAATTTAAAAGGGATTATGCTGGAAAGGTTAGAGAAAATGAATTTTGTTGCATTCAGTCTTTAAGTTTTTGATATTTCAATTGTTGCAGGAAGACTGTTTTCCAAGAAATATAATTTTTCATCAAAGCTTTATCAGTATTTACATCATTAAATTATTACTGATATGAAATGATTTGGTTTTCACAAAATTGAAGGATTTTAAATGTGACAGTTTGCATATCTTTAAATTAATATTTTCTAGTTTCTAACTGTAATTAGCTTGCTCTAAAAAATTTAGATACAGTAATTTTATTCCAGAGTTAATGAAGGTCTTAAACAGCAAACCCAAACTTGCTGGACCAAATGTTTAATAAAATTTAGATATTATTGGTATGATTTTAATAATTGTCCAATGAACTTTTGTCAGACTTGTACATTGTAAATAATGTTTATGGCAAATAACTGACTACATGTCTGGTAATCCAACCAGCATTTTTACAAACTCTGTCATACAATAAAAACTCTTGTAACCAGGAAATAAAAGTTAAATGTGGATTATTGTTGTTGGCTGCTGGTCTGAATTGATTTTATCATATTTATATTCTACATAAAATAAACTTAATCATGCAAATACATTTGTTTTTATAGACATCCCTTAGCCCTCCATTCTCCATTCCAGAATTGAAAGGATTGTGAGGTGTTTCATTGTTTTTTTTTCTCCAAAATTGAACTGTTCACAATGTTTTGGTGTATGCTTTTAAAATTTTACCCAGAATCCATAAGGCCAAACAAAAGTATATGTCTGTTTAAGGTTACATCATTAAAAAAAATAGGGTAGGTAGGTTGGTATTTCCATTTTATTTTTTGTGACATGATTTTGATTCGTGCGGTCCATCTTGCCGTGGACCGAGTTGTCCATGGGCTGAGTTTACACATATTTTTAAATGATTGGATTATTTCCTTTGTTTATTAGTTGGAAAAAATGGCAACTTTAACTTTGCTTTTGACACGAGTTCAGATCATTTTTATACGACCGCAAAAAATTTATATATAGATTTAATAATGATATGGTTTCAATAGGTAAATTAAAAATTTTTAAGTTCTTAGACCACATTCATTGTGTGTCAGAAACCTATGCTGTGTCAAATATTTAATCACAATCCAAATTCAGAGCTGTATCAAGCTTGAATGTTGTGTCCTTACTTGCCCAAACTGTTCAGGGTTCGACCTCTGCGGTCGTATCAAGCTGCGCCCAGCGGAGCATTTTATTCACTTTACGATGGGAATAAAATGACTTGGGGTCGGCAGGTAACTATAAACAGACATTTATTTTTTTTGCCTAAGTTTAGCTGTCAGAATCTGAAAGTTAAGCTTTCAATATGAGGGGAATATTCATTGAGGATGAACATTCTAGTGGAGGGTAGATTTGTTGGAGTATCATTTAGAAGTTTCATTTATAGGTCCATTTTACAGAAATCTATACTATTGCTATTATATTTAATTGCAACATGTGCCTTTGTGGTCGAAGTAATTGATCTACTGTATCACTAGCGTGTCAACACTCAGATTGTGAGTTCAAATCCTGCATGTGGTAGGTGCATTGAACTCCAATCTTAATTGACTAGGATTGTCAGTTTTCCTATTGTAGTTTAGTGGTTTTCTCCATGCACTCCAGCTTCATCCATGAATAAAAACAGACTGCCACTAAAAGAACATAATAGTGCTAAAGGTAGCATTTAACATCAATCAATCAATCAATCAATTTAAATGCAACACATGAATAGTACAGAATTTTCAGGACCATCCGAGTTTCTAGAATACTAGAATTCTAGTGATTCATGCTTTGGTTATCTGGGTTTTAGAAGTGATAAATTTTAATTTGTTTCTCAAAAACCTTTTGTCATAAATCAATGATATTCCTGCAATGCTGCTATGCAATATTACGGTAACTGATCTTATTTAATACTTGAGTGACTTGGGGGAAAGTTTTGCGATAATGTCAGTTTTTGCGTACACATCAGTAAAATTGTGCTGTTCTTAACCTATATTTCATGCTTTGGTGGTGTATGCTATCTATTTGCTTCATCCCAGTTAAGTTCTAATACATAGTGTAACACCATTCATCAACAATTGTATAAATTTGTTACCAATATATTTTCGATCAAATTGCATATTCGTCTTGCATAATCTAGGTCGAGGTAAACTTGTATTATATAAATAAAAGTTAATTCCATTTGGAAATATTGCACATTTTATTGTAATAATTGTTTTGTTTTTTTTAACATCAAGTTCAATCTATATTTTTTAAAAGTAAAAATAATGAAAATACTCCACACACGCACACAAACACACATGACTTTCTACACTAAAGTAAAAAAAAAATCTTTGTATAACTACTAATTTTGGCACAAAAAATATACTTGAAAATGTATATAATACACAGATAAGAAATCTAAATACATTTGAAATTTTAGTTGGCACCTAATTGAGAAAAATTCAATAACTGTTTAGCTTACTTGGATTATGCATAACAAAGCATACATGGAAGCTGATCCTCGAGTATATGACAAAAGTAGAAAAGACATATGAGCATTGTTTCACATCTGGAAGAGGATTTCCTGACTGTTAGGGTTTATGTGTTTAATGTCACTTTGTCAATCCTGGACTAATCATAGTGGGCAATTTTTATTGGTGGAAGAAGCAAGAATCAAAATAATGTAGTAGATTAACAATTTGTTAAGGCTTACAAATAGGGGAATTTGTTATATCATGTCTGTGAGATTGACAGCACTTAATGTTTTTTATGGAGGCAAAAAAATTCATAAGACTTTAACTCTTTGTATGTGTTTTCTATTTGCTTGGAAGCTATTAGATAGGGGAGAAAATTCTCTGTCATCTTTTATGATCTTGGTTTGTTTTTTGTAAATATTACTTAGATTTGTTATGTCATTATACGATGCAAAAAATCAGTGTCATTTTACAGTTATAGCATACACAAAAAATAGTCAATGAATATACAACAAAATACCTGTAGTATTCTACTACTATTGCATGCACAAAATTAAAAATATTGCTCCCAGAATAAATTGCATATTGCACACACACACACACACACACTTATTGCACATACATATTAAAAATGACAGTTTACAAAGTCTCTTATAAACTTGACAAAAATGTCAAAGTTGGAAAATGTTTAAGCAGATTTTTTTTACAGGGATATTATTAAAAAAAACATGCAGTTACATTTAGTTATGATATGCTGTAATGCCCAAATATGAGTAAGTTCAGAAATTTGCAAATTGTTATGGAAGAACACAGAAATAACCAATATATATAACGGAATAACACCTATATTTTCTTTATCTAAAACTGATTTATAGGTCTAAATTATTTCCTATAGTAATAAGTTTTTTTCAAAACAAACATACAAAATGAAATAATTCTATTGATTTTCTCAACTTTTCAAGATGGAGGTTATGCCTAACTGGAAGTAAATGATGGAAGCAAACTAATAGAAAACTCCCAAAATCTTTTTTAAAATTAGAAAAAGCCCAGTATTGAGCATGATTGTCTGTTATTTTGGCAGGAAAAACGTCTGTTATTTTGGCAGAAAATAACAAGACAAAAACATAAAGCCAATCATAAAACATTACAAAGACAATTAACATAAAAAGAGATCTCAATCAGTTGTAGTTTTGTTTTCAGTATTGATCATTTTTGAAGGTAACTACTGGTCCCTGGTTTTGGTTTGTGTAAACAAATGTTGGTTCATTACTGTTAACAAAAACATCTACTGGTTCCATACTGGTTATCAGTTCATCATCACTGTCATCATCTATGTAGTCTAGACGAGACAGATACATTTGTCTACAATACAATAGCATATAAACTTGAAACATTCCCAGTGCTATTACTTAAAGCTTTGAAAAAAATGGAATTCTACTATATATCGTATCAAATAAAAATGAAAGGAGATGTCGGTATAAGTCAATGGGTCAACAACCCAAAAACATAGAAAAAACAAACAACATATGATGTGACGTATATTGTTTTTTTGGCTAGAAACTTATATTTTTAACGATTCCATATCTCAAATGGCCCAGACACTTGTTGCGTTTGAGTAGAAGGATCTCCTATGCTAGTACAATTCAAACATATCGTTCTTAATTTAGGGTCAAGTTGACAACCCTTTATCGGTTGTAAATTATATATAACATTTTCTTAGGTAGAAATATATCCCTGTAGGATTTAAAATTTTGCAAATTATTTCATTTGACTAGTACATAAAACGATAATAATTGGACCAACTATTGACATGTTCTTGTGCTGTTTTCAAATAGCAAATTAAGATATATATAAACAGATGGTGACTACCCCTCAAATGTTTTTCGTCTAAATTACTGGTTACATAGGATAATGCTTTACGTAATGGATGACAGGCTATAGTGACATACTCTTGTTCTGAGAGTCAGTAAGCCTGTCAAATAATCCACTCACTTTTCTCGTTTATCTTGTTTTGACAGGAGCAACATTACTAAGGGAGCTACCATTTGATTTTCATGGGGGGGGGGGGGGCTAGGATGAAATTTAAAATAAGGCAGGACAGGAGTTTTGAGTAAAAAAAAGGCAGGATGAGCAACTTTGGCAAAAAAATAAGGCAGGACCGAATAGAGAAAAAAATAAAAAGGCAGGACAGAGATTACAACTAAAAAAAATGCAGGACAAATGTTTTCATCCTAGCCCCCCCCCCCCCCCCCCCCCCCAATAAAAATCAAATGGTAGCTCCCTAATATAGCTATTACAATAGAAAACAGCAACACATATCATATGCTGTCTGATGCAATATTATAACTATATCAATAAAAACAGCTACACGTGTCATATGAAATCTACTCACTTTTCTCGTTTGTCTTGTTTTCATTGATGCAATATTACTATTATAACCATTACAATGAAAACAGCTACACATGTCATATGTAATCTACTCACTTTTCTCGTTTGCCTTTTTTCGTAGATGCAATATTATTACTATAACAATAAAAACAGCTACACAAGTGATTGTCATATGTAATCTACTCACTTTTCTCGTTTGCCTTCCTTTCATTGATGCAATATTACTATTATAGTCATTACAATGAAAACAGCTACATGTCATATGTAATCTACTCACTTTTCTCGTTTGCCTTGTTTTCGTAAATGCAATATTACTATTATAACTATTACAATGAAAACAGCTATACATGTCGTTGACACGGCTACTGTTACCAAAACACTATCTGAAATTTCAAGTGGTGCAAAGCTGAAGTAAATGTACATCTGCATGCAATACAGCCTGGATGAGGTTGATAGAATACAGAATAAAGGGGGGGGGGGGGTAGACAAATAAAATATATAGACAAGAGAATATTTGAATGCTAAAAAAAGGATATGGAATAATTGATATGCAAAAAAGAAAGGGACAAAAATGCCCCCAAAAATATATCAATACAGAAATGAAGACCACATACATACCCTCATATATAACAAATGGAACTTTTGGAGAGGTTAGTTTTTTTGTAAATATTCGGGCTGCCGTGGAACATATTTTTTAATGTACTTCTCGACAATTACCAAGTTGAATGTTGTAGATGTAAGTGTGCTGTATACATAATATTGACTTCTTACGGTATTTGCGACTTTGGAAACACAGTGAAGGAATAACACGAGTTTTAACAGTCGGTAGAACCTTGATACCTCAGTGTCGTAATTTTCATTTTAAAAAACATGTACCCCCGATTTATTTTTCATGAATGGAGAGTTGTCTTTCATTGTTCGTCTTTATTCAACCAGACATTATATTTCCCTCTGGACATTTTCCCAAATATTTATCAACCATGGAAATACATGTACTAATATTTCCCATTGATGGCATTAGACTGTGTTCTGTTCTTTCATCGGGTTGTTGTGTCTGTCACAAAAAAAAGGCAGGATGAGCAACTTTGCCAAAAAAAAAAGGCAGGATGACAATTTATGTAAAAAAAGTCAGGATAAACTAATATAAAAAAAGGCAGGACCGAATAGAGTGAAAAAGGACAGAGATTACAACTAAAAAAATGCAGTACAAAATTTTTCACCCTAGCCCAATGACATCAAAAAATATAATCGTAACTCCACCTAATTAATAAAAAAATAATATGTCTAATAAGAACAGGTTTTCTCCCCTTATATTCCGCAAAAATTAAGTCCATTCGATGACTCTACAAAATCCGGCAAACCAATGACACTACTAGCAAAATAAAGACATCTAAAGGTATACATGTCTTCAACAATAGAAATGTGGCTCTACAAAATATCAAGCCCTTTTCCCTGAGTCAATAAGCACGTTGTTATAAATAAATAAATAAAAAACAAAACAAAACAGAAACTGCCAAAGATCTAGCAGCGACAAATTAACCAACTTTTAAAAAACACGTGCCAAAAAAAATCAGATACATGTATGGTACACAAATGAATACGAAAGTGTATATTTCTAGTATGTATATACCTACGTATACCTTTACTATTTTTATCTATTTAGTATAACGAGAACACATCCTAATAATTAAACATATGTAAGGAGGTTTGTTGTTTCGTTACAAGATTTACTTTACATTCAATAGAACAGCCCCTACATATTAGTTACAATTATTCATATACTTACTGTCTTTTGATGGTTTACTACTAAGTGGACCAAGTGGAGTTGTTGTCACAAAGTTCTCTTTTCTTTTAGTTGAATTATGGACAGATGTATTTTTCGGCGTTGTGAGGAAATTTTGAGTAGATGTTCCATTTGGCTTCTGTTTTGAATGCGTTGTTGTTGTTAGCACGGTTGATGCAGTCTTTTTGGTAGATGTTGAAACCTTTTCGGTAGGAAATACTGATGTCTTTGTGGAAGGTAATACTGGTGTCTTTGTGGTAGTAGTTACTGATGATTTTGTGGTAGGTAAAGTTGTTGTCTTTGGAGTAGTAGTTACTGATGATTTTGTGGTAGGTAAAGTTGTTTTCGTTGAAGTAGTAGTTACTGATGATTGTGTGGTAGGTAAAGTTGTTGTCTTTGGAGTAGTAGTTACTGATGATTTTGCGGTAGGTAAAGTTGTTGTCTTTGGAGTAGTAGTTACTGATGGCTTTGTGGTAGGTAAAGTTGTTGTCTTTGGAGTAGTAGTTACTGATGGCTTTGTGGTAGGTAAAGTTGTTGTCTTTGGAGTAGTAGTTACTGATGGCTTTGTGGTAGGTAAAGTTGTTGTCTTTGGAGTAGTAGTTACTGATGGCTTTGTGGTAGGTAAAGTTGTTGTCTTTGGAGTAGTAGTTACTGATGGCTTTGTGGTAGGTAAAGTTGTTGTTTTTGGATTAGTAGTTGTTACTGATGGCTTTGTGGTAGGTAAAGTTGTTGTCTTTGGAGTAGTAGTTACTGATGGCTTTGTGGTAGGTAAAGTTGTTGTCTTTGGAGTAGTAGTTACTGATGGCTTTGTGGTAGGTAAAGTTGTTGTCTTTGGAGTAGTAGTTACTGATGATTTTGTGGTAGGTAAAGTTGTTGTTTTTGGATTAGTAGTTGTTACTGATGGCTTTGTGGTAGGTAAAGTTGTTGTCTTTGGAGTAGTAGTTACTGATGGCTTTGTGGTAGGTAAAGTTGTTGTCTTTGGAGTAGTAGTTACTGATGGCTTTGTGGTAGGTAAAGTTGTTGTCTTTGGAGTAGTAGTTACTGATGGCTTTGTGGTAGGTAAAGTTGTTGGCTTTGGAGTAGTAGTTACTGATGATTTTGTGGTAGGTAAAGTTGTTGGCTTTGGAGTAGTAGTTACTGATGATTTTGCTGTAGGTAAAGTTGTTGTCTTTGGAGTAGTAGTTACTGATGGTTTTGAAGTAGGTAAAGTTGTTGTCTTTGGAGTAGTAGTTACTGATGGCTTTGTGGTAGGTAAAGTTGTTGTCTTTGGAGTAGTAGTTACTGATGATTTTGAAGTAGGTAATGTCGTTTTCTTAGTAGTATATTCTGGCATATTTGTTGTTGGAGGTGCCAGAGCCGACGTTTTAGGATTTGCCTTCACCTTTTTCAGCATCACCTTTGCATCCACTGTCAATGACTTTTCGTTGTGATAAAATGAATAAAAATGACATTGATTTAACTTCATTGTGTATTAAAGCCTTGTAACTTATAATTAATCGATCGAAAAGTAATACATAAAAATTATAAAAGGAATCCCCAAAACAGACCACACCAACCACAATCTTATAAGTAAAAAAAGAAATAAAAAGACTTTAAAAACGAATGAATGTATTCTACGATACTTTATAAGACACCGGTTGTGGCAAATGTAAAGCAAGATTCATATTATCAACTTCGTACAAGGTCCCTTCGTTTGTTCTTGTTTATTTTCTTTTGCCAGAAGCTAGTCACGATATCACCTCACTGGGCATAAAAAAAAGTAGGAAGATGTGGTATAATGGCCAATGAGACAACTCTCCACGAGAGACCAAATGACATAAAAGTTCGTATATTTATCTTTCATATAAACGTGATATTATCTATAAATCATCAAGCTCTGTGTTTTAGATTGACTGTTAGTGTTTAACGCCACTTTCGACACTCTTGGTCATATCATGGCGGTCAATACCATTAGGTTCTCCTTGTGACCTTTATGTGTTTTTGTTCGGTGGTTTTATGCTGCTCACATAGTTTTTTTTTGCAGTTATTTTTTGTTTGATGTGATTTTTTTTTCGAGAGGAAGGCCTTGTTCGTGTACTGATGGACATTTATCTTAACTTTCTTCATAGCAACTTGTATTATAACAATGCAGCACAAAAAAGAATCCCATATACGATTTTGTGTCCAAAGAGAAAAATATTTTACAAACTCACCATAAGGATTAAAGTTACGAATAAGAAAATATGCCTGTTCTCCATATTCAGTTTCATCCTGGGGAAATAAAAACCAACATTAAATTTTAAATGTTTAAACTCTATATTGTATTACAGCTGCAATAACTTTACTTTTATAGCCGGCTTGGAAAAACAGTACAGAGATGTATTTTTGGGAATAGAGATGGGAAAGCTTTGGAATGTTAGCAATAAAGAAATAGAAGATAATAGTCATTTGTTTATGAAATGCCCCCCATCCTTAGCTTCTCAGTTTTAAGAATTTTTTAGTCGTTATTATTCAATGAACTAGAACGATTGATTGTTGGTTGCTTAACGTCCAGTGGCAAATATTTCATGCATGTTCAGGAAGAGCAATCAATTAGGGAATATTGATATAATTTCACATACATTTGTATTTGCTTGATTATGATAAGTGTGTATCGTTACTTTGTAAACATATTCAAATGATTTAATTCATTATTTAACGTGAGTCATGACTATGAGAGGGAATTTTCACAGCTTCACCCACATGACAAAGGTGTGTTATATAATCATATAATCATACATAAAACAAGTTACAGAAATAGATCTGTTAGAAATCAAGTGTTAACTGTGTTAACAATTAGTTAACATGTCTGTTTGTGTTTGGAAAAAGGTTCTGTACATCAGCGGATCCAGGGGCGGAGTTTGGAACCCTACCACCGTGTATGTGTATTCGACAATATTTCTAGATAATCAGCAATAAATCATGTTGAAACATCTTCGCATGTACATTACTACATAAAGTATATAATCAATTAAAGTCGAGTGATGACATACACTCGCATAAGAATATACGTCCGTACTGTACAAGACAAAAGTACATTTTGTGTAATATAGTTGGGCATGTGAATACTGATCATTTGAGATTTGTTTCGATAAATTATTTTCCTTACCTGTTTTAATACACATTCGTAAATGGTCACTATTGTTTGGTAACTTCTATAAAAACTTTGCTATCAATAAGTAAATAGATCATTCATATCTATGGTTAAATATTGATAATCACTGTATATGATGCAACCAAATAACATAGTTTACGAAAAAAAGATAAAAACTCAATGTAATATTTGTAAAAATACGTATAAACAAGTTCATTTTTTGAAAGACTTTGGTCTAGGTATCGTGATCTATGTGAGTGTAATTTGAAGCCCTGACAACATTTAGGAGTTCTTGAATGCTTGGTTGAATTACAAATACCTTTCAGTTGTTCGTGAACTTTGTTTTATAGTACGTTCTGCAATGAACCTGTTGTCATTCTACAGATCAAGAAAAAAAGTGAGCTTGATATGCGATGTGGGTTTTGCTCTTTGTTGATGGCCGTGCGGTGGAAAGTTGTATCATTAGCAATCATACCACATCTTCTTATTTTCACAAGGGTCGAGATGTAAAAAAACAAATGAAATAATGTAAACCTGCCACAATTTTATGTATCAGTCCTATAACATCTCGATGTAGTTGCGTAGGAGAAGACTGAAAAGTGAGGGGAGACTTCTGACAATGAGTACCCCCTCCCTTTTAAAAAAAAAAAGAAAAGCTTTTCTATAGTCTGATTGTTTTTCAGTGTCCTCTTTCATTTTCATTTTTCATTATCATACATATTTTGGGTTACCACAAAGTTTAAACGTCTTTGATAAATTCTGGTTAACTATGATGAGTAAAACTGATATTGTAAGTAAGTTATATAAAAACCCTCAAAATGAAAAATGCAAAATAGTTCATACAAAAAAGCAACGACCTGATCGATAAAAACATTGACAGACAGCAAACAGCGACAACCCTTGAATTACAGGCTCCTGACTTGGGACAGTCATATACATAATGTGGTGAGGTTAAACATGTTTGCTGGCGCTGAACCCTTTCTCTAACCTCGGACAGTCAGTGGTGTTACTGTATATAGCATAACAACAAACTATAAAAATAAGTTGAAAAGGGCTCATTGTTCTATACAAAACACTCAAAAACTAACAAGAACACGAAAGACGCAAATTACAGATCTGATGATACTTGCAGTCACTGAAAGCTATAGTTCAATGCCAATAACTAATAAAAAACATGTATCTAGGACTTAAATTTCAACAAGTTCTCACCGAACATCCAATTCATTTAGTGTAAAGACGTTATTAACGACAACATCATGACCTTGTGCAATGCCAAAATATAGGTATTAACAGATTGTAGGACCATGAATGTACATACATTGTATGTGTATAACAAAAATATATAGTTGGCTTTAATCTATTGATAACAAAAGTAAAAATATTTATATCTGGCGTTTGTTGTTAAATTATATTGTCTTCTTGGTTAACTGCTGTTCTTGTAGCCTTCTGTTGTCTTCTTGGCCATGGTTAACAGTTCAAGTGTTCCTATAGCCTTCTATGATCTATTAAGTGTTCCAAGTTATAGCTAAATTGTCTTCTTGGTTAACAGTTATCATTATACCCAGATTGTCTTCTTGTTTAAAATATGTTCTTACAGCTAGAGTGTATTGTTTGTTCACAACGAACATGCTCATATTGCTAGACTGTTTTCTTAATTTTCATCTTTTATTGAAGCTAGAGAGACTTTTTTGTAATCAGATGCTCTTATAACTAGATTGTTTTCTTGGTTAAAGGGGACCTCGGTGGCCGATTTGTGTAAATAGTTCTTCTAATAAGTTGTGAGTTCGAACCCTGCACGTGGCATGTACATTCGACTGCAATCTTCATTGTATACGATTGTCAGTTTTCCCACAGAAGATCGGCAGTTCTCTGCGAGCTCTAGCTTCTTCAGCACACAAAAAAAAAAATAAAAAAAAAAAAAAAAATGACTGCCTCGATACAACCACTTGTGCTGAAATTGGCGTTTAAAACACCAATAATCATGAAATCAATCTACCAATCTTCTTGATTAACTGGTGTTTTTGTAACTAGATTGTCTTCTTTGTAACTCGGACTCTAAATAAATATTCACATACTTTTCCACTTATTTACAGCCCGTGGCGTTCATTGTGGTCGATCGATGTAGGATTCCCTTTTTCTGTTTAATACAAAAGATATATAGGGAATGGTTTTGTGCAGGAGAAAGTTGGAGAGCAACCATTTAACTTCAAAAAAGGGGGGTATTTATTTTTTCAACGCTTTCAATCAAATTATCTTTTTTCAATATTTAACACTATAAGGAATGGGAACATCTGGATTCAGAATAATTTTTTTTGTCATCTGCTTGACCAGAATATTTTTTTCTCATCAAATTGGGGATCAGAATATTTTTATTTATCTAATTGATATATAATCGTGATATGTCATACCCAAGAATGAAGGACACTAATGGCCGATTACCTTTATCAGCGACACCCGGGGTGCAATGTTTTTAAGGATGTTCGATTAACATAGAAAGTAATGGGAAAATAAATGGGTACCCTTCATTAATTCTTCATATTATTTTTATTAATCCTATGAATTCTTAATTAACACATACGACCGAATTCTATATAGATTCACCTTTCTGGTGGTATAAAAAAATCAGTTTATCTTATCTCATTGTTAGGTCTCCGATTTTTTTAAATTTCATTATCTAAATTCCCTTACTCACATCAGTAAATAACGATGAATTACCTTAAAAGAAACGAGACAGCAGTAACTAAAAAAATTGAAGCACACTTAATATGCAAAGGAAATACTATTAACACAAACTGTTGAATACTCCTGTCAAAAAGCTATATTTTGATGTCAGAAAAGTCAGTTTAAATTAAGAAATTCTTAGGTCTCCGGCGTTTTGAAAAGTTGTCTTTGAAAAAAAATAACCAACACAAATGTAATATACGAAAACAACCGTTACGTACATTAGCGAGATCATACTGTTATATACATGTAAAATAAATTCCAGTTATTCTTAAATAAATGAAATAATACATAATAAGTTCAAATTCAAAGTGTTCACTGCGGCTATTTTTTATTGTTCAAATAGAAACGATAAATATTGAATACAAAATATTTGGCGAAACGTATTTAATGATAAATGATAAAGTATACATTTACATTTAACTAATAATAAACGATTCGCAGTTCAATTTTTTTTCCACCCGTACAACATTTTTCCATCATTTGTATTTCGATAATATTTAAAGAAAATGAAAAGGCGGTATATTAAAAAAGCTTGAAATTGATATATTGTTAAATGA